GGTTCTGTGAACAAGAAACCAAATAACAAACATTAACCTTTAGCCGTTTTCTAAAATAGACTCCGGCTGTGCTTTCCCGCTACGGAAGAGTTTGAATATATAAATAAATGGTCTTTCATTGCCACATATTTTTGGACTTTGGGAAAAATGCTGGGAGCTTTTTTTTGAATCAATGAAAAGATCTATTAAACTGAGAGACACAATGTAGGTTACCGTCTTGAATACAAAGAGACGTCTGCGTCTCAGGTTTATTTTCAGTCATATATACATGCAAGACATTAAAAGCATGCCAGATGTGTCCTCTTTCTCATGTCATCAGTGCCCGGCTATGTTGAACAATATCCAGCAGCAGTTTATTACTGTTTAAAAAAAACAAATAATAGGATCGAAGCAGGCCGTAAAATCTGACAAACTCTGTCTTAGGAGGCTGAAGGAAGGAACTCTGCAGGCTTGAACATAAATATTTCACTACTAGGCTGCTGGCAGTACGTCAGGGTTTTATGAATGCTATCTGGACATTTATGCATTTTTTTTTCTCCCTCTCCCGCCTTATCCGTAGCAGTTTGGCGTGGGAAAGCTGTGGTGCCACTTCGGTTGAGGGAGTTATTGTTCTGCCGGCTGATGTGTGATGTTTGAATGCTCACTTCCTTCAGCCTACAAATGAATACAAACCGAAACAAAAATAAAAAAAAGGAACTCTTTAATAACCATATTTGTGTATTGTCTGTCTCCGCAGTGTTGAAGGAGAATACAATTTAAACAGGAGGTATCTTTTGGAAAATGTCAGAGGAATACGGATGAGGACGTAGTCAGAGAGCCAACGCTCATCTTCCTCATTCATCTTCCTCACACCTGCCGTCAGGCCGTGGCCACATACAGGCGGGGGTATAGAAGCTGATTATCGGTTGATCGTGATCGCTCCCCGTCGCGCTGTGATGGATGAGGAGCTGCTCCGAGGATTGATCTCCACGTGTCCACCCGCCTCATGCGGTGCGGTACAAAGCCCGCCCCGCTGCAGTGACTGCTGAGCTGAAATTTAAGGGATTTTAATCCTCAACCAGCTGTGGCGACCGGCGGGGACAAAGGCCAGACTAGTGTTTTTCTTCCAACCTCCCGAACCACATGGATTTGTAACATTTCTTCGTATAGATTACATCTTGTGTCGATCTTGATGACCTTTAAAGTCAGATTACTCGTTGAACCCTGACCCCCCCCCCCCCCCCCCACTCCCGCGTGCATGTCCCAGAAACTCCACGATCGCTTTCTAATCCTGGAAGAATTGGATTAACGCAGAGGTGATCTGGACCCTGACACCCACCCACACAAACACTACCTCCATCCGCCCTTAATACAACGGCCCTTTATCTCCCCGCTTGTGCCGGTAAGACGGAATCCAAATGTCAATGCTGAAATCAATAATTGGTAATGGATGCGATAAGAGACTCCTCTTCCAATGCAAATTGTTTTGTTTTGGGACACAAACGTGTTGTTCTCCGATCAATATTAGCAAAAAGTCCAACCCTTTGTTGTATTTTTGCAGTAGTGATTGTGAAAGGAAACACTAAAATGTGGCAGAATGGGGACATTTTTGTTGTTTCTGAGAAGCCTTCTGTGACAAAATGTGTCTGTGTGCCTAATTAGCCGTTTTTGGTCAGTAAAGTTGGGGGTTCAAAAGAAACAGGGAGAAAAAAAAAGATAAAAGGTGATGTTATCCTTGAAATAATGTCCAGCTCCATTAGCAGCGCAGTTTTGTTGTCGATCGGCTCATCCATCTGATTACTGCTGTCGGGGAGCTGGAGAATGCACTCTGCCACTAGAGGTTGGAATTCCACCGGTCCTGATTACGTTAAACGATGGCAGTTTATGCTGCAGATGTTTATGCGAGCGGAGCAGCCGGGTCAGATCACATGCAGCGGACGAGACGGGATGGACCAGAGCCCAAATATTTAAAAACACACTCAAGTGCAGTATTTTGTAATGCAGTTAAAATGGCCTCTTCTATTGGTCCAGACAAACAATTCAAACTAAAAGGTGCGTTTATTGACCCCAAACAGAGAGCAATGTGTACAATACGCATGTGTGTGTGTGTGTGTGCGTGTGGGGGGTAAACGGAAGTTGATGCAATCATAACACACATGGTGCAATTATAAAAAATAAAAATAAAAAATATTTTTTAAAGGATGCAGTTTGATTGAATTTCCATAGTTTTACAAACCTGAAAAAGCATTTTCCCTTTGGTCTCGCTTCTGCTGATTGACGGTTGGTGGTGACGACAACAACAACAACCGCAACAAATATTTAAAAATAATGAATTATCCCCACAGATCTTTTTTTAGCTGCGACACAAAAGCATGGAGTGCTGTATTCCGCGCCATCTTAGCTTTATTTTTGGGAGCAGCAATCATCTCCATTCCCTCCTAAATCACGGTACTCATCTTAAAAGACACGTATTCCTCTCCGTGTTGACATCCCCTTTGGGATTAACGCAGTAAAATAATGAATAACGGCTTTCAACCAATGGGGTTGGAGAAAATGTGCCCTCGTTCCCTTCATGTCTTGCACGTTGCATGTATATTTAGGGACCGTCGGTTCTGACAAGAGGCCCAGTGTGTTCCTGCAGCCAGCCACAGCACTTGAAAAAAGCAAATCACCAGTGGTGAGATCAGTGTTTGGTGGTGGAGTGCTTCATTTGCATATTGAAAACGAAACGTACCCGAATGCTGAAAGACGGCCAATTTTCTCAGCACTCAAAGCAGTGGACAGGTGAAAGAAGACCTCCCATTTACAAACGCTCCTAAAAAAAAAAAAATGTTTCTTTTCAGACCCTGATGGAAATCCCTCCCTATTTCACCCCCCCCACACACTAAAAAAAAAAGCAGCAAATTGAAATGACCGAACCCGTCCTGTACTTTGGGGATTTGTGAATAGAGTCCCCCGCCTGCCCCACATACGCCGGCTGCATACAAAAGACCTCCCTCTGTTCGAGCAATCACTACGGGAGACCACTCTATCTGCACCGCCGCAGCGACACGTCTCAATGAAGCCGTCAGCACGGGCGCCACTGTCACGCACACATGTGCACACACTCACCAGCACAAAGACGGACTCCATGCATTTTCTTTTTCTCCTTCTTTTTAGCCCTTATAGCCACAATGAAACACACACACACACACAAAACCAGTACTTTCAACCAGTCCCCCTCATGGCCAGTGCTTTCTTTTCATTCTCGAGTGCCGGGCAGGAACAGGGAGGGAGGCGAGTGGCTGGCGCTGATTTGAATATTTAAATTATTTATCAGCAGAGAGTATTGAGATCCGAGGCGCAGCGAGGGGACGCGAGGGAGCTGAGGGGTGAGGGTGAATGTTGCCATGTTTGGATTTGATTGTGGGCTGTTACTGCCTCAGGGGACGACTGGAAAGTGGCAAAAACATGAATGCGAACAAGACAGATTTTAGTGGACATTCTAGTTATTGTCTTTCAGAAATAAATCAAAATATTTTATGGGCATTGCAACTTGGAAATTGCTGTAATCTCTCGGGATATTATCGTATATACGGCATTAATAAAACGTTCAATGTTGATCATCTTTACATTTAAATTCATGTTTATCGCTCCTACATCCCTGTTGGCGTATCATACTCACTGTACTGGGACTGTAAAACGTTTCACGAGTAATAGCTCACTGTGAGATTGCAGAAAAGGTAAAACTGGATGATGTAATGCATTGGCTCCTTAGAAATATCGGACAAGGGCGAGTTCCCCAACTCCCAGCCTGAGAAGCACACTTTCCAAGAACAATCCTAGGAAACTTATTACAGATCTCATGATGAAAGGGCTGTTGAAGGAAATTTAAATTGAAATCAGGATTAACACAACGAACAGTTTTCTCTCAAACACCAGATTTGTATTTTTCCAAATTGTCAGTCTTTCCCTTTTTTTTTTTCCTTTTTACCTTGGCTGCTGTCATGCTGGCAGCTCGATCCCTCCCTCCTTTATGCTCTCAGCACTGAGTTACAATCTGTAGACAAAGGAAGTCCTCGGCTGCCCGCCCCCCCCACCACCCTGTCGCTGTCTTTCCCCTCTCTGGTGCGCCCGCACGCAACAGAAACAACGCTGATCCCAATCAAGCCCTGAGAAAAGAAGATTGCCATTCGGCCCGTGTGACCGAATGGTGGAAAAACACGCATTTCATGACATTCGTTCTCTTGCAGCCACAAGTTTCCATGTTGCAACGCGCGGATGCATTGTCGACGGATACGACTATCGGGACAGAACCCTTGTATTATTATTTTTCTTTGTCGCTTGCTTGTTCCTCGTTAGGTTGTCTACATTAAAGCATACAAAAGTCCACCAGTCAGTCAAAGTCAGTTCACTGAAATGTTCCTTGCATTAAGCTGAAGAAATGAAATTATTTCTAAAGTTGACAGTCGTGGCATAATATCCATGCCAGCTGTATCTTTTATTTTATTTCCAACGCCGCGTCTTGTGGGGGGATTCTTGTAGCTGCCATCCATCACTCTGCATGCGGTGAACCTCATCTGTTGCAGTCCGCGTGCGAACGCCAATGAGCTCGTGTCCCCAGTAATGATCCCCTAATTATGAGAATCCACAGCAGCCTCGGGGGTGTGAAGCCACACTGAGTGAGTGTGTGTGTGTGCGTGTGTTTGTGTGTGCAGGTAGATGTGACATATGTACATGCTGCGAGTGGGCGAGAGGGAGACGCCTGATTATTTAATCAAACACTCCGCGGCCTGTTTATTACATTTGGCATCCTCATTGCATTCTGTCTATTAAATGTCACTTATAACTGGATCATCGGCATTCCACACGAGGCCATATGCTGTGCACACTGAGATAATAAATGATTTGTTCGTACTCGCATGTTTCCTTCAGCGGCGCTTATATACAAAACTAAAATAGGACTTCGCTAGTGGTGATGTAAAACCCAACTTTGCTTTACCCCAAAAATATACATAATTTTTTTTCTTCTGCTCCCTCAGCCGAGCCATTAAGACCAACCAGGACCTTCTCCCCGAGACGCCGTGGACCAACATCCTGTTTGATGACTTCTGGGGCACCCTGCTCACTCACAGCGGCAGCCACAAGTCCTACCGTCCGCTCTGCACCCTGTCCTTCCGCCTCAACCACGCCCTGCACGCCCTGCGCCCGTGGGGCTACCACCTGCTCAACGTGCTGCTGCACGGGCTGGTCACCGCCGCCTTCACGGCCTTCAGCCGCCCGCTGCTCGGCGGGGCGCCGTGGAGCCTGCTGGCGGGCCTGCTGTTCGCCTCTCACCCGGTCCACACCGAGGCGGTCGCCGGCGTGGTCGGGAGGGCGGACGTCGGCGCCGCGCTGTTCTTTTTGCTGTCTCTTCTCTGCTACGCGAGGCACTGTGGATCTCGTGCCCAGGACGGGCGATGCGGCGGCGGTGGCGGACGCTGCTGGGGCTGGATGCTGGCCAGCCTGTGGTGCGCGGCGGCCAGCATGCTGTGGAAGGAGCAGGGGGTGACGGTGCTGGCCGTGTCGGCCGTGTACGACCTCTTCGTGTTCCAGAGACTGCGGTTGCGCCGGGCGCTTCTCCTCCTGATCGGAAAGGTAAACGGGTGCACGCCACGAGGACTCAACCGGTCTCCTCCTCTTTTCCTTCCGGGGCGTTCCTCACTCGGCCAGCTGTTATGGTTCCTGTATGGAGGATTACGTCTCGCCTTGTGCATGCTTTTCGTTAGGGGTGGAACTAGGAAAGCCGCTTGCCGATGCAAAGCACACAGTTGGCGAATAAAAAGTAAGCTGTTGTCGTTTGTCGTCTGCTCAAGGTATCTGCGCAGAGGGAAGTTCTCCATTTCCTCGCAGACTTCAGCCGGCTGCAGTAAATACATGCACGTTAATGCAAGGAAATTCAGATAAGGATCTCCGCCTCGTTATGTTTGTTTGCTTTAAGGAAGAAAAGGGCAGTAGCACAATATAAGGCCAATATAAGGCGACGAAAGGTATGCGCTGAAAAACAGTAACACTTCTAGCCAAGGTAAATTATTGCCCCACTTGTTGAGTTGTAAAAACACTCTACACACACACACACACACTACACTCCTTCTTAGGCAGGACTCCATTTTCCACTCCAAACTAAAGGTATCTGAGGAGGAGGACAACCTTGACGCAGCGACTCATCTGATTACGGGCTTCGGTGTTCGACTGGAAAAGCTCGTCCACATTCAATTTGAGAAACTGCTCGTCAGCCAACACGATGGCCCTCGTAAAAGCCGTAACTAGGGCCATAAAGAGTCCCCTTGGGGTTTACTGAGCAAGGACAGTCTAGCTCTAAAATGGTATGTGTGCGCCTGAGAATCTTTTTATAGATGTTTCTTCTTGGGGAAACGTCTATGAATACCTTTTTAAAAAAAAAAACATTTTATTGCAAGGTCTGTGGCCTGACCTTGCATAGCTCATCGCAAACGTCCGCTGGAACTTTTTTCCGCTGTTCGCAAACTGCCGCCCAGAGCAGACTTTAGCGTGGCGATCCTATTTACACGGCCGGGCCTCCAAATGAAAATACGTCTTACTTTCAATTGCGCGAGGCTTTGCTGGACCCGTGGGACGGCTCTCCCGTAGTGGTTTTTCCGGCTGAACGATAACCCACAACTTTTATTAGGAGGCGGGCGGTGACCAGCCCAGAGAGATCTGAGAGGGGGTTACATTGTTTTCTCTTCTCGTTGCTAGGCGACTAACGCAAGTGTGTGTGTGTGTGCGCTTTCATAACTTCAAGACAATGCATGAAAACACCTGTCTTTTTTTTTTAAAGCTTCTAAATGAAAGGATTATTGTAAAAAATATATATAATTGACTGAGAAATGTCAAAGCCTCTTCAAATGCCGCCTTTGCCGGGATTGTTCTGTTTCGTCAGGTATTCACGTCTCCGTATGAATCAGACGGAGCCTCAGAAGTGAAAGCGCAGCCTGACAGACATCCAGCACCACCTTTTCTTTTTTTTTTTCTGTTGCACTACGCTCACGAAGATTTCATCACCCTCGGTGCTCGTCAGGAGCACAAATCCCCCTTTTTCGTATGTGCTTATCACACAGAGGAGAGCAGCGATATCATCATCATCATCAGCCGCACCCTCGCCCTCTGTGCCAAACAAAAAAACCCTGGGGGGGCACATCTTGGCCAACCTTTTCAGTCCTGGGTCCAAATCCCCCCCCCCCCCAAACCGGCTTCAAGCACTTGGGGTTGGTTTATCACTCGGCCAAGGCCCTCTTCTGTTCCCCCATTCACAGTTATCCCGCCAGGAGCCTCTTTATGTGTTGGGTTCCCCCCGGGGGGGGGGGGGGGGGGGGGCAATCGTTTCCTTGATTATGAGCCAGACGTCTCAGGACGCATGGGAACGAGAGGTGATGCCCCGAGAGAGAATAAGCAAAAGGAGAGAGGGGAAAGTATGGCCTCACTTCCGTTCTTTTATCTGGTCTCAGTCCCGCTCGCCTACTGTCGTATCGCACCGAGGCACACGGCCAGGAGACACTGAATTTGGGGACACAAACGCAGCATGTGCTATTTAAATAACTGATTTCTGATGTCTTCCACGCTGAAGGAAAACATTGGAAAAAACCTCCGCATTAGGTCGTCTGACCCCGGCCCCCACAGCGGCCGCAAACAACAATAATGGAAATGCAAATCAGCCTGCAAAGAGCAGGAGACCGAGGCGCTCGGCTTGGGCCGGCGCGCTCCATTTCTCATCCTATTAACTCCCTAATCAGACTGAGATGAGATTTGAAATGAGACGAGGTAGACCGGAGGGAGTGTTTAGGAAATGGAAGATGGAGACAAAGGGAGGTGTGGCGTCGGCACAGCGTTCCTCTCCACTCCCGTTTGTCAACGGGCTAAAACGAACCGGGTTGATGAATGAAGTCCGGGGAAATAGTTTGTTTTTGGTGGAGCTGGGGGAGGTCACACCTGCTTCTGCTGAGCCCGGAGGTGATCTGTGACATTTTGGCAGGCGAGATTTATTTTATTTAAAAGGTTTGTGTTTATTTGAGTGTTGAGCAAGGATTTCAAGCATGCTCTTGGATGAATAACAAAGCTAATTGATTAGACCCTGCGTTCGTAAAGCACTAAATCAAAACATGTTTGAAATAGAGCCTCAAATAATCCTCCATACTATTTAGACCTTAATTTCGTTAAACGGGCATTAGAGGGATTTTATTGTGTTCTCAAAGGGGTACCGACTCCTCCCAGTTTGCCTCATGGAGTGCTGGCAAATGAAGTTCAGTGTGACCAGCTGACTGTTTCAGGGACGTTGTCCCAATTATCTCGAAGCAGAAGCATTCAGCTGTGAAACGATGCCCTCTGTTCTGCTGTATGCTCTTTATTTAGCCTGCGTTCATGGGTATACTGGGATGCCAAAACTATGTGAAGTAAGTATGTTTAGACCTTCTGGCAAGTCCATTGTCTATAACTTGTTTTTAAATGCTTGACTCAGTGTGTTTCATCTAGTTTAGCGAGCTGCTATTAGTTGTTTGAACAAACCTGGTGAAGTTATCGTTATTCTGGCACCTAAAAAAATCATTTTCCGCAATAGCATAAAATGATGATCTAGTGCGTGAAGAATCCCCACGTTGTTGTGAACTCTCTGCAGTAATGCCCCTTTATTACTCAAAACGGGGAATTCTTTAAATGGCAAATTAACACCACCGGCGCCGTCCGCCTGCAATCCGCCGCCTTGGTGGACTCCAACCTGCGACCCACCGCATTACGGTCCCCTTCGCCAGCAGCGGTCGCAGCGTTGGCGGAGAGAAACTAATGGGGTAATTAGGTCACTCTATCAAAGTCGGCCCGCTCGATGCCAGGCAGCGCTGCCGTCTGAGGACTCGGGTGAGTCGCGCCAAGTCAGCGGAATCCAGAACACATTAGAGAGAGAGTTGTGAAAACGAACTGGATGCACGCTTCATTGTGCCTTTCATCCCAATTTAACGTGCCACCGGTGCCGCATCAAATACGATCACGGCTGGATGTGGGCTGAGCAAACGCAGAAGGGCTTTCCATGCAAATTGAGATAATTCTTGCAATAAGTAATAACTTTGCCTTGATATTTTTTTGTTCAGTTTTGCTGAACAAGAACTCGTAACTTTTCTAAATAGATTTTAAATTTCAAGTGGTAGAGATATCATGCACGATCAGCTCCGTGTGCTGGAAGGAGTAGCGAGCGGGTTGAAATTGAACTTAGCTTTAACAAGAAAAGCCCGGGAGATTGATCCCCTGCTGCCACGCGTGAGTCCGCTGCAGCTTTCAACAGTGCGCGTATGAACTCGGCCTTTATCCTGCCGTTACTTTGCGCGTGTTTTAAACACTCTGCACGCTACAGTGTCAACGTGCGGACCACACACACACTTCTGGGATTAATAAAAACAAAGCTATGTAATAATGGATGGCACCGTTAAAAGATGGAGGCAGGGGAGCCTAATGCTGCATGTCTATTGCGAGAAAGGAGACGGAGAGAGCGAGTGTAGGGTTAATTCAGGAGAAAGTTAATAAACTTAAAGTGTAATGTAAGTAGAAGTGGGGGGGGGAAAGAAAAAAAATAGAAATTGACAGTGAATTTCTCAATGAGGATCCAAAGCGGAGAGGATTTGTGGTGGGTTCAAAGGCTCGGAGCCGATTCGACAGCGGCTGGGGATTAAGCCAGCTGTCTTCTTATGGACACACACAGATCACATGACGGCAAATCAATCATATCGAAAAGCTGTTCCCAGGGATTTAAGTTACAGTAAAGCAAAAAACAGTCAAATTAGGTAGAACCTGAAAGAACCCCTTTGGATTACCGCTAGCTGTTATGGTTATGATTCCAGTTTCGGGACAATTTGACACACAATATATTTTTTGCTGGCCTTTTTTAACCACATGCCGAAGTTAAAACTGTCCAAAAAATACATATTAAATATTACTTATTTTAAGTTTTATTTTTTGAGCCAAGAAATCCTCGTGTTCACATTTGGCTGCTGAGAATAAATGAGAAAAAAAGAATTTGCAACCATGACTTTGATACAAAAGAAATTGAACATTTTCCATTGACTCATCTTGGATGGAATTTACCAGGTCTTTGTTTTTACTTACCTGGATGTGTAGAAGTAGTTCATAGTTCATAGTAGTTCATTCTGGTTTTAGATGGCCCCCGGAGAGAGCCTGAATGTGGAGCCATCGTTGTGCACCGGGAAAGAGTTCCAATTCCAGAGTTTAGGTAGCTTTAAAACTGGATTCCCAGAGTGGATCCATAGGTACCTGTGGTACCTGTTTGTGATTTTTGGAGGTTTGAAATCACCACTAAAGAGGGCTGTACTAGTCAGGATAGTGTCCTGCCAATACTCCTCTGGACTGGAATGGATAGGACAATCAATAAATCAACATTTCAGTAGGGAGTTTAAAGGTTCTTTTGCAGCTATTAAAGGTTGCAGTTTAGTAGGGAATTATTCAGCTGTTGGGTTATTGAATATCTATTTTCAAGACTCTACTGAAGCAGCAATCCTTTCACTTTGGTCCTGGTTCGTCCACTTGTTCCTTCGTTAAACTGACGTGAAAAGCTACGATTATTTGCTGCCGAGTTTGTTAATCTGTGATCGTACATCATTCAAAAGCAGATTCCGGGCCTCCGTGTTTTGCGCGCCTGGCAGGTGTGAGTTGTGCGATGGATCGGGAGGTCAGTTTAGGAACCATCTAGAAATAGACAAGGCAGCGAGTGGTAAATTGAAGCTCATTCACCTAAACAACACAAATGGCTCTCGCTGCAATTGGCTTATCTTTCGGATGCCAAGCACAATTGGATTTCTCAGACAGTTTCCTTCCCTTGATGGGCAATGTGAGCTATACATCAATAAGCACCCCCTCTCCCCTCCACTCTCCCGACTCTCCTTCATCCTTTTTGCGCCGCCTTTCAGCATGCAAATCAATATCCAATTTTTTTCTTACCACTCACTCTTTCCCACTGCTCATCTGAAATGTTGAATTCTTTAAGCCGGCCCTTCTCCATCTCACTATTGACCAGTGTCCTCCTACTTTATCTATTCCTCCCTCCGCAAACCTCACGAGGGATCACGCTTTTCCATTTCAGATATCCACAAATCAACTGGAGCCAGTAGGTCCCGGGAGTCCACGTTAAACCTCTTATTCTAATCCCAACATCGGTTTGTTATGGCCAACCTGTTGTTTTCTATCATGGGGCCTGAAAGCGGGCACGGCCCCACTCAAGCATGCTCACTGTAAAAAAGGGAATATTTCTCTCAAAGGTTTATTAATGAGACAAGCTTGTTGTTTGTGCTCAATATTCCTATTATGTCCCTAATGTGCAATTTGTTCACAGCAGATTATACATTATTACTGCAGTAAACACAATTGGGAGATAAAAAGAAAAGCATGGCTGCACTGGATGGACACTTAGTTACACCGAGTTATAGAAGACGTAGGAGGACATCAAAGCCAACACGACTACTTATATGTAAACTGTCGTGCACTCTCGTGCCTCACAGCGATTAGATTATGGAAGTATGCACTTGTGTATGTGTACAGACTCGCATCCAATAACCCCCGAGACGGGTTCAGACACAGTTCATATTACCGTGCTCATCGCTCACGATGTGATGTCACATTTAGTCCATTAGGTAAACTCTGTTAGAAACATGGAAAAACAAGCACAGGACTGCGACAGTCTGTCTCTTTCAATAAGCCGTGACATTTCAGTCTAATCGCTGTGAAAGACATTTTCCCCCCTCTCACTGTCAACAACCGATGCAATTTGACGAATCAAAGGTCAAGGATCTGATCACACGACCTCGTCATGTCATAGCAGCTCAAACTGCAGACGTCCAGACGTCTATTAAAGGCCTCCAATGTGAAGCAACTGAAATGAATAATATTTTCAGCCATGGGGTCACATCACATTGTTCCCGTCTCTGGCTTTGAATCCAATTCATGCATCTGAAGCGTCGCCGGCTGAATGTTTGCTTCCACGCACGTGTCAATGCAACCGTCACGAGTTTAACGGCGTGCAGTTCAGGCCACAGTGGCGGCTTGCGCGTGCCTGGTTTGTGTAAAGGCGTTGCGTGACAGAGGACTAATAGTGCTCGTGCTGCAGAACGAACGCTCGTATGAGACGTAAACAGCTTTTACATGCCAACACAATAAGTCCTAAGCTGATTACCAGTCACACTTACTGCGACCCTTGACAGGCTGCAAGGAATGACTTGGCCAGAAATCCCCTCGTGCTTCAAATGAACTTCAAAGTTGACCTTTACCGGGTCAGAACTGAGGCAAGTGTGCTCTATTGATATAGTTGACATAGGATAGTTAAGTAATAATCTTTACTTCACAGACGTACGTGGATTCTTTCAGTCTATACTATGTGGCTCTTTCCACATAGTATAGCACTTTCCACACACTTTTTTGGCAAATAATGAATATTCCTTGACTTTGTAAAAGCCATATTTTGTCAAAAACATGAATATAGTCACATCGTGGCTGACCGTAAGAGACACAGAGCCCAGCTGCCTAAATCTTAATGTGTCTTTTGTCTGCATAAATGTTGTATTGCACTACCTCTGTGTTGTTTCTGGCTACGATGCATTTTAGATTCAAAGAATTGTATATTGGTACGTGAGTGCGGTTTGTGCCCCAGGAAGCTATCAAAGCCATTCCAGAGAGGGCTTTACGCGGTGGTCTTTCTCTAGGGGGTAGTGGGGTAATCCCTTTACAAGCGTTTTTCTTTATTTCAAAGGCGGTTTTACATATCAAACCCCAACAGCTCATGCGAAGAGACGCAAACATCCTTCTGAGTAACTCGCTGTCCACAGTGACACAAAGACATTCATAGGACCACATTTGCTCTGATTCAGCTCTGATTAAGACGGTTATTGAAATCGCCTTCCAAAAACGAAAACGAATGCAGATGCGCTCTAATGCAGAAAGAACTTTGTGGCTTTGACAGAACTTTTCTCAACTGAAATGTTGATTTTAGGTGTTTTCCTTTTTTTTATTTTTAATCCTCTGCAGAAAAAGAACACGAGTGTTTTGCTGAGTCTCTGCGTGCTGGCTTCCTGGGGAGTGATCCTGCTGTCCGCTCGCCTTTACTGGATGGGCAACACGCCTCCCAACTTCTCCAACTCTGACAACCCGGCGGCCGACTCGCCGCATTTCCTCACCCGAACGCTGACGTTCCTCCACCTGCCGGTCGCCAACGCCTGGCTGCTGCTCTGCCCCGACAGGCTCAGTTTCGATTGGTCCATGGACGCCGTGCCCTTGGTCAGGTCCTTGGCCGACTGGAGGAACCTTCACGCTGCGGCCTTTTACGGTGGGTTGGTCCTCCTGAGTTTGTTTGGCCTCCGGGGCCCTACGACCACATCCAGGGAGGCCAATGGGAAAGCCTGCGTCGCTAATGGGAAATCCATCGCCAATGGGAATGGTTACCATGCCCCTGACACAAACCACAACACAGACCAGGGCCCACCGAAGACCACCCTTAACGGGTCAGCTGGAGTCCACCACTGGCCTCCACAGGCGTCCGTGCCCCCTACAGAAAACCTCGTGCTACTATCATTAGCGATCGTCTCATTGCCTTTCATCCCGGCCACCAACCTGTTCTTCTACGTAGGTTTCGTTATTGCCGAGAGGGTTCTATACATCCCAAGTATCGGCTTTTGTCTATTGGTTGCTGCTGGCGCAAGAAACGTGTACGTCAGACTGAGGACTAAAGGCTGCAAGGCCTTAATGTTGTGCCTCTGCGCCGGACTAGTGCTGCTGAATGGACTCCGAACGGTTCAAAGAAACAGGGACTGGAGCAACGAGGAGAATCTCTACAGGTCTGGGATTAGTGTGAATCCTGCTAAAGGTAAGAGACGGGCGGCCGTCCTCATTAGCCTTCAACAGGAGCTTATTTTGGGTGTAATTATCTTTTGAATTGACCGACCCTTATAAGATTCATAAGAAAAGAAGCACACAATTGTTCAATTCAGTAAATTCTAGGGCCTCTGCTTTGGAAACTTAAGTGGACATATTTTTATTTCAGCAAATCGACGGCATTAATGCCCTTTTAAATCGAATGCCAAGGTTGATTCTGGAAGTGCAACTTTTGACTGACACGTGTCTCTCGCAGCCTGGGGCAACCTGGGGAACGTACTGAAGAACCAGGGCAACATGGCGGAGGCGGAGCAGGCGTACAGAAACGCTCTGCACCACCGAGGGAACATGGCCGACATGCTGTACAACCTGTGAGTATTAAAGACGCCTCCTCCGCCCCCCCCCCAACCCACTGTTTGAAGAGTCTCGACACAGACGGTCCTGATTCCTCCCGTTCCTCACTTGACATTGCAGCGGCGGAAACAAGAAAGGCGGAAGGGGGACAAAGGGAAGTAGCGAAAAGGGAGATTGAAAATAGATCCAATACACCAGGAAAGAAGTGACAGTGTCTGTGAGCCGTGTGATGCAATCATGTAACGAATGGGATATTACTTTGCGTGTCCCTGGTGGCTCTTTGTACCTTGAGCCGCTGATTTGATAAGTCGTGGTTTGCTGGGCCTGCGGGAGGCCACGAGGCCGCCTCCAATCCCGGGAACAAAGGGTGTGGAAGGTGCCAAAGCCCCACAGCAGACATCCGTGTCTCACGCTGACGTGTTTTATTTTTTTTTTCCCCACTGCTCGATTCCTTTTCAAGTTACTGGTGTCAAGAAGCTGGCGATGCAACAGAGGGAATAGGGAAAAGCTATTGATAGTTTTTTTTTTTTTGGCATTCTATGACATGAACTGAGGTGCAGTTTCAGTAATACGGATGGTCGGATATATTGGGTAAATGCTACAGAAGCTGCTTTAGTTTTTAGTTTTCCCTTAATCACTTGTTGGGTTAACCACAGATTCAAAATACCAAGAAAATCCTCAGTTGTTTCACATTCTTGCATTTCTTTTTGTCTTTTAGCGGCTTGCTGCTGCAGGAGAACGAGCGTTTTTCTGAAGCCCTGCATTATTACAAACTGGCCATCGGGAGTCGGCCAACGCTGGCATGTAAGTAAACAAAATAAAAAGGGTTTGTTTTGCGGTGGTTGTCGTCATGGGAAGAGTTATCAGCCGTTCCATTTTCTCACGCATTGATTAAACGTCGACGTGAGCCGAGGGCCGTTATTGGATCGCCATCACGGCCCAATTTGAGTGCTTAATAAGACGTTGTTTTTCCACTCGCTCATGTTGTTGGGCCACATTCAGGCTGTTTCAGCTGCACGGTGAAATGATGAGATTCAATCTCACGCTCCGGTGCCCCACATGTGAGATCAGGGTTCATCACTTACTTTATGAGAGAGGGAAGGACAGCTTCCAGACTGCTGATAAGTTATCTTAACTTTGTCCCAAGCTACATGACCTTTTAACATAATTTTTTCTTTATGGTAATTTAATCCCTGTTTGACAGCTGTCTCCCTATTGCTGTATTATTGCATATATATACCAACTGGATGTGTGAATGAATCAAGAGTTTTCAGTTTAACAACATCAGAAATTGCATTCTTCTTGTTGTCCCGTTTAATTGATTCCCTCCACCTCCTCCCCCTCCTCCTCCTCCTCCTCCTCCTCTTCGTCCTCCTAGCGGCCTACTTGAACACGGGGATCATCCTGATGAACCAGGGCGACCTGGAGGACGCAAAACGCACCTTTCTTACTTGTGCCGACATTCCTGATGAGAACTTGAAGGACCCCCACGCCCACAAGAGCTCTGTCACCAGCTGCCTGTACAACCTGGGGAAACTGCTCCACGAACAGGGCCGGCAGGAGGTGAGGACTCGAGGCATTTCAAGTGTGACAGGAAACCGGTGCAGGGCGTCTGAGGCAAAACAAAAACGGCGACTCTTTTCCTCCACTTCAGGAGGCGCTGTCTGTTTACAAGGAGGCGGTGCAGAAAATGCCCAGACAGTTTGCGCCGCACAGCCTTTTCAACATGATGGGTAAGTTAGTAAGTTTCCCCACAACAAGTCTCGTGTTCGTGATGCCGACCTCAAATCGCAGAATGAGAAATCACCACTTTGACAAATATCTGCTTTGAAACAAAAGCCGAAATGAGTACTTTGATGAGGTAACTCAACCGTTGGATACGTGTAATCATGTAGAACAACGTCAAGCGGGTTGTTATGACGTGAGTGAAACAATCTCGACGTGGAAGTTTTGGCTCGCGTTTGAGTGATTGATTTCACGTGTTTGTTTCCATTTCAGCTGAGCTTTGAGCGGAATTCAACAAATTTACATTAACTCGCTGCCAAAAAAAAAAAAAAAAAACCCTTCGCAGGACACGGACCATCTGTTTGATTGCAACGCTGTACAGACGTCGTGTCCTCTCGCAGAGGCTTGAAGCTAATCCCTCTCTTTGTTATTGTAACACTAATGACATTATTGGGAGCTCATCCTGACGCACGGGGTGAGATTGCGGAGAGATAGATGTCTGCAAATATTCCCCCGGACAAGCGAAATGAGAATGGGAAGCGTGTTTTGTCAGGTGGAGGGAGGGGATGACGGAGGGCAGTGTTTGCATTAGTGCGATATCCAGGGGCTTCTTTCTTTGAAACTGATGTCATTTTGCCCCCGGAGGCCCACAGCACGTCCTCGCATCAAAAACAGTCGAGCAGTGTTGATGTATCAACTTTTTGTCCGAAAACTTTTTGCAGTTTTCGGAGTGTATTCAGACGGCAGATGGTTCAGTCTTTGATGTTGAGGACACACATGTAGTGGAGAATGGTGTGTGTGTGTGTGTGTGTGTAATGAATTATCCCAGACACATCTATGCTGATACAAACAGACCAGCAACCACTGCTCCAAATGCACCATGTATGTCACATTAAGTGTGCAAGAAGCAGAGAGTGTTGAAAAAAAAATACAGGCCAGATGTATTTTAGCTGTCAGAATTGAAACTGCATTTTCTTCGGTGAAAAAAAAATCCTATTCATGTTTCCATTGTTTTTCTTGTACCCATAATCGTCCTCCAAAACAAACTGTGACCATTTCTGCGTGTTCTCTGTTTCAGGAGAGGCCTACATGAGGCTGAACCGGCTGGAGGAAGCCAGTCACTGGTACAAAGAGTCCCTGAGGGCCAAGCCCGACCACATCCCGGCACACCTTACTTACGGCAAACTCCTGTCCATCCTGGTGAGTCCCACGACTGGCAAACGCACCGTGCCAAAGCATTGTCCCAGCTACGATTTGCAGTGGCTGGGATGAATAATGCACACCGCGTGCCCCGTCGGAGCGCAAGCGATCGATTTCTCTCCGCAGCCTCGGAGAGCTGCGATAATTGTTATGAGGTGTGAGGTTCCGACTCTTGAGGTGTGCATGTTAAACGCACTCCTCTGCCCTGATCAGTTAGTCAGCTAGCGGAGAGGTGCTGCATCTGTGATTATGTTGTTTCGCCTCAATTGCTACTAGTTGTTTTAGTGGAAAAAAGAAAAGAAGAAGTGACGGAAGGGACCCTGATGCAGAGCCAATGCCAAGTGGATGAGAGAACAGACAAATTGTGGCGGCATAAATGTCTGATGTCTGAAGGTCACAGACGTGGGGGTGAAAGCGACCCCTGTGTGATTGGACGACTTCCGGATTGCATGTGTGTGTGTGTGTGTGGTTGTGTTTGCCGTCCCTTCAAACGTCGAGGACGCAAGTTTTCCCAACTTCTCTCAAATATGAACTTCAAAAGCTTTTTTTTTTCTTTTTGTCAGAAAAATTTCCACTCTTCACTGTTCGCTTTGAAAGAAAAAAAGCAAAGGCTTGTTTTGACAACGCATGTGTTCACAGCTGAGTCCAGTTTAGCGGTGGGAGTTGAACTGCTTGCCCCTCTGCGACCCCCTCTGGAGATGCCTGACCTCCTCCCTTCCAATTGCCTTCGGGTTTGGAGGAAAACAACCTGCAGTGCTTTGGTTGCAGCTGCGAGCCTCACGTCTGATCGTTTCCTTTTCCTCGCCGAAAGATTCTGAAGAGATATACGCGGCACAAACGCACGCCACGTAGAGCACGGGTTTGGGATCAGCGTCGCCCCGCTGTGTCCGGACATCTGCTGCTCTCCCCTTTAGGCTCATGTCTGGGGATCCATGCGGGGCCCCGGCTTTCAGAGACGCACCCCTCCCCCCCCCCCCCCATCACTGCTACAGGGCTTAAGGAACAGGAGATTGGATGGACCCCGGACAACGGGCCAGTGGACAGGCTTATAATGCAATTACTCTCCTTCCTTATTAAATCACTTCCATCAGCTACATTGTTGGCTGTCCGTGCCGCAGTCGATCGCCGATACGGAAACGGGGAAGAAAAAAGGTCAACGTGAAGCCTCGTACTGCGGTTTACCCCCGAGAACGTGCTGCGGTGCGCTTTTTTTCTTGTGTTTTTTTTGGAAAGTTGTGTTACACGTCAACTTTTTAAAGTGTCCGTATCCCCTTTCTTAAAACCCCACAATAACAATGCTGCAACCGGATAGTCTCGCACGCCGTCCACGTCCCTCAATGAATAACAAGTGCACCTCCTGAAGCCACTCATTTGCTTATAGGTCAAAGTGCATACAAACAGGCCTGCTGTCTGTCTCTTGCTGGCGTCAGGAGGGTGTGGTGTGGATTAGGGAAAGTTGTGGTCAGTCAACGTTGCATTGATTTATGAACTTGAACTCTGAGCTGTGAAGTTAGCATATCTATCACTGATAACCGATGATTACCCTCAAATCTGTAAAAAAAACAAATACGTTTAAGTGCTTTCATCAATCATTTAAATGATGACTTCCTCCAACCTAACTGGACTGAAACACTCTGATTTCAGCTCTGATGGATGTCCGGGTGAAAGGGTTAATTGAATGTGAGGAGAAAAGTGCCAAAGACAATGTGAAATAAGCCATCAAGGCCCCATGTTCGCTCATTCGTTTAGTGGGCATGAGTTAAAGCTAATGAAGCAAATGTAATAGGCCCCGTCCTCTCATTTCTTGTTGCATGACAAGTCCATCGGCAATGTGGCAGCAATCAGTGCTGAAGCATGGAGAAGAAAAACGTGCACACAGAAGCTATATATTTCTCAGTGTGGTTGCAAGTACACACACAGAGAAAAGGGTATAGATCCTGCAGGTCTGCTAAATACGTGTTAAGGTTAACAACAAGCCTGTCAAAGTGTGCAACAAACTGTATGACCTAACTACATTCAACAAGATATTACAGGTAACAAAAGACAATCATGCGCGAAACTATTCTTTGATTTGAATTTCAGGACTAATTTTCTTTCTTTTTCCTTTTAGGGGCAGAAGACCAAAGCGGAGGAGTACTACCTGAGAGCTATTCAAATAGACCCAACTAAAGGAAACTGCTACATGCACTACGGTAAGAAGCGCTATCAAAGCTTTTTTCCATCTGTAGAAAAAGGTCAACTTTTTCATTATAGCCTAGAATCATTAAAAATGGACGCCTGTGTCCTCGTAAATTCCTCCCCGCTTGGTTGACAGGGTTGTGAGGAGATCATTTAAAGACCTCCTCCACCAGCTACAACGTGCCTGATTGCCTGTAATTCCTCTGCCATGCCGCACTTGTAGGCTTTACTGTAATGATCGGGCTTTGCTGCAGTAAGCGGCACTCGGCATGATCATTAGGCAGGACTCTTTTAGACCCTTTGGGTCCGAGACCTATTCTTTGTAGTTCCGCCTTCAGACCCGTGGTCATCAAACACACCGGCTCCCGTTACAACTCATTTTTTGCACCACCTCAGTTTGTGTAACCTGATACGAAGTTTTCACAGCGGCGTGGTAATCATTTAGAAAGTGTCAAATAATTGTTGTTTTTTTCCCCCCTTAAACACGCTAGTGGACCTCTGAGATCCACGCAAGGCCTCCTTCATCTGAGTGTGGAGCCGGGGATCACAGTTTACCCAGAGACTTAAACGCCGCCGTGCTGCTCTGCATGCCAATATATTGCATATCAGTCAGTAGAAACGGTCTCATTGCTGCTCCACGTTTTCAGGATATTAATCAGAAATGAAATCTGTCCTGGCGGCGACATTGTCCCTTCTCTCCTCTTCCTTATCTCCCTCGCTGGGTATCTCAAGCACGTTGCTGCCTTTGGACCGAGCGGTTTCCCTCCCGTTACACTCTCTGGCTGTAGGTGATGTTTACTTGGGCCGGTTCCCCCTCTTTTATCGCAAATCGGGCCGCTTTCTGCCTGTCCCGGCTCCGCTGGATGAGCTCGCACGCACAAAGCGCGAGCGGAAGCGAGGACGGAGAGGGTGATGGCTAAGACGCCCGCCCCCCCCCCCCTCCCCTTTCCTGCCATTGTCCCAGATGCAAACCGTCCAGCATGTGACCCGGTTGTAAATAGGCTGCTTTCAGTCAGGGGGAAACCCCACAGTGGCCCACAGCGGCGAAGTCATGGACTCACCGAGGTCATTTGGAATCATCTTCTGAGCGCCACCAAAATAACCGTTTTATCGCCTCTTTAAAAAAAAGAAAGAACTTAACATAACTTCTACTAAAACTTCACCCTCCCCCCCCCGAAAACAAATGTCACTCCTCTGTCCTCCCCTCTCTCTCTCCAGGCCAGTTCCTGCTGGAACAGTCCCGTCTGGCCGAAGCGGCGGAGATGGCGGAGAGAGCTGCAGAGCTGGACGGCTCGGAGTTCGACGTGGTCTTCAGTGCCGCTCACATGCTCAGGTGGGCCGAACCGCAGACGCGCAACCAACCACACGCACACACACACGCGCATTTTTCCCTACTTGGAGAACAGAAAATGGAACTGCTGCGTCGGTGAAAGCTGTTGCGCTTTACGCCTACAAGCAGCAGTAGAGTTTCAGTCCTTCGTGAGGCTTGTAGAGGCCCCCGTTGGAGGGTTTCCCCTTAAAGTTTGGCGAGCATGTGCACAGACAGCGAATAAGTCTTAAAACACGTCAAAGGGGTCTGCAAATGTGCTCTGCTGCCAGCGACTGGTGGAAATATTGGAGCATTGTGCCGCCGTTCCTTTTTCGCTGTGCATATCTGGAGAAGTCATTACTACCCTCGAGCATAGCATCCATCGAACTTTAACGCCACAGAGGGCTTGTGAGAAGTTAAAAGTCTCACGGCTTGGTTAAGGCATTTTTTTTTTTGTTCCTTTGGGACAGAGTGAATCTAAATGACGGATCATTCTGCCGTATTCTGGATGTTTTTAACCAAGACTGCAACCGTATAACGCTATTTCTCCAATAAAGCACTTTGTTTTTACATGTTTTGGGTTAAACCGTAGTGCTTCTCTGCCCAGTTTAACTCTCCATAAACCCCTTAAACTTCTGAATCCTAATTTACTTTGCAGCACTCGACCAAACACAACAAAGACCGAGGAGACGAGCTATAAAATGATCACTATGCTCATCGTCATCGACTCCACTGAACCCCTAATAAAGTGTATTGAGACTTGAGTCACCGTCTCATAAATATGAATCACCATGATGGGAAAGAATGGTTCCCCTGATTTTATTAACTTTGGCACCGCACAGTCTGGTTCATGCACTCATTGTCATTTTACAAACCCGGCTGTAACACGCAACTGGTTTGGTGCCGTGTTTCTGGCACAAAGATCATTCACCTCTGTTCATTATACTCTAAAAAATGATAAGCAGGACATAATGAGTGCAAATCAGTGCCCCACTACGGCATAGAAACTGGACACAGCATTTCCGCAGAAATCATTTTTCTTTTACTGGAAACTAAAGTCCAAGGTGAAAATGCCAATACTGTTGCTGGCAATAATCCGTTTGTTTATATTTATTTAAGCCAGTTTATAACTTTAAGGGGAGAAATGTACTATATACTTCTTTCAGGCTTCTTGCTAGACACGTGCAAACAGGGGTGAGGGTTCCTAAGGGGACCTTGATTCGTTCACAAACCAATAAAGGATGTGATTAATCTGTATTGTACCTGCTAAATATGGAGCTGCATTTGATTTATACAGTTAATCTCTTAAAATTAGATAAAAAAATAGTGTTCAACACCCAATTTATGTAAAGAAATGCAGGATTTTAGTCTCTACGTTGAGATTTCCAAACAAGTTTATCAAAGAAGTCTATTCCTGTGAAAAAGTAAAATGATCAGAGTATTTTAATTGCTAAAGAAGCAATATAATATTATTTACATAACCCCATTCTTACTCCTCTCCTCTGTGTTCTTCCTTCTCCTCAGACAGGCCAGTCTTAATGAGGCAGCAGAGAGGCGCTATGAGCGCGCAGCCAGCCTCAGACCAGATGTAAGTCCCCGGCTATAGTGGCCCTGTGGGGAGAAACACACACACACACACACACACACACACACTGTGAATTCAATTCACCGCATAATTTACGTTATCATTCCGACACAATACTATAAGCAAACAGAAGTTATCTAATGGAGAACTGTGTTCTGTTCGGTGGCTTCAAACTGGGAAAGAGAAGCGTACAGCGGTCGCTGTCGAGTTCGCCCGTTGGGCTTCCGATTCAAACACTTGTTCACCGCGGTGTAGTTTACCCGGACAAAGCCCCCGAGGGACGCCGCGCGTCTCGATGTCAGCGTTTGAGGAAGTTGAGGCCTATCATTTCCAGTTCACGTACATCGGCCACTTCAAAGGCGAAGGGGGTCACTTGGAGTCACAGGATCTCCGTGTTTTCAGACGGGCTTCCTGCAGTCATTTGTTCGTCTGCTTACCCGGGGTCGTATATGTGATTTATGTTGCAACAGTAGAGAGGGCGTTGAGGGTCGGACTTCACTGGTATATTTAGTGTTACTGTACATTGCCACATGCTGCACAGGGGTGCTCCCCACCGTGTGTGTGTGTGTGTGTGTGTGTGTGGTGCTCATGCGACTGTGGCGTAGGCGTCGATCTACAAAGACATTTTAGTCGAGGGAACAAGGGCGGTGCGAAATTCCAGGGTTTGCAAACACAACTACGTCATTCCTGCACCACTCCGTGGTAACTTTTTTTTTTTTTTCCCCCAAAATTAGCTGAGCTACTCTTCCATTATTTTCCACATACCCCCTAGCTACTGCAGAAGCAGCACATGGGTCTTCTAGCTCCATAGATAAGATCTGCCTGTCTGTTTATATCCTGGTTCGGCCTTAAAAGCAGAGTAAATCCGTAGATAAGATCCCTGGTTGTCCATTTTATTTTGGAAAGCTGTGTGTTTACATTTTATTCCTTATAATTGGCACTCTTTTCCAATTGCCACGGGGACATTTTCAATGCACGTGTCTCAGAAATTTCACCTTAATTCAGTAGCTCTGAGGGCACGAAAGTTTTCAGCTTTTGCTGTTTATGTTAGGAAAAGGGAATGGTTGTGGGCCTCTGGAGTCCAATTTTTCGCATTGCACACTGGAATGATTTATTTATGCCGAATATAACCAGACAGCGGCACATCTCAAATTTAACGCCGTACTTTGAGCAGAATAGGCAGTTTACTGGGGAAGCTGGGAATTAAGAAGCGTGATCAGTCTACAGTATGCAAACTTATCCCTGCAAATACAAAAGATGACATCATGTACTAATATTTGACGAAAGAGTTCAGTTTTACTGCCTAAACATTTGCGTGTTGAGATGTGCAGCATTAAACCTGCAATTCTTCACTATTCATTTTTGAAATGTTGGCGTTAATAGGATTCAACTTCATATCAGACCAAAACACTGTATTTATTTGGATGTCTGGACTCTAATTTATAACTTCCAATATAATAATCGTTCACTGAAGTGCACAGAGCAGCATGCATGTATAGAACTGAAGATCAGATGCAGCAGCTATATAATACTCCCTTAAGGTTAAGAAGAATTTAATCACTGTGATTGCAGTGCATTAAGACGTCAAAAAAGAGGAACACTGCATTACTCTCCGTCTGCCTTCCTGTACACAGAACACAAGCAGGTCTCCATTTCTGATGGTTTCTCCCGGTGTGTGTGTGTGTGTGTGCATTGCATATCACCCAGTTGTTTAAAATGGCAAACGGCCCCTCATTTATCCAGCTTAGTACGTCTCGGCTGGTACAAAAAGCAGAGAAATGGTTCGGAGAAACTTAAGATACAACCTCGTGATAGAATCAATTGTTGCCTTAGGTGAGAAAAAAACAAACCGACTGAAGTAGCGTAGCCCCTCTCGCTCTGTCAAACTGCATTGATTCAGATGAGGTGAGAAAAACAAGCTGCCACTACCGACTCTCGTCTCTTAACACCCCTTGAGAGGTGGAATGTAAACGAGAGAAATATCAATGTGGGACGAACACTTTTGTGTTTGGGGAGAGGAAATCGGGGGAAGCGGTTGCCAAGTTGCTAACCATATGTCGTGCGGCGGGTACGCCGGCCCGGGAACGCGGCCAGTTGCGGGGGGATGAGGTGCCGGTGACTTTTAGGATGGGATTCGGGCGCGTTTGTTAGTTGTGGCACGCTGAGAGTGATGCCTAAGGATCTGGATTTTGTAGATTTCCACGACTGGTGAACTCTTCACAGCCAGATGGTTTCGATATGCAGCGTCAGAAGATGGGATTTTATTAAATCGGAATCCAGATAAAAAAAAGTTGGCTGTTCATTTATGAAAGAAATAAAAAAGCAACCTATTTGTTGACTGTGGCCCTATCTGGACAGGTTTTTTTGACCATGCTAATGTGCTGCAACAATTACATTTCATGCATGTTCGACTTTCTAAGCCTGGAGCACATTTCACCAAAGCCCGCGGCCTTTGATCCACCATCCTAAAATGTTTGCACGTCTCACGTAACCGCCCGTGTCAGCTGCTGGACCGAGAAGGGCGAGTTTTAAATAGTCTGACATGGACACAAGTACAGTAATCCTGTAAGCTCCACTCAGTCTCCCTTTTCCCGCCGTGTGTTTGGCCCTCTCCTAGTACCCGGCTGCTCTGATGAACCTCGGTGCCATCCTCCACCTCAATGGGAAGCTTCCCCAAGCGGAGGCCAACTATCTGCGCGCGCTTCAGCTCAAACCCGATGACGTCATTACCCAGTCCAACCTGCGGAAGCTGTGGAACATCATGGAGAGGCAGGGACTCAGGGTCCAAGCACGGGCTCAGGATGCGGAGAAGCGGCCTTTGAGCTGAGGGATCTGCTGCCGCCGCCGCTTCTTCGTTGCCTTGGTGATGTGTCCTGCAGAGAGGGAAGCAGGACAGGATGAGAAAGAGCTGGAGGCCAGAAGCTCTCTCTCTCTCTCTCTCTCTCTCTCTCCTCCAGGACAACAGAGACTTGTCCTTAAGAGATGTGGCCTGGGATGCCTGTGGAAGACATTTCGAGGCTCGGCCTGTAAGAGCTCCGCCCGGTAATTAGTCACCTGCGGCGCCGTACGGCGGCTCCAGCGACTGATGTTACCTTTTGTTATTGAATTTTATAAAGCAATGCTCAACGTCTTTAAAAGATGCACTGAAATCAAAAGGCCAATGATCGCAAAGTTCAGAAGAAAAAAAAAAGCTCTCAAACATTTGTTGATTGTTATCTCGCTAGCATTAAAGACTTGGGTGTGTTTTGAGGCAATTGAAAGAAGTGCATTTAGAAAAGGTACAATCATTTCACATTGAAAACGTAAAAAGAAAATAGTGGATTAGAAAGAAGTGAGTTTGCCAAACCTGACTTCTGCTTGAGCGTAGCGGCTCGAAGCTACATTAGCTGCTGCAAGCATAACGCAACCAAATGTCCATCCTACCTTTTGCATTGTGGGTAACGCAGGAGAACTTGCAACGTAAATACAATACTAACTGTCTGGCTCTGCTCCATTCATTTAATCCTTAGTTGTTCTTTTAAACTGTCCATCTCGAGTCTAGGGCGGCACGGTAGCGTGGTGGTTAGCACTGTCGCCTCACAGCAAGAAGGTCCTGGGTTCGATTCCACCCAGTGGCCTTTCTGTGTGGAGTCTGCATGTTCTCCCCGTGTCTGCGTGGGTTCTCTCCGGGTTCTCCGGCTTCCTCCCACAGTCCAAAGACATGCTCTGGGGATCAGGTTAATTGGTGACTTTAAATTGCCCGTAGATGTGTGAATGTGAGTGCGAATGGTTGTGTGTCTCTGTGTTGCCCTGCGATTGGCTGGCGACCAATCCAGGGTGTACCCTGTCTATCGCCCGAAGTTGGCTGGGATGGACTCCAGCCCCCCCGCGACCCTGTGTGCAGGATAAGCGGTTTGACAATGGATGGATGGATGGATCTCGAGTCTAAAAATGTTACAGGGTGCTCTGCCCTTCAAATATGACGGGTGAGCATAATAAACACAGCATAACGTTAAAAAAGAGGCCACTGCTAAGGCATCTTCTTTAGGTATCCCCCCTCGAACTCAGTGGTTTGTAATAAGCTGCTCCACCAATTAAAAGACCAGGTTAAAAACGTAATGCATTCGGCCAATTTACATTCTGTTGCCTGGGTCACTAAACATTGTTTGTCGGCGTTTGTGACTGAAGACATGAGAACACTTAATTTAAGTGACTTAATTTATTAATACGTGTTTGTTTCGCGTGAAGATGCCAACGCTGTGCCGTCGCTGCGGCGGCACGCCGCCCCTGTCTGGTTTCTCCACGTAGACGTCACTACGCAACATGAAAAGGACATTAAACTGTTTGCTTCTTTTTTAAAAATGTGTGTTTTTCTTCTCTCTGTTTCGGGGAAATCAGGTCTTGGTTCCGGTTTGTGACGCAGAGAGAGCTTCTTTAAAGTGATGTTAGACGTTTCCTGATGACGGTGATGTTTGGTTAAATTATACAAAATGTGGAGCTGGAAATGTTTTGTGTTTTTGTAAAGAAAAGTTGTTGCTTTTTTTCATAATAAAAACACGACTGCTGCTGTCATCCGTGTGATGTCCTGCGGGAAGCGCGTGCCTCTCCGCGACGTACATTCAGTCCGTCAACAATGTGTATTTCTGTAAACAAAGATTAGTCACCGAGCTGCTATTCGGCTCTTCATCCCGTTCCCGCGTATCAGCATTCACCACCATCTGCTTCTCACAGCAGAGAATATAACCGGCAGTTGTTTACATCCCCAAAGCCTATTTACAATATTACAAACTACTAAAGCTTTTGTGTGGAATAGAACCTCTTCTTTCCTCAGCAGTCATTTGGACCTCGTGTGTAATTAATAACGGCAACGACGGGGAGGCAGGAGTCGTCTTCAAGGTTATTAATTACAACTGTGAGCACGCTGTTCTATACTTAAGCTCAATGCATATTAACTAAAGTCACATTGTTGTCACACCAAATGCGGTAATATTTCAAGTTTTAAAAGTTATATTCCAAGCATGAATAAATACTAGTAAGTAAATTACAGGCACATGTATCTGAGGAAGGGCCAGTTTCAGTCATATGGCATGTTAAAAGTATTTTGCATTTAATGAAGATATTTTTAAACAACGTCAAAAGGTTATCCAGTGCCGATAGAGCTAGTTGTTATTCATTCGAGACGGAAAAGAAGAGTGTCTCTCGCTCTGATGCACGCAGAGCTCTCTGAGAGGAAATCCTAATCAGTCTTCTCACAAACTCTCCTCGCTGATATCATCTGATCAACGCAGTCTGCAAAGACGTTCCAATCAGAGGCCGGCCTGTGAGCACACCGAGCTGTAAATATCTAAGAAGGTATCAGACTTCACTTCGTTGACTCCCATGAATCCGTGAGCACATATTTATTAATGCAATATTAAGAACACTGAAACAAGAACGCGTTACTGTTACGCACACAAACGCCGTCTTACACTCGTCACTGAATGTTCCCATCTCGCCTGTTGGACCAATTAAAACATCATCATCTCGTGATGTGGAATCCACATGGACAGTAACGGCATGTCCCCGTTTTATCCAATTACGTACGCAAGCACATGGACATCAGTGTAAAATGTGTTTTGCTCGAAAACCTCATCAAGTTCCCAACAATCGAGCATGAAAGCAAGAAAAAAAACAGAGAATTCCTGTTTTTCATGAAGCCATTTTGGGCCACACCTCATCTCTGTACAGGCAATTAGGAAGGCTTTTGATAACGTCTCCTGCTTCCTGCCTGTGCGGTTCATCACACCACCGGGACCGAGGCCAAGTTGTCTTTGTTCCAGGAACTAGTGTAAAGTAAATGAGTGTCATTTTGCATAAGCGAAACAAAACAAGCAAGTCGTCCCGTCTAATTATAGCCGGGTTAATACTTTCCATCAGTGAACACGGTCTTTACAGTACTTTGAACCAAAATACCAATTAACTACAAGCTTCCTTTGTCACTCAGAATACGTTATTGGCAGCGAGCGATGAGAATCCTGAGGGAGTAAATCCAGCTGTGCTGCTGACTCTCCATGCAGGAATGATGGCACGACCTCAAAGCGTAATGTGGACAAGTGAAAACGGATCTTTGCCAAGACTGCAAACCTCTCTTTGTAGAATGTAAACAGCGAACTCTGCTGACAATTTACCCTCGGTACACTTTCTTGTGTTTCGAGACTTGGGTGGAAGAGAATAAACCCCTAAACAAAACACAGGCATCTAGTGTCCCACCAAGCTTCATGTCCGGCATGAAAAGAACTGCTGACATGTTTCTCTCTTCTTTATTCCACCAACGTTATAATAATAATAATAATACTTTCATTTAACATAGCACTGCTAAACACCCAAAGACGCTTTACAGAGGGCAAAGACAGACCAGCAAACAAAAGAAACAAACAGAACTCTTTTTTTGGGGGGGCAGCAGGAATAGGTCCGGCCATGTCGGTGCAGGTGTGTTTGCTTCTGTTGTGAATGTTCCACACCTGCACCAACGTCACTGCCTGTGGTTTGGTGATAATTATAATGAGAATGCCCAACGTTGTCCATGAACCAACAGTCATTTCAGGCCCTTTATCCCCAATAATAACGCTGATGATATCTAATGTCAAGCAGGAATAAACACATGCAGATTTTTGTTTGGTTCTGAAAAATACATTTATTTATGAAGCTTCTTCATTTTAAGATCAAATAGAAAGCTGTTCAATGTTGAGATAAGCGTTATGGTTCTAAACAGATGTGACAAAATTCAATCTTTACTTTAAGGTGGACATTGCACCTGATCAAGATCTTTGTTTCACGTCATTTGTACTGGATCAAATACTCTGGATAGATTTGATTTGGATCAAAAATCACAAAAATCTTTGGATTTGAGCTATCATCCACACAGCTGTTGTAAGAGTTTATTGAACTGCCACCGTCAGGTTTTCGGAAAAGCGGGTGTCCAACAGTTGATTTTCCGATGATTACCCGAGCCAAAAATATGACTTTAGTACGTTGACCCTCTAAACCTCGCTCCTCCCCGTCATAAAAGGGCAATGGATCTGTGCTCCTGTTGGCGTAGCGGTCCGCGTATGTTGCATGTTTTGCAAAATATATTCCTAAATAAAAAACAACAGTAAAATCAGTTACACCTACAATTACATTTAAATTGTATACAGCATCGTGTTGTGCAATCATTGAACGTACCTCTGCCATACGTTCCCACTCTAGATAACCCTAAATCAAAGTTATGAGTGCAAATGCTGTGAACATTTCTGATTTCGGTCCCATGAAAGAGTCTTTTCTCCTGCATTTTGCCGTGGATTCTCATCAACTGCTTATTTTTCCTTTGACAAAAAAGAAACACATTTTTATCACAAACATGGTTCATGGTGAAGGTAGCGGAGAAAGACAAACGCACAGTCGTACTTACCGACAGTACATTTCCCATAGATCCATATTCTGTATCCTACTGATTGATACAGTGGATCTGTCCAGCAGACCCTCAGTCTTCACATAGTGGGCCACATTCTGATACTCGATGCTGAGCTCATTCAGAGGGATTAACTGTCAAATACATCAAAATACACATTGAAATCATGAAACTAGGTACTGGTTTCTGTTTCTTTTTCAAAGGTTTTATGAAAAAATTTGTGAAAGGTCATTTTGACTGTAGAGTTGATTTATGACTCCAATAGACATTCAAGAAAAACAAAGTCTTTTTTTATCCAAAGTCATTTTCAAAGACTGTTAATTAACTTTGACAACGTAGATAAATTCAGTTTCTAAACATTTGCAGGTTTTTCTTCCAACTCTACGCTTCTAACTGCTTGAGTCTTCAAGGATGCTATCGAGCTGCGTCATCCACTGCTCAGTACTCGACTGACTGACTGAATAGTTTTCCATTAATGATTCAGGGGTCTTCAATGTTTTTTTTAGACCCCCGTCTTCTCCATCAATTTATCCGTTTGCTACAATATGTTATATATTATAATGTGTATTTAAAGACAATAAATACAATTCTGATTCTGAAGACAAAAAAAATGGTTTAATTTTTTTTTTAATAAAAAAAAAAGAAATTGTCTTTTTCTGCAGCACCTACAAGGACCCCCTGGGGGTCGCGGACCCCCTGTTAAATACCTCTGTGTCATTATCACCTGGTAAGGACAAGCGGGGTCAACCTTTTCCCACAAAACAGGAGCAGCGCTGAAACAGGAGCAGCTGTGGAACGATAGAGAAAGTACTTTCACTTTCATTACTCAGGAAAAGAAACTTCCATTTTACTTTAATGTGCTTTTAAGCCTAATTTCACCTTCTCTCAATGTTGTACCCGCGTTGGACACTTGTTTTCCCTCCGATGGAATCAGTCCGTAGCGATGCTGTTTGACGACACATACGTCAGGTCAAATAAGTGCTATGTAGGTGAACGAGGAAACGATACGAGTGTGGACGAAGGCTACCTGAGAAATCTATCTTGATGTGACATTTGGATGAAGATATGCTCAACACCCCCTTCGAGTTTCTCGCAAAAGATTTTTCAATATCCTCACTTTTAAGGGGGCTGTCGGGGTCGTCCTGCAGCATGGACAGAAGGTCAACACAGGTTCAGTCACATATTCAGCACCACATAGATGTGTGTAAGGTAACAGATACTGTAGACAGATTTTCATTAAAGGATTAACAAAACACGTACCTCAAATCTGTGCCACCTCCCACAGTCCGCCAGGTAATACCAAAACAACGGGGTCTCTGATGTGTCCATGGGTTCCTCTTCATCATGGCACCACATTGTCAACCCAAATATGAATACCCAAACAAATGAGTTTCCCTTCAGTAAAACCGGACTTCCTCTGTGTGACTTGCTCAGGTGTCTATTAGTTGACATTGGTGTTCCTCATATGCAAATAATGAAACCACACCCGAGCTGGCTCTCAACAAGTTAACTTATTATCAGCCTTCTCCTCTAAAATGTGTTTAATAAAAAAAAAAAAATCCTTTTGCATGCTTATGCTGAAAAGTGTATTAGTTGTAACATGTGCAAATTACAGACACACACACATCTCTATTGTTGGTCCCTCACGAATATGCAAAGAGAAGCTTGTGATCCATCCTTGCACTGTTCCGCCACCTTGTGGCCAATAAAACACTAATTCAGTTTGATATTTTCCTTTTTTAATAACACATACAGTCATTCAATGAATTCAACAAATGCACACAGCGAAGCAGTATTACATTGTGTCGTTCATTTTCATTACAGTACTATACAAGTGCTGGCTACATTCATTTTTTTTTAAAGATGGATTTACACCAGGTGCAAAGATAACCTGCGTATTGCCTCAAAGAAACATGTTAGCAGGTGGTGACATCACACTCGGATGGTTGAAGTCCAACGTGACGCAGATCTGGTTTTGCTTTGGAATGAACTCGGTTGCAAACGCATACAAAATCCAACCTCCGTCTCCGGCCTTTTCAAGATAGAAGTCAGTGGTTCAAAAAAGTTACACAGAAACATATTGCTAAAAGGACCACACGTGAATGAGACATCGCAACTTTATGTCACTGTGACACAAATACAAAAACCTTTCATGGAAAGGGGGAAAAGTGCACTGATGCATGGTTCAAACTATGCAGAGGTAGAAGCGTTTTTTTTTTTTTTTCTCGAATAAAAACAAACTAAAAATCCGTGCCTCCATAATACGCTGTACTAAGTGCACGCGGACGTCGGTGTCACTAACTGACGGGTCGCTGTGATGAATGAGCAGGAACGGGGAAGGTTTTTGGTTTCGTCATTTGGAATTATGTCTACATGACTTGTTAATAAGCTCATGCGTGGCACTGTGGACGTGGAGGAGGGGGTGTGGCCAATGGCGAGGCATCACCTATAACCTACAGGCTGCAAGTTCCCAATTTATTTTTAAACAACTGTGCGCCGACATTGAACAAGCAAGCACAGATGTATGCATTTAATACAATATTGCCATAAAGACTGCTCTTGGGTCAGCAATTTCCTCCTGTCGGCCCGTCTTAGAATGTACTGCACAGTGCGCACACTGCACACAGAGTCTTTATTGTCTTTTGTTTTTCCAATTTCCCCAAAGGCACTTGAGACAACCCATGCTCCAGTTACTCACTGGATGTGACTGAAAGAAAAGGCAAATGTCCCGTATGCCGCCTTTTTTTCTTCAAATGTCACCCCATCATTGAGATCCAGCCCCTTTTATTTATATATATATATATATATATATATATATAAATAAAGTAACGTTTTCTTGATTGGCTTCAGTAGAACTCAACCAGATACTCGGGGTAAATCTGATTGCTGTCAAAAATGACGTAAATCTTTGGATTGGTCATATCGTCCACGCAACTGTCATAAAAGTTGGTGAAGCAGGCGTCCTTGGACGGCGGCCTGCAGTACATCGGGAGGCCGACTGTGTATTCGCCGACCAGCACTCTGGCCAGGAACATGGTCTTGTAGGGCGGCTCACTTGCAAATATTGGCGGGGCGAGTCCGTGCCTCTGCAGGATGGTGTTGTGCTTGCCCGTGGTGTGACAGAATTTACTGGAATATTTGGCGTCCCGGGCAAAGTAGCTTCCTGTTGGGGAGGGAACATTGAATAAAAAGGTGAGAAATAAGGCAGAAATAAATAAAGCAGTGCGGGAAAATTGTGTCGGGATGTTGAATCACTACACAGACAGGATGTACCTTTGCCATAGACGTCCCCGTGGCTTCCTGTCAGCCGCCAGTCAAAGTTAAACGTGCATATAGCTTGTATGTTGCTGTGTCCCGTGCCGTGAAACAGCATTCGCTCCTCAATGTCTAATGTGCGCTTGACTTTTCGCAACTGTGTTTTCTTCCTTGGGGGGAGAACCAATAAAAGACAACACAGAGTGCTGATCATCATTTTAGGGTGCGGCATGAAAAAACCCCTGTGATTTTACTTTAACCGGCGAAAAGATTTGTCTCTGGTAGGGGCTGGAAAAAAGTACTAAAATAAAAATACCCTCACGAATCCTCTGCTAACAAACAAGCACTTTTGGGAGAAGTGTGTACCTGCAGAAGAATTCCCATAAGTCAAGGTTCTGAATCCTCTGGATGGATTTGATGGGATGATCCATTGTCCTATCGTACAGTCTGGCCACTTCTTTAAACTCATACGTGTCTCGCCCGAGCTGGACAAGCTTCAAAGACACAATCACAGAATGGTAAAGCAGTCAAAGTAATAGAAACAATCGTAGGACTGGTATTTTTTTACTCACCTGATAGGGCTCATCAGTATTTATTCTCTCCCAATGGCATGGCACAGGCAAGGCAAGATTATCACATATAAACCTGACAGAATAAGTTAAGCAGAGAGAAAAGGGTTCAGTGGCCAGACAAATGTTTTTTTTTGAGGGGGGGGGGGGCGTTTAAGCACCAAATCTTACCTGAAGCCAGTTGCGGAATGGAGGGAGCGTTTGATCGGTCGCTGCTTCCCTGTCGTTACATTTATCTGTCGCATCACTGGGGAGGAACGCAACGAACATTAGAGCCGAAGGAACTCACATTCGTGCACAATTTCTGGAGCAAGATTGATCCTGACTCCTAATGTTTAGCTAAGAAATCTTCACTTCTTTCCTCTCATGAGGGTTTGATATCACTGTACCGGAGAAGTCCAGTCTGTAGGTGTACTTGGCTGTGTAGAACTCCATGACACCTCGTTGGTTTCTGCCGTAGCACTGCTCAATCTGAGCACTGGTCACAGAGCAGGCTGCACTGGGATCAATCTGACAGGGGGATTTGAGGAACTCAAATTACTGTAACGGAGAGCTGAAACAGTGATTTGTAATTGAGTTTATTGGCAGCCATTTACATAAAGAGCCTTTCGACTCATACTCAGACATTGATAGAATTTGAAGATGTCCCATTAATTTGATGGAAAGAATTGACAAACAGCTTCAGAATGTATCTGCCAATTAAGAAAAAACATGTGTAATGTTTAATAAGATCAACAGTCCAACATCAATGAATGTTTCACTTGTAAAGGCAATTAAATTAATAAATTCAATTTCGAACAATGGTTGTCATTTTGACATGAAAAATACCAAATAATGAATTGACTATGGGAAAATAAATTAGGTAAACATAGCAGCGCCGCTTTCTTTAATACGCAAAGGTAACGGCTGAATGGAGATTAACAATGAAATGAGATTTGCAGTAATGGTTTCCAGTGATCTCCCGTGGGAATCTTATTGACTGAAGCAGAGAAAAGCCAGTGTGAGACAATGCACTGAGCACACACAGTGAGGGATCAAAGCCGTCATTGATCACAGTAGACGGACTGCGTTGTGATGCCCCGTGAACTACCTCAAACATGTGCCAAACCCCACACTCGGCCAAGTAGAACCAGCACCACTTGGGATCCGAGGTGTCCATCTCCTCCATCTCCGTGGACTCCTCCTCGGACGATCTGATGGCTAACATGGCTCACTCTGAAAAGGGAACAAGTGAAAAGACGCGAACGCGCTCAGGCAAAAAACTACGATGGTGACACACAGCGAACTTAAAGTGCATGTTTTGAGCCACGGTCGCCATGGCTTGTTGTAATACACAAATTCCAAATAACACAGGAAACTACCTTATCAAGCTAGCATCATTTAGCGGCTGCCGCGCCCGAGTCCTCTCAGTTCAACGGGGAGGAGGGGGGGTGGTGGGGGTCTTACCGGTTTCCAGCCCGTCTCCAGCCGGATGCCTGTTCTTATCGGGATGGAAGACCTTCATGCGTTATGATTCACAAAACATCGCGGATTCCAAATGAGAACGGGTGAGTGACACGACGTAACATTTTCCTGTGTTCCTTTTTGGCGTTGTTTACCTTTACTTCCTGGTTCGTCACGCAGATAACGTCAGTGCGTCACCGGATGTGACTCCTCCCCCCTTTTGAGAGGAACAATGGTTTCCTGATTTTGTCCTGTCAGGTACAACATCTGCACAGATACGTTCGCGATTCTTTTTTAGAATTAAGAATACATGTAGTATATATTATTGTTAAATATTGCGCGTGTACAAGCAGGCGCCTGGTATGCAGCGCATTATCATAGAAAGAGAGATGTTTGCAACTCAGACACCTCACAGTGAGAAAAAGACGGACGGGAAAGAGTTAAAAGTTGGTTGTCGATCCACTGTTGCATGTTTCACTTGAGTATTTTATTCATGTGTTACATGTTATACTTCCTATTATACTATAATAATGCAAATGTCCGATAGCACCATATTATATATAGTACGATAATACTCAACTAATAATTAAACGAACTATGAATATATTGCATTATGCATGAATCCGTATGTTTTCTCGTGGTGAGGGAGCGTCCCCGAGGACTGCGTGTGCTGCTAGTGTGCGCGTGTGTTTGTGTGGCGTCCATCAGGACACGCCCTCCTTTTACTACTCCGATTTTGTGGAAACTTTTGCTTAGTCTCTGGATTTTATTCACGGAGTCCGCTGCCAGCCCCCACGGGTGAGTTGCGTGCATTCAAAACTCTCATTAAAAGCTTGAAATATTTGCCTCAATATGTTCTTACTGTAGTTATTTTTTACAACAGCACAAGTTTATCAAGTTAATACCATTATGTCTTGGAAGTTGTTTGCAGTTATTGGCATCGGGAGTTGGATGGTTTTGTTTAATCTGGCGTTCAGGGGAGAAGGGGATTAATAGACTGCTGTCTCAGCTTTTGGGATGTTAATGATAATGACACTTTAATGACCTCTGGACCGTAACAGCCAGAAAAGGATACAGCAGACGCAGTTTGCATTTCACCCGTGTTTATTATCTGTGTGTGGATACACCAGACAGACGGAACATGACTGAAGAAAACGCCCATGGCGACTCCTGCAGGGATCTCTGCACCGGATGAAGGGGCCCTCCCTCAGAGAGGGGGATCAGGCGAGGGGGAAATGGGGCAACAAAATAGAGTTCTTATTCTCCATGGCTGGGGAAATTATTGGCCTCGGGAATGTTTGGCGTTTCCCTTTTCTGTGCTATAGAAATGGAGGAGATAAGAGATGTGTGTGTGTGTGTGTGTGTGTGTGTGTGTGTGTGTGTGTGTGTGTGTGTGTGTGTGTGTGTGTGTGCACACACGTGTATTTACATGTTTGCATGTGTTAATGTATGGATTTTCTGAGAGAGATGGAAAACAGATCATGTTGATAATGAGCGAGAAGGAGATGTTACTGACACTTACCCCTCCCTTTTTTTCCAAAACATTTCAGATCATCCCATTTTGGCCTCCAATCTTATATTTTATCTTAGATACCAATCTGATACTAAATGTTATTATTTGCAGCGTGCCAATATTCGTGTAAACCCAACCTTACCTCCCATACAAGTGACTCTTTTTAATTGGTATGTGTATTGGCAGGTATCTTCTTCATCCCTTACTTTGTGTTCCTCTTCTTCTGCGGCATCCCGGTCTTCTTCCTGGAGACGGCGATGGGCCAGTACACCAGTGAGGGTGGGGTGACCGCCTGGAGGAAGATGTGCCCCATGTTCCAGGGTAAAGACAACGCTTTTTTTAGTGGAATTACTCAACAACGCATCTGTTGACATGCAGGAAATGCACATTTTTGTATGAAATGCTTCCAGTCACGTAGTGGGAAGACTTTAAGGGGAATATGTACCGACACAAATAGATCAGTCAAACCAGACTTATCGTGAAAGTTTGTGAAAACTCAAGTTGTCCTGCAGGAGTGGGCATTGCTGCCCAAGTGATTGTGGGCTATCTGAACATCTACTACATCGTGGTGTTGTCCTGGGCCATCTTCTACTTGTATAACTCCTTCAAAAGTCCGTTGCCCTGGTCTACATGTGACAACTGGTGGAACACTAGTAAGTCACGCTCTGGGAAAAAAATCAATGCTGGCTTGTTTGTACACGTCTGTATTTGATCCGCGGCGTTTGCTTTGTTACAGCATTGACAGAAACATTTTCAAGCGTGCGACATCCAACTCAACCTCATCTCTCTTTCCTCAGTGCAATGTCGGGGCCACTCCAGCGTCTTCGGCAACCCGCATTTGTTTCAGCCTGGCTCCAACTGGTCGTTCCTCTACAACATCTCATCATCTGACTATCTATATAACTCCACTGACCTGTAAGTTGCTGTAATCTCTATATTGCAGCTGTAACTGGTAAACTATCACCTCTGATAGGCGGATGGCCAACAATCCAATTTACTCCTCGACCCGTAGTCCCCTGAAGTTTATGTACATGCTTCCTTCACCGAACTGTAAAGGTTTTAAGAGAAAACTAGCTAATAAGTGTGTCCTAGTAAAGCACCAAGCTAACTATTGTTGAATGCAGTATCATATTCAACTCGGCAGTGTAAAGCTGAATAGCTGCCAATTGATGGTTTTCACTCCCACTACATTCCCTAAAATGCAAGGAAACAAAGATGGGATTAGTGTTGGCCTCCGTGAATGTAGCAGCATTTTGACACACCCATGCATTCATGGGTTCAGAGCCGGAGGTTCTTATATCTGTTTCTGTAATAAAAAGGAAAGTATAAATGTGAACAGTACACAGAATAAAGATAAATGATTTAAATGCAATAGTGGTTGTAAAAAATGGGAGAAAAATGCCATATTTATATAATAGACATGATGGTAGATTTTGATACCACTCTCATATAGTAAATAAAACATTTGAATAATAATGATTAAAAACTGTTATAGTAATATCTGACTTTTCAAAGCTGAAACAATGCAGATGCATTATTCTGAATTACTATCGACTTTCAAATCACATAACTTACTTGCTTATGTTTTAAATATATATATTTCCAGGGATGAACCATACAAGTCTGCCAGGTCACCCGAAGAGGAGTTCTGGCTGTGAGAAACACACACACACACACGCACATGCACACGCACACGCACACACGCGTGCTCATCTGAAACATTCCTCAGCAATCACTTTCAGCCTGGCCTGCCTGAGGCCACAATGTAAAAAACAACCTAGAGAATCTACTCATTAAATGTGAGGTGACAATCTGCACTCGGTTTGTTTGGGTAGATTGTTTAAAGTAAAGCGTACCTACGTTTTAGAACTAAGATACATTATTGTTTAATTGTTATTAAAAATTGAACAATATGACTTATTAACCATTACTTAATCAGGGAAGGTAAGCCTAATTTCATTAGGCTGTAGTGGTTACTGTCCAAACATAGGTAGTGTATAGGTAGCAGCATCCCCCGCGGAGGTCGAGGGATCACACAGCTCTATTTTAGTAAAGTATTTGTAGATATTTTGAGACATGGATGCTGCTCCCCACATGACAATCCCCTGATTTGTTGTAAGGTATTGAGAAATCCCTCAGCTGCACTCAGTTACAAATGATGAGAACAATATGTGCTCTGTTTCCTGCAACTTCTATAATATAAACCAAAGCGAATCAAAACCAAACCATCGCAGAGTTTCGCATCTGCATTTCTTCGTTGAGATGCTTCATCATTGGTTGCGAGCTGGGTAACCCGCTGTGGCACAAGGCTTGTGAAAAAAGGAACTATTTGTATTCAAGCACACATGCACACATCCATCAGCCCGCGTGTTATTTGCAGAGGATGCACAGTTAGACATGTGTTTACGTGCCGGATCTCCTTTCTCACAGGCACCGTGTGTTAAGGATGTCAGGTGACATGTCCCTGGGGAAGGTCCACTGGGACCTGGCTTTGTGTCTCCTGCTTGCCTGGATTATTTGTTACTTCTGCATCTTTAAGGGAATCAAATGGACCGGAAAGGCGGGTGCTATTTTTTATTTTTTGCTTCCTTCATACGGAATGATATGAGTTATTGATTTTTATCTGGAGTCTTTTTTTGTATGCATTTTCTGCTTGCAGGTGGTGTACTTCACTGCTACATTCCCCTACCTGATGCTGTTAATCCTCTTCATCCGGGGAGTGACACTCCCGGGAGCCTGGGACGGAATTAGATATTACCTCACGCCTGACTTAAGCAGGATCTATGATCCACGTGTAAGAATCCAACCATATTTGCTTTAGAAATACAGCATTACAAACGTCATTGCTCTGCTTATGCCTCGAACCTTCTCTCTCTGTTAGATGGCTCTGTGATCTAACAGGATGAATACACTGCCCTGTTTTCTCTTCCCACTCTTTTTGCCTTCAGTCTGATTTCCGGTCCCAAGTCTCGAGTCTCAACAAGAAAGGCAAAGCTTTTCAGTCCGATATTAAAGAAAAACACCCCCCTTGCGTGCACGTTAACATCATAACACAGGAGCTTAAACAATACCTGCTAATCTCTGATTTATTTAGCAGATCTGTCATTCAGTCAGCATAATGACACACTAAAAAGGGAATTTAAGAAAGACAGCCGGTGAGTGGTCGGTGGTCTGGACACATTCTCATGCACAATGACAGCCTCAGTCTCTGCCAGCGACAGTTGCATAAGAGAAGGACTCTTTCTCCCACAAAATAGATCTGGCCTCTTACTTCCCCTCGGCCTGCTTCATCTCTATCGCCGTCTTCCTCTTGACAGTTCAGAGCAGCGCTTCGGGGGTCAGATGTAATAACCAGAAGGTTAACCCTCACACAGCGCCTTCCTCTTCCTCTTTGTGCATGAGGACATGCATGTTTGCATGCATATTCCAGTCGGTAGTGAGTGGCCCTTGTATGAACATCTATTCACACAGAAAAATCCTAAAATGTTTGGGTGTTCGTTGATGAGGGAAAGAAAGAAATCCAAAGCACGCATCAAAATCCCTTCAATGTAATGGCATAGTTATTTAAAACCAAAAAACAAACTTGCGACGTGTTTTCAACATCTAAGCTTCTTCACTGACTCATAAAAAGTCTACTCAAACGTATCTGCACCAACATGGGAATGTAATCGGGCTGGTCAAATGAGGTTCTGTGTCGGAAAGCAGTGTTATGCAACCCCACATGCTTTTAAAAAACAATCTGTTTCTGATTCGTCCTTCTTTAGCACGCATGCATGTTTCTGCTTCAACCACAGAGGAAATCATGGACAAGCTGCGGTCCACATCTGGGTTCCGTTTGCACCCCCGTCTCCCTTCCCTCGTGTGCATGAGAATCTCGATGCAGAGCAGTCGAGTGGAGCTCATGTCTCCGAAGACGTGAACAGTTTCCTCTTCGTCTGGTGTCATATTCACTGACTCGCCGATAAGTCGGTCCCGAACAAGGGGCCCGTGTATTTCACGGCGGCATCGCCAGCAGTGTCTTCGACTTGGACAAGCCTCACGGTGCTGTCGGGGGCCTTTAATGTTAACCAGATGCTGACAGAACGAGGGCCCCGGGGGACAGACACGCAATAGTGTCAATAAACCCGCCCACACACACCAGCCAGAATGGACGCACACATGGAGCACACTCACTCTCGGGGTTGTTTAAAAAAACAATTTTGTATATAATCTGCATTCCGACGCGAGCGCGGAAAATGCCACATGGTTATAACTGGCGTAAAGCACAGCTGCAAAGCAATTCTGGTTATTTCTTTTAACCTGGCAAGTTATTTTCTTATTGCCCTTAAAGACATTTGATTTGATCTTACCCGCTCTAGGTGTGGCATGACGCGGGGACTCAGGTGTTCTTCTCCTACGCCGTGTGTCAGGGGGTGCTGACCGCCCTGGGCAGCTACAACAAATACAACAACAACTGCTATCGGTCAGTGGCCTCGCACGCAGCACACGGCCACTTTTTACGGTTTGACGTTCTCGTGCTGGGTGACAGCGCGGGCTTTTGTTCTCGCCATGTTGCAGGGATTGCATGGCACTGTGTTGCCTGAACAGCGCCACCAGTATCTTTGCTGGTTTTGTCGTGTTCTCGGTGCTGGGATTCATGGCTCAGGACATGGGCATGTCCATGGACCACGTCGTTTCTTCAGGTGAGTTCTTTCCGTCCTTTTCAGGATCTGCGTCTTTTATTTGACTGCTTGATTTGACGGTTGCTATTTTTTTTTTCATGCATTGTAAATGATCAAATATTCATATTCGAGAAACTAGAAACAACAATCATTACATTGTTGGATCATCTGAATAATTGTAGATCGACAATGTCCACTAGATGGCATCTCAAGGAACACACAGCAGAAATATTTTATACCTAAATGTTTCCTTTACTGTTGTCTGGTGGGTTCAGAACTGTAACGTGGTAAAAGATGCATTCATGTGCTTCCTACAGGTCCCGGTCTGATCTTTTTGACATATCCAAGGGCTCTGTCCCTGCTGCCCGGCTCCTCCTTCTGGTCTGTGCTCTTCTTCCTCATGATCCTCTTCCTGGGCCTGGACAGTCAGGTATTGTATTCGCTGCAGTGTGTCATGTGGTGATCCCTTCTGAGCTGATGGCTTCCTCTCCCCACAGTTTGTGTGCGTGGAGAGCATGGCCACGGCCCTCACAGACTTGTTCCCACATCGCCTGAGGAGGCCGGGCCGCAGGGAGCTGCTGACCCTGGTCATAGCCGTTGTTTGTTTTCTATTGGGGCTGCCGCTCATCACTGAGGTAACCAGCCAGAGGGGCATTGGGACAATGAGATCATTTGAATTTAGCGTGATTGTGCACGATAATAAGGTACGATTTAGTAGTTGTTTAATACCCCTATTTGGCGACTCTCAGCATGCTGAGGTTTTAAGTAAGAAAGTGAACATGGATGAACATATACCTGTTAAAGATGAGAAGATCAGCATGCTGTCATTTAGCTTTGAGCTTCTACATAGCCTCAAACAACTGCTGCTGCGGCGGTAAACTCTTACAAGCCAAATCAAACAAAGCATAAACGTGAGCTTTTCCGTTTTAATGTTTCTTTTTTTCGGCTCTTGTTTCAGGGAGGGATTGTCGTCTTCCAGCTCATTGACTTCTATGGTCCTAGTGGAATCACTCTGCTCTTTATAGCCTGTTTTGAGACCATTGTCATCGGATGGGTGTATGGTGAGTCGAGCCATGTTGTGTAATGGCTACGCAACATATATCCAACAGGGAACTGCTGCTTGGCACTTGTTTCATCAGTCTAATCAACTTCCTGCAGCTGTACAACATCTGTAAGGAATCATTATGCAAAGTTTTATTTTCATATATTACTTTGAAAGAGCTCTATTAACACAACACAAAAAATGTTTAACACGCTCCTGTGCTTATATTCTGAATGACTTTCTATAACATTACATTTGCATATGCGGCAAGTACATTTTTTTTCTGTAGGTCTAATAATTCAGGTATCCACTTTATAAACACTGTATTCTTAAAGGCTGTGCACTTTCTGGTGCAGAGACAATGAATCCTACTGACTCTATTTGTGTAATGTACAACCTCAAGAAGAAGCGTGTCCGTGAGGTTGGAAGGATGAGTGCTCCACCTGCTGGGCTGAAACCAAAAGCAACACGCTAAACTAACCGAAGCGCGGCATGTTTTACTACAACCTTTTAATCAATGTTTCCATGCTTTTCTCTTTACCCCAAATGTGTTCGGATATGTCCATGGCCTACACCATAAAAATCCTCCTTTTCAACGTCCCTGTCTTCCTCCGCCATCAGTCTGGATAAATCTTCTGAGCTCTCACATCTTCCCACACCATCATTATCCGCAGTATTACTGGCTAAATTACAAAATGTGCGTGGGGAGTTCGGTATCCTCTGATTTGAAACATCCCGCCCATCTTTGTGTGTATGCACAGTGATTCATTTCTCTGGTGCTGAAATGTGCATTTTCTTTGCAAAAACCACTCGCTCTTCGGAGTGAGGGTCAGCAGCACATCTTCTACTAATGAAGAGTGAGCTATCGATCCGTTGCTGCAGCTGCTTCCTCATCCCCACTTTGAGTTATTTAGCCAACCGTTGGGCCGCTCTGCCTCTTCTGAGTGGGTCTGTGTAAAACGTGCAGAAACAACCTCACTCAAACATAAACAAGCCTCTCACCTTCCTCCCACGCGTAGATGCAATTAGTTTACAGATCATTTTTTAAAGTTGTGTCCAATTCTCTTTAATGCTATTTTTTTATTCCGTGAATGTTGCTCCATCAGCAAGATCAGGAACCCGACTAATCTCATCAGCCTCCATCTTTTTTCCTCTGGTTATTTTGTGAAACAAATGAACAATTTTATAGCTCACAAAAAATACCACAATGCTTTGGCTTCAACATCTCGTTGTGTTTTTAGTTTCCTGTAAAAGTAAAACCTGTTTATGCCCTTTTGATTGACCGAATCCTCTGGTCCATGACTTTGCAGGTGCGGACCGTTTCTATGACAACATTCAGGACATGATTGGGTACCGACCGTTCCCCGTGCTGAAGTACTGCTGGTTGTTCATCACGCCGCTCATTTGTGGGGTGAGATACTCACGTCTCTCTACCTCGATTCCTTTAATTCTCCCGATCGCAGATCCTTTGCTGCCTCTTGTCCTTGTTTCATCTGGTTGCTCCTCTCTCATGACCTTTAGTATATTTGCTAAGTGCTTCATATTTTTCATTTTGACACATCACTTCGCTTGAGTTCACACACGTGAAATGTAAATTGAGACTGCAGATTATTCCAAAAGGAGTGTTAACGTTTCTGTTTTTAAACCACAATGTACTGCATGATTGGTACAAGGTCAGAAAAGTAATTCATACAGAATCTTGTGAGTCTTACTTAGAGCAACTTTTCACCCTCGGTGTTTTCTTATAAAATAATGCTTAAAATATTAGCAGAAGCTACACTTTTACAAATTACAGAATTGTTCAGTAATTGAATCTCCCTATTTACCCGATTCGAAAATGTTTCAACCATATATTTTCTAAACTATTTGATTAAATTTCAAGATGATTTTATAAGCCTGCTGGAAGCTGTCACTCCGCTCTATCTTGGTCTTGGTTGTTTATTGTTTCTCAAGCACAACAAAACACCACGGCACTTGTCTAAGCTTTTTAAATGCTCGTCCCCTAGGTCACATTAATATATGAAGTTACAAATTCATACCGTCTCACCGTGTATGACTATGAAATCGGTGCCTGGGGCACAAGTTTTGCCTCGCTCCTCATCCTCGCTCCACTGATGTGCATCCCACTATTCGTTTTGGTCTCCCTGTATCGGGTGAGTGAATTAAAAAAATGAATAAAATAAAATACATGCATATATGTTTTTTAATAACTGTGTCACAATCACAAACATTGTGTCTTAATTGCTTTTCCCTCCTAAAAATCAGAATCCTCTAAACATGAGTACACCATCGAGTGACCTGCGGCAGGCTCGACCAGACAAGCCAATTCTCACACTGTGTGGACGCGTCATCTTCAAGGGGCAGGCCAAGCCCAGCCGGCACGCGGCGGAAAACAAAGACGGTGTGATGATGGTGGAACCCGTCGGGGTTTGATGACGGCCTGTTATGGTGCATAACGGTCATCGTTGGACAAAACTACAAGTGTTTACACCTTTCATATTCAGGGACAGTTATATTTTTTTCATGTTTTTTTTAAAATAATAATGCAAAAGTCCCACAAAATGTACATTTTTATAAACACCATTTAGCCTATACTCTAAGTGGCTTATAAATGTCTTTGTTCACAGAAACAGTAATACTCCAGCAGACCTTCTAGCCGACTATGATGTGGAAAAAATATGGTTTTCGCCTTAAAAACATGCATCTGGAGAATTTGAATCAGTTCCATGTTTTACTCGCAGTTGCAAATTTTAGAAGCATTTTGTCATCGCATGTCTAATACTGTTAAAACTGTGACATCCTACAACGTTGATCTAATCAAAACACAATTAAGCTACGCTGGATTTGATGATTTACTGCAGTGGTGCTGTCATGTCCATTACGGGTTTGTACACTGCTAGGTTGACTTTTGTTTAGATGGATACATCTATAAAGCCATGATATAAGTCACAATAGCAATGGACCTCATTAATCTCATTAAACATATTCCCATGCTTATTATCCTGCTGTTGTGTGTCTCTTTTATTTCCATCCATATTGATTTCTGACCAGGGAGGATAAACATTCAATGAAAGTTCAGGACGATCTGCTTTTCAGGTCAGTTAACAAATATCATGTTTTCTTTCAAAAGTAGAACATAAAGTAAGATATTATCCAGGTGTGTGTTTCTCTCTACCTTATTTCTGTCATGCTAAAAGTGCAATAACTTGTGTATGTGTGATTCTACAGGCCGTGTAAACTTGCTCCATCCCAGCAGCCGGTTCAGTCATCTGTGTGATCTGAACCGGCATTCAATTAAAAGACAATTCCGGATGCTGGCCTCCCACCTCGTTTCGCCCGCTGACTGGGATCAAACTGAACCGGACGACACCGAACGACCGTCGGTCCCAAAAAAATGTGTCTTTTTTTGATGAACCAATCATTGGGTGATGTGCGTCTTTTGACATTGGTATAATTTTTTCTCACAAAGATACAAATCAATAACCAGGAAGTTCCTCACGTGACAGAAAGCAGTGGAAGGGAAAAGCCTGGCAACTGGTTTTGTCAATTGATGGCCCTGCGCTTAATTTAGAAGCTGCAGGTTGCCCGAGGGTGGATACAAATAGGTCCACAAGTGGTATTTACATTCACAGAAACTACTCATCGATCTTTATATAACTAGTCGTTAAACCAGCTGCAATACAACTGAATACAGCTGTCATTCAAATACAGAATGGTGAGTAAATGTTGGACGGGGGGGACGTTATTAGATCAATGGAAACAGCAATAAAATTAGACCATTCATTTGTTTTATTTGAAGGGTAAAATAATAGATGCAGTTTTTGTATTTTCTTAACATTTTTGCGTTGGAAAATATTCCATCCAATGTTCACAGTGTTCAATTGTAGAAAGATAATATTTTTAAGTGTTATACAAAGTATGGAAAACATGATAGAAATATGACGTTATTGCTTTGTGTATTCATTCCAGTCTCAATTCCTTCTCATCTTAAAGCTTCAACTCAAATGCTTGATCAAAACTAAAAAGGATGAAGGCAACGCTGAATGCGTCACAGTAACGGATTGTAAAACTTGGAGTAACATAGGATGATGTGAAGGGAGATGGAAGGACAGCAGCATGAAATGGAGAATGAGGGGATTGATAGATCTCCAGGGACCAATAGTCATTTCAGACATTTCAATGCCCTGTCACTTCCTTCATCTTGTTCAGTCTTTCTATTTTTTTCCTTTTATATATATATATTTATATATATATAATTTCATTTCCAGGGATGGGCCTTTCATCTCATAGCCCTCCTATCTACCCAGCCGTCGCATTTTTATCTCACTATCCTTTCATTTGGCCTCTCAACTCCATCTTCCCTTTGTACTCATCATTGCAGTGATCTATCAGCCTGTGCCTCCCCCATCATCATCATCGTCATCATTCATCTTTTTACTCTTCCTCTCTCTCATTACCACAACGATGCTCTCTTTGCGGTATTCCTTGCCCTGCATTGGTCCTTAAGCTGTGGGAATGTATGCAGTATGTGTTGTTCTACGTAAAGCCGTACGTGATACTGTTGGTGGTGTAAGCCTCTTATCTAATCATGCAAGTCGCTTCTGGGTGTTCCTTGCTTTATAATAACTTCCGCGGACCACAGCAGCTCGCTATGACGCCTCAGAGACAGCAGTTGCTTCTCGGCTTCTTTACCTTGTTAACATGAATAACATTAATTCAAAAATAATCCAAAGTTGATCATATTTTTGCACGGACTTAAATTTGAAGTTCTAATGGTTTTATATATTACAATAAAAAATGTTGCCCTGTTGCATTAACCTCTCGTCGCACGGATGGTGACACTCGCATTCAACAAAACAACTTAATCTTTTTTTTTAATCTTAATCAATTTATGTGTCCTAACGCAGTGCAGCTCTCCAAATAATGTAATGGACGGAATGCATCAAATATTCAGGCCAGCAAGCATGTCAAGGTATATATACATATTTGATGCACTTCCATTAACATTTGGTAGAATCAGCACCAACTACCAGCTCTCTCGTATTCTCCACAGATACATATTTTCTTTGTTGAATGCAATAAATCTGTCGCAACATTATTATTCTCAACATTCGTCCAAAGGAATATTGACAATTCACAAAAAAACAGTTTTCAGCGCACACCATTTATTTTCAATATTGCATATGAGCCGGTACTCTTGATGTTTGGTTGCTGCAGGCGCTCGTTACGGAGTGACAGGACCCGAGCTCATGCATACAAATGACTGTGGCGCTAACGTTTACCTCTATGGGCACACGGGATCCATCTCAGACGTCTCCATATTACATTTTCATCACAAAGTGTCAAATGAGATACCACAATGGATTTAATGGTGGTCTTTAGCCAACACACCACAACAACAACTATTCCCTCATTAGTTCCTCACTATTTAGGTCCCTTCACCCTGCCTGGTCGTCTTCTCAAGTGCTGCTTAAACTGTACACATCTTTAGGCTGCATTGAAAACCTTAGCAGGGATCAGGCGGATGATAGAAGCCCTCGCTATGGGTGTAATTAAGCTTTGGACGTGATTAAATCTATTATATTTGAAAGCCATTATCTACTTTCCCCAATCACCAGCACGGCAACGGGCTGCAGGGCTGCTAATGGCATTGTTGTACTATTCATTAGTCTTTGTAATGGCCTGCTGCGAGTATATCTGGAGAAGATATTAATGTGAGGAGGTTACCTACAAGGAAGAGTGGCTCATGCCTGATATCTCATTTCATTATTATTAATGAAGACATTTTTGCTTTCACGAGAGTGATTAACAAGACAATGTATGCGGTGTGACTGTATCCGCTCCCCGGAACCAGTGCAGTGGTTTATAGATTAACTACAAGGTTCACGGTGGCCTGATGAACACGTGTTAACGAGCATTAAAGTGAAACCGCATCTTTCCGAAATCACTCCCTGTTTCTTGAAGAAATGAAGGTCTTAACATAACAATGCCAGCAAACACACACAACATACACTGGATATTACTTTATAGCTGAAATTTGTTAGTGTTTTTTTCTTACGCTTTATTTGCCATAGACAAACATTTCTACAGTTTATTTGAGCAAATGAAACATATGTACCATACTAGTTTCATGCTTATTTTCCTTATTGAGTTCCTCTCAACTTTCATGGAAAATTCAATGAACTATAATTGTCGATTAAGTCGGCGCTCGACACTGTTTAACAAAAGTTGGGCAAAGTCTTGCTTGGATACCAATTAAATGCCCAAGAAGGGACTATATGGCACCTAATCACGAGATGATTGAAACAAAGCGGCCGTTTCAGAGGCGATCTATGGCAAACAGCTCAGTCATATAGCGTGGCACACTACACAGAGCTCTCTGCATCACAATATATAAATCCCCCTCTGTCTGTGTGTGAGCGTGTTGGTTTACATAGCGTCCTGGGCACCATAAACCATTTAGAAGCAGTTTGTGGAAGACTAAGATGACCTTGCACCATCCTACCTACCCTCCTTCCTATCGTCTGAGTCAGGGTACTGAGTATGGGTGTTATGTCACTCTATGTATTCATTGCCAAGTCTGACACTGGCCAGACACACATTTCCCACATTTCCAAGGTCATGGTCCAAAACTCCACGAGCTCTTTCACTGATCAGGCCCTTCTTTCTTGGGAAATACCATGGTAACGCTGTTGGCATAACCTCGGCTAACACAACAAACACATACGCACAAAGCACACAAACACACATACACTGCCTCTGCCGCTGGAGTTTCCCACCAGAATTGGGCGATTGACGTATCCCCCATGGCCTCGGGGGCCTCAATGGTCAGAACTGAGCAGTAATCAATGTAGGCACAGGTCGAACTTTATTACCAAGCACTCGATAGTAGCTGCAGGAACAGCCGCACGTCCTAAAAAGTACAGACGGCTTTACAGGAGGATGTAGCAGAATCAAAAACAGCTCTTCGGGTGGCAGATACATTGTGGCTTCCTTTGGGTGCGGAGAGCCGTCTAGAAGCTTTTCCAATTTGTCTCAAAGATGATTTTTTTTCTCTCTGGATGTGAAGTGGAAGATTCAAGGCTTTTGTGGTGCAGTTGTGGAGCCCTGAACCTCACGACCTGACGGAGGACCTGGACATTTCTGAGGTAAGAATCCTCTTTTCCCCCCCTCCAACACCCTCAGCTTTTAATCTTTTGTTCATTAAGTAAGTAAAGATATGAATAATATGAAAGTGAAAAAATTAACTTAGGTGATTGAAAGTAAATCTCTTGTACTCTCTTCTTCTTTTATACTCCATGAGATCTTGAAAGTCTCCACTGTAGGATTTACTTTTAACTCAAAGGGAATGTACGATGTGTTTTTTGTATTATTGGTATGCCTTTGAAGCAGATACTCACCTAAGAAACTATTTGCAAGAACCCATTTGATCACACAGTACCCGAATGAATGTTTTTTTTATTGCTACGGTGTCGAGTCTAACTCATTAAACAGCAGGGGAGAATGTTTGTGATCAATGATGACGCTGATAATAATAAATCACTGTTTCAAATGATTCAGACATAACTTTTTCTAAAAAAAACTTTGACAATCCTTCTTTTCATCAACATCATCAAAGGCATAAATGATGCATCACTTAAATGATGCAAAGGCTTTTCATCATGATGAATCGCAATTCAATATGAATTTGAATGCAATGAAAAGAAGAGTGCGCACAATGAATCAGGCTGAATAGATCAGAGATGATTCAGCATTGTGGGCTCATGAAATCAATGCCGTTGATGATTAGGTATGCAGAAGAGTAACACAATAAGAAAGCTCTGAAAGACCCAGCTGTCTCACAGCTCTGTGTAAAGAATAAGCAGCGAAGAAGAATATTCTTTCAGGGAATGTAATGTAAAGCAGAGAACAACCTCGAGCATTGGCATGCGGGCATTTGGACAACTTCTGGGTCAATCAATAATTGTAATCATGAACAACTTCCTCTCAATTAACTTCCTGACAATGTGATGTCATCTAGGCAGAGACGAGCGGCTGCTGAGAATTCACAACGATTAATAAAAAACACAATTCAGCGGTTAAATTTGCATCACAAGTAGACTTGAGTGTGAGTGTTGAAGACTTTGAATCTGTCTTTTATGGGAAGCACAACCTTTTGTTGTATTTCCCTCCATTATTTTCCTGTCCATGCCTTTTGTTGTTATTTATGATGATTCACCATCCACTTGACTTTGTAATCAAGAAGTAAGAAGAAGAAGTAAGTAAGAAGTAATCAAGATACACGCTGCAGTGTTCTCAAGATGCCACCTGCTTGTTCATGTACATAGATGTGACCACTTCATTGAATTGTAATCAGAGTAGTATGGCATTCACCAATCTCATATTTGGTATAAACCGCCGTATTCTCATTCTGTCCACAGTTCTTCTGCACATCCAGTGTCTGCGCACTGACCTCGTACCATCGAGCAGAGGTCCGAACTCGGAGGGAGACGCCGTCTCACCCTGAGACTTCAATTCGTCCCCATTCCAGGCGGTGAGGACTCACCGATTCACTGACCCCGCTGGTCTGCAGGGGTCCCACCATGGGGAAGACTGGGAAAAGTACAGTGGATTTAAACTCCCCAACAGAGGTCAAACAAGCCGTTCCCTTTGAGGAGCTGGATCCTGCGGCGCAGCTTGTAGATGAAGAGCAGAAGAAAGAAGAGCCACCTGACAGGGGGAGTTGGAAGGGGAGGTTTGATTTCCTTCTGTCATGCGTGGGATACGCCATTGGCCTGGGAAATGTCTGGAGGTTCCCTTATCTGTGCGGCAAGAATGGCGGAGGTGAGTCATGCTGTCCGAACCAAAAAACAGTCGGTCTGAAGTAAATTATGATGATGCAATTATCACTTTGAGAGCACATACCTGTGCATTTCTGTGTGTTCAAAGTGGTTGTATATTTGGCCCACCAGTTCTAGATAAATTGTAAAATATGCAGAAAAGTGTGCAATATTCCTATGGAAGCCTAGAATATATTTCAAATGATATATTGGTCAATCCCGGCGCTGCAGTGGGCCTCTAATCGACTTAACTTACCTTTTTGGGTCCCAAAACAACCCTCTTGTTTTTACATCCACACACTCAACTCAACAGGATAGCAGGTCATTTGCCTTTTGAGCTAACTGCATGCTAACCAACAAGCAACACCGTGTCAAGCTAGTCAGAATGTTCAACCTCAAAAAGTAGGTCACGTTAGGGTGAAACATGTACAGCCAAACGGTGTGCCGCTTAAAAACAAAGCAGAATAACCAAGCGGCCTGTGAGGCCAACTAACAGAAGCATTCAGCATTACGATAACGGTTTCCAATCAAACACACCTCTTCTACCCAACATCAGCCTGGAGCGCATTTAGACCCAGCGGCCTGTCAGGCAATCAAGCCTCCAGCCATCTAATGATGAGCAGCATGCGGCTCCATCTATCTTTGCTCCCCGGTCACCACGTTCTTCCAACCGATCGCCGGCTCGCTGGAACCGGCTGTGGTGGCGATCATCTCACGCGGCGCCGTGGTAGTGACGGCTGTCTTATGATGTGTGCTTTCTGGAGCGGACCGACCAAGATGAGCAATGAATGATAACAACTGTCGTAGTAGCAACTGCGGGTGAAATTGTGCCACGATGCACATGCTCCATTTGCGTGTCCTGCAGGCACATTTTTAAACAAAAGTCTCTTCCTAAAGAAAAGTAGATCTTCAAGCAGATGAAATTCTTAGTATAAATTGAAACACAAAGAATGATTGGAATTGAACTGTTATAACTTTTAGACTACATGTAGTATTATTTTAAAATGTGTGTACCAGTGTTGCAGATAAAAACCTTCTGAACCCCCCCCAAGCCATCTAACTGCCATCTACAGGTACTTTTCAAACATTTTTCTGCTGTCTCACTTTGTGACGATCCATCAGGGGCCTTTCTGATCCCGTACTTTTTGACCCTTGTGTTTGCGGGGATTCCTCTCTTCTTCCTGGAGACGGCTCTGGGACAGTTCACCTCAGTAGGAGGCCTGGGAGTGTGGAGGCTCATCCCTATGATGAAAGGTGAGATGTGGGTATGAGAATAGGGCGACACGTATGTGCATCTTTTTGTTATATCGCTTTAAATTGGCCCGGTTTATTCTCTGCATTCTACTTGTCATATTTCATAACATCTGACTTTTCGTCGGCTGACCTGTAACAAGATTGTATTGTAAAATAATGATGTCTGTGCATCTTCCTTCCTCAGGTGTTGGTTTAGCTTCGGTAGTCCTGTCTTTCTGGCTCAACATCTACTATATTATCATCATTGCCTGGGCACTCTACTACCTATTCAACTCCTTTGGTTCGGTATGTTGCAGTATCAGTCATTAGGGGGAAAACCTTAACTTGACACAAATTATTATAATTCGTCTATAAAGAACAAATGAATTGCCAAAAATCCAGTTTGAGAGATCACATTAATCTGGAAAAAATGTCAAAAAGATTGTGTTTTTGTCATATTTGACAGTAAAGATTGTTTGGAAAGTGATTGACAGAGATTACAGACCGTCACCAAATATGTCAATGGTGTGTTTGAGCTTGTTTTTTGTTTATTATTATTTCTGATGCCTTCAAGTGCCTAAGCAATCGGTTATTGCAGCTTCAGCGTATAATTGGAAGAATGTATTTTAAAATATTTGACGGTAGGCATTATAAGAGTTTTTACACTTCTACTACCTTTTTCCACACTATGCTTTCGTATTTCTCTGCGTGGGCATCCGGCTCAAAGAAGACACGGTGGACGACATTGTAAAAACCTATAAATATTTAATCCTACACGTGCATATGTTTTATATGCAGGAGCTGCCTTGGCAGAGCTGCGATAACTCCTGGAACACAGAGAAATGCTTTTGCAACTACAGTCTGACCGACACCACAAACCTGACCAGTGCCGTCACAGAGTTCTGGGAGTGAGTAAGACCACGTGACTATATGCTGAGGATTTTTGTGCTTATGTGTGCGTGTGAATTCATGTTCTATGCGCGCTCATGCATGCAGGCGTAACATGCACCAGTTGACCGACGGGCTGGAGGAGCCAGGCGAGGTTCGCTGGCCCTTAGTGGGCACCCTGGCGCTGGCGTGGGTCCTCGTCTATTTCTCCATCTGGAAAGGAGTGGAGTGGACAGGGAAGGTCAGACTTGGCGCTTAAGTTTCCCTCCACAAAACGTTTATGATGATACATTAGAGAAGTGAGTTTGGACCGGTCTGAATGGATTCATGTCCTCTGTAGGACAAATCTGTCTGCACGCCCCTCCAGAAGGCATTGTGGTGCTTGTTTTTTTTCATTTAGGTCTCTCCTCACACTCAAAGTGGATTCACAAGAAATGTGTGTAATTGCTTACTGAGCATTAAAGTATCCTATTTACTGTCTTTATTTTGTATTTTTCTAATACAATTTTTCTCTCCAGTGTAAAAAGTAATAAGTAAGAATTCTTAAATGAACAGATGCATTAAGGTGCCTTAGAGTCCTTAGAGTGTCACAGAAAAGCGGGGCAGCTGATGCGTGATGTTGATTCATTGAATTAATTAAACAATACTCTCAAGGGTATTGCAATTATATTTTCATCATGATAGATGTCTTAATATGTATTTATTCCTCTCAGATGTTGTCTAGATTAAAACCTGCTGTCCAACTGCCATCTCTCTAACACCGTACTGATTCCCTTAATCTGTTTTAGATTAGAGGTGACAGAAGAGACTTTTTTTTGCTTCACTTTGCCTGTTGACTGTTTTCATACTTCTCTTTATAGACCAAGTCCAAGAAATGCTCGGAGCAGACACAACACATTTAGTATTTTCACTTTCTCTACTATGGTTCTTAAGATGAATGGAGCTCTTAAAAAACAAAACCCAAATCCCTTCTTAAAACGGACGTTCTTCCATTATTAGTTCAGCGTAATAAAGAGAATATTGATTAACCGAAATGCGTAGAAAAATACTTTGTTCTCTGTCTTGTTCTGTTAGGTGGTGTATTTCTCTGCCACGTATCCCTACGTCATGCTGTTCATCCTCTTCTTCCGTGGGGTCACTCTGCCCGGAGCCATTGATGGCATCCTCTTCTACATCACTCCCGACTTCAACAAGCTCACCCGCTCTGAGGTACATCGCTCGCACGCACACAGTCCGGTCACACAGACGCACAGACGCACAGACGCACAGGCATACGGACAAACAGACGCAGACGTGGGCGCCTTGGTGTATCCGACAGGTGTGGCTGGACGCGGCGACTCAGATCTTCTTCTCCTACGGACTGGGCCTCGGTTCGCTCATCGCGCTGGGGAGCTACAACACTTACAATAACGACGTATACAGGTAAAGGACACGCGTCCACCTCCCCCCCCCCCCCAGAAACTTTACACGTCCCGCTTTCTTCCTCAGTCCCAAATGTTTTGGGGGGTTTTTGGGGCCTTTTTCATTCAGGGACTCCATCATTGTGTGCTTCATCAACTCCTGCACCAGCATGTTCGCTGGCTTCGTCATCTTCTCCATCGTAGGCTTCATGTCCCATATTACCAAGAAACCGGTCAAGGAATTAGCAGCATCAGGTACCGTCCCGCTGCTTGGCAACGCAAGACTGCACAGTATTTGACTTGCTGAGCCGTGTCCTTCTTTACAATCGATGAAGAGGAGTTTTCAAAGTTGAGGCAGCCATGTTTCTTCGGTATTCTTTATGTGAGTAGGTTACAGTATAATGTCATTTAAATGGTACATCTTCTGCGCGGCATTCAGGTCCAGGTCTGGCGTTTTTAGCTTACCCTCAGGCTGTCACCCAGCTGCCCATGTCTTCTCTGTGGGCCATCCTCTTCTTCTCCATGCTCATGATGCTGGGCCTGGACAGTCAGGTACACCGTTTACCTGCAGCCGAGCAGATGGTTGTATTTATTAGATCAGTATGAACAACTAAATACCCTGTGAACGCTGAGCTCTGTCTACTTAAATAAATGTTACTAGCAGTTCAATAAATTATAAACTGTGTTCTAAAAAATACTGCACGATAGATTTTAAAAACACAGGATGGGTGAATAAAATCATGTGGTTGTTGTTTTCTAAGTTGTTTGTAGAAAACGTATATGTGCATAGATCTGTATAAATCCTTTCAGCAGATATTAACCCTTAATTGATATACACATTGGCAGCTGTTCAATGATCCGGGTTACTCCGGTATGAAAATTGCATTTATTCACACCCCACATTTTCTCATTAATATCAGTCTAGCATTATGATTTACACTGCGGTTAAATTTCCATTGTGGAACGCGAGCAAGGTAAACCAATTTCCACCGGAGGATGACTAAAGTGTGTTTGACGTGATGTGATTCTAATGTAGGCGCCTTTTGACAATGAGCAGTGATCAATCAGATAGAGATATGAAACTCTACTAAATCACTGAGGTGCTCTTTTAACAACAAAGCACAGTACGTACTTACCTGCGTCTCTTTTACGATATGGATGTATTAGTTCTGCACAGTGGAAGGCTTCGTCACCGCTCTGATGGATGAATATCCCCTGGTGCTGAGGAAGAGGAAGAAGATCTTCATCCTGCTTGTCTGCCTGGTGTCTTTCGTCATCGGCATCTCCAACATCACACAGGTGCATCTCTTGCGTATCACTCGTAGTCCGTTTATCTCAAAGCAGAATGTGCAAATGTATGAGTTGGTTCTTTAAGCAGTTGGTTGTGTTAAATCCCGACACATATTACACACCTCAACCTATGCAATCTTTATTTTTCCCACACAAGGTTAAAGAACCTTGTACCTTCTACTTCCTGCATTCAGGACAACAACCTGCGCTGTACACCCATCATGCATATTTGATTCAATGAAAAGGGGTTTATTAATATCCAGCTTCTGTTTGCTTCTGTGGTTGTGTGTTGAAATCCTGCAGGGTGGCCTCTACGTGTTCAAGCTGTTCGATTACTACTCGGCCAGCGGGATGTGTCTCCTCTATCTCGTCTTCTTCGAGACTGTGTCCATATCCTGGTTTTATGGTAGGGGATCTATTTGACGCAGTCGACGCTTAAACCAAATGTGACCACGGCCCGGAAAAGAGCTAATGCTAATGCAAGTGAACGTAGCATTTTTATTTCCTGGCTGTCCAACAGGAAATTACATGCACCTGCTCTTTTTTCTGTGATAAGACGGTCAGTAATTATCACTTCCTCATTAGAAGACACCTCTTTGTGTCCCTCTCTTTGTGTCCTTCTCTTTGTACCACAGGAGCCGACAGGTTTTATGACAACATTGAGGACATGATTGGCTATCGGCCGTGTGGCTGGTGGAAGCTCTGTTGGAAGTTCTTCACTCCGCTGATCTGCCTGGTACGCTGTTCAACGATTATCAATTCGGCGTCCATAATGTGCATTTCCTCCCCCGTGCTTCCTTCTCCCTCCCCGAGATCGATCGCGCCGCTCCAGGTGTCAACAGGCAGAGAATTGATGACATCGCTAAATTAGTTTTCCTCTTCAATGTGGTGATTTGGGCTTCAACTTATGAACTGTCCGGCCCTGAGGGAAATCTGAGGGAGTGTCCTTGTGTCCACTACTGTGGTGACAAAATCAAGCTTCATAAAGAGTCCATAGAAATAGAAAAACAAGAGTGATCTGACAAGATGAAGGAGCACATCTATGATGCATAGGCTATAACTGGGCAAAACATGGCTGCATTGCGGCTAAAAGTATCATTTTTGTCCCAGTTTCACTGAGATATCTTCCAACTGAAATGTAGACGTTACTTTGACTACATAATTGCGTATTGCAGGGGGTGTTTACCTTCAGCGCCATTGAGATGACCCCGCTGACCTTGGGGAAGTACGTCTACCCGCTGTGGGGCCAAGCGATCGGCTGGTTTATGGCTCTGTCTTCAATGATACTCGTCCCAGGTTACTTCATCTTCATGTTCTGCGTCTCCAAGGGAAACATCAAGCAGGTACAGACTACTTCAGCATCCCACTGTATAATTCTCCTATTCTGGGCGACCCAGAATAGGACGATTTCATTACGATATTTTCTCTGCTTTCCTAATTAAAGTTCTAAAGCATATTTTATTGACTTTTTACACTTTTCATATGTACGTCTTGGTCCACCTCACGTTACCTCTCTGTTAAGCGTTCAATTCTAACGTGTCTTGACCAGCGTTGGCGGAAGATGACAACTTCCAGTGAGGATCAAAAGCCATCGGAGCGCGAGGAATTCGGACACACGGGGCGCGTGGGCGAAGCTCTCGTCTAGCGAGGATTGTTCAGGCGGAAATGATTCCCGTCTGCCGGGACAAATGGACAGATTGAGTCTCGTTCAGCATTTCACTATGACGTTTTCTTCAATTTGAAAGTATGCCGGCATAATCTGGCAAATGCAAGAAGAAAACAAGGCTTTTCGATATTGATACATGTAGAGGATACGTTTCGTTTTGCAGTGAAAGAGTGAACTGGGACTACAAATTGAACCTTATAGATCAGCAGCAAACCTCTACCCATATGCCACATGTGTACCATTGATGTTTAGATCTATATTCTACTTGTGAAAAAGATTATCTTTGTCTACAAACTCACCACATACGACCTGAATGTTGTTGTACGGAAGGGTTAGAAAAATCTGGTAAAACTTGATTTGAGGTGTAAAACTGTAATCCATCGAAGATGATGAGCTTGCTATCGCTTAACCAGCCGGCCACTGTGGTATTTTGTCGGGCAATAAATGTGTCGGCCATCCAGGTTGTCTTAATGATTACAACAGACTTGAATAGAATACTAATATGACGAGAGTTGTACAAGTTCTTTTACTCAGACATTCCCCAATTTGAAGCACTTTGAGATTGAGTCATTGTCTTGTTGATTAAATGATTATATTACGCTTTTGTTTCTATAAATGATTCGTTTAAACCTGTAATTACTTATTGGTCACATGGGGGCAGCAGAAACAAACTCTACACAGAATACCATCATATTACAGAAGAACATCCTTTTAAAAGTTGCCAAGTAACACATCCACTGGACAGAGTGTTTTTTATCAAGCTTTTTTAAACACCAAAGAGCTTTCTGCTGCTGATGAGATTTGATATTCTCCAAAACATTTCAGCTAAAAGACAGACAACAATCTGTGGGTTTGTTTTTGCATTCAGCCCCTTTGACATTGTCACATTTGTTCATTAAAATGTATTGATTATAGTTGATTCATCCGTTTTGATTATACTTTCTGGAGTATAAAAAAAACATTAGCTGAGTTTAGGTTTATGATGTGATGAGTGATAAAAAAAAGTATCTTATCACATATAAGGGGAATAAATAGACTAAATTTGGCTTTAGAGGTGTTAAAAAATCTAATGTATACAACCAAGAAGCAAACGCCTTGTTGTGAATAGACTTAAATCATCTTTAATAGCATGTTGATATACTGCAAAGACAAGTAGAGAGGGATTCAGAGCTAACTGAGGGATGGTTGATGGTTTATATGTGTAACACTCAGTTTCCACTTGTCTCACAATAAATGTGTCCACTCTATTAGTAATTCTTTTTTTTTTTAAACTAGTATGAGCAAGCACAGTGTTTGAAGAGCCAGACAGGATCCACATTAATGGATGAAGCAGTGCACTGGTATGGCAGAGCCCTTTTCAGTGTTCAGTAAAGAAAGTTGGCCACTGCTGCGCCTCAATGTCATTCGCTCCACTCTCAAAATGCTACATTGGTTTCCTTCCAGACATGAACTTGTGATTTTCAGTGTGCCTCATATTCATGTTTATTGCACACGCAGTCTTTGTCCCCAGAATCCGTACATAAATTGTCAAGTAGGGAAACACACATAATGGGCTGTGGAGGACAGAATAACAGAAATGGCCTGTTTTTGCAAAATAGAAGCCTCAAATTTGCCATTTTAAATTTACATGGGTGTTTGATTTGATTCTTTTTTTTACAACCACAAAAAAGAAACGTGTCATCTTAGCTAGAAGCACATTCAGTCATGCACAAAAAATGTTAAACTTCTGGGAATAAGAGTTCGATTGACCTCCAAACTGATGGCATGCATGGGGGAAGAATCATATATTAAAGTTGATCTAAACAAATGCATCAATCAGCAGTCATACAATCATCAGCCACCAGTGTGAAATCCCAAATATCAACTTTTGATGACCTTTATTCGAATGTATTGCATAACCTTCAATGTTTTTTTTTTGTTTGTTGATATTATCAAAACTGACAAAAGCTCTCTATTAATTTCCAAGGCGCTCATTTTTTTATTGTGGTGAATAATAACAACAAAATAATTACCACACTGAACGGGAGAGAGGGTCTGATTTCTCTTTTTGGGGTTAGTTGGAATGCCACTGGGAGCAGGTCACACACACACACATTTATTCTGTGACCTCTGCCTTCCCGCTGGGTGGAATAACGAGTGGAAAAGGACAGATTGACGGGATAAGACCTTCCTGCGGTGCCTCTGTGATAATAAATCAACAAATCAGAAAGGTTCGGTCAGATGAGAGCAGAGTTAAATATGTGTCCATCCCACAGTACCTGGTGGGGGCTCATGTTTAAAAGATGGACTAATTCAGGCTTATTTCAGAATGAGGGACGCATCGGCAGGGCGATAGCATTCCGAAGGGGCTAAAAGGGAGCTTGCTCGTCCTTTCCGACGCTAATTGAAAGTGGTATTTACAAAGTCGGCTGGGGTTAAAGAGAATAATCAGACAATGCATTCTTTTCGTATTTAAAGCAGACTAGCCAACAGCGATAACAATCCCATTAATGCCAGCATTTGCAATACAAGCTGTGTTTGGGCCTCTGTAGTTTTTTGCCTTTTTTCAAAAAATGTCAGACTGAAAGGTTTGGAGGGAAGAGAAAACTGTGAACAGAACCATAAAGAGAAAGAGTTCCGGATGCTTTTGGGGTGGATTCAGTCATTTATCCACGCAGAGCCGGAATATGCTTTCTGCAAACCAGAATAAACACAGATGTTGACATTTAACACGCGTAGCATTTCATGGAAAAGTCTGAGGGCGGGTTACAGGAGCTTTAACAATTTCAACGTATGAAAAAGACTTCCCCACTGGCGGGGACTCGTGGGAAGCGTCTGCGATATTAAATATGAAGAGTAAAAGACGTACAACAGTCAGCAGGAGCATCGTGGGATGACTTTTTGGTTTTGGCAGAAATCCTTTGTGATTGGTTGCCTTTATTCCCTGTCATTCTTCACTGTAGAATGATCAACGGGGACAAGGGATTGTTTTCTGATGATAAAACGCCACAACACGACAGAGGAGCAGATGTTCAGTTTTGTTATTCTATTTTTTTTTTGTGCTGCTTGTGGCAGAAGCGTGAAAGGACTGTTTCTTTTTTCAAAAAGGAATGAATTTCTTTTTCTTTCTTCTAGCGCTGGCGTTCAGTCGAGTGCAAAAGGAGTCCGTGTTTTTGTGGAGCCTCTTTATTTTGGCACACGTTTTCAGTGAGTGTCAGCTGTGCACATACGGCGCAGTAGGCATGAGGTTTGGGATGATGAAAGCGAACGGAAGCGGAAGGTTCCTCGGACTGTGTCCAGCCATCACTGTCCATGTCTGTCACTGGTGGTGTTGTTGAATGCCGCAAACAGAAGGACTCCAATCCGGAAACTAAATATCTGTGTTTTCTCTAGCAAGTTAAAATTGACAAAAAGTTATAGAAATTTGTTAAAACTACATAATATTTCAAAATACATGTGGAATCAAGTAAAACTTTATATATATGCACGTCATTTGTCCTTTTCTTCTTTTAAAACTTAGATTTTTTTCTTTTAGTGAATTTTTTCCTTAAATATATGCATATAAGTGAGATTAATTTTTTTTCACTATAGCTCTTCCATTTGTATATATATATAATATGTACATTATGTACTGTTAAATAGGTAGAGGGGGGGGGGGGTGGTAGGGGGCGCAGCGGTGTGGAAATGCGTGTTAGGGAAAGAATACTAATTCATTTATTTACACCATGCTCCGAGAGCCACTTGGGGTCCGATGTAGACTGAGGCGGGGGTCGGGTGGAATGTACTGGTGAGGGTGGTTGTAAGGCGGCGGCGGGGGAGGCAGCGGGGGCTGGTGGCCGTCGTCGCCATGGGAGCAGTCCGCCGAGCGGACCGGCGTCGACATGGCCGACTGGCTGAGCCGTTGGTGGCTGTGGTGGTGGTGGTGGTGCTGGTAGCGGTGGTGCGCGGGCGTCTGGCTGAGGAAGGCCTCCACCCGTCCGTGGCCGCTGCTGTCGAGCATGATGACCTTGACGATCTGCTGACACTGGATGAGCGTCTCGGGCCTCAGATCGCTCACGCTGACGGCCGGCTGGTAGTGGTGGTGGTGTTGGTGCTGCTGCTGCTGCTGCTGGAGGTGGAGGAGGTGGTGGTGGTGGGCCGGGGAGCTCGCCGCTGACTGCAGCTGCGTGTGCTCGGGTGGAGGTGCCGGCCCGGCAGGGGTCGGCCCCTGGGGCACCTGCTGGAAGAGCAGCTCCCCCCGGTGGTTAAGAAGCGCCGCGCTCTCGGGGCTCGGCGCCGTGCTGCTGCTGAGCTGGTACGTCTGAAGCCTGTTGTGAATTGACACCTAGTTTAGAAAACAGCCAAGAGAACAGCATCAAATGTTATAAAGCTGGTTCCTCCTCTACATCCGTCAAGCCCTCTTTGTTTTGTTTTTTTTGGGTGTGAGGGGGGAGGCGGGGTGGGAGTAGTTTGGTGAATGCACAGCACACACACTCACAGGGCATGCGTGGGGGCTTTGGTGTTGGGGGGAGTTCACTGGGAGATGTGAAAAATATTGTGACAACTTCCCTGCCTCCACCCCCTCCCCCTTACAGGCACTGAGGAGGGAGGGAGGGGGTGGGGGGTGTGTGGATCGGATGCTGGGAACACCAGTGTGTGGCTGGGGTCAGAAGGAGGACAGTGGTGGTGGGGGGGGGGGGTGCTACAGGGCGGGGGGTGGGCTGGGCCCGGTGGTTCAAAGGGGACACCGAGGGCCCCCGTGTCTCCCTTCCAAAACCACTGTGTGGCGCCACGGTGACACGAGGAGACTGAGGTGGAAGGAGAGGAGGTGAGCAGACTGACAAACCACGCGCACGCGTCCACAGGCAACAGTCACAGTAGTTTGGTGACCTCCACATTCGGTCATACAGACACTTCACCCTCCATCAAGGTTTATGTTCTGCTATCTGTCTTCCTTGGTTGTTCGCTGCCTTTCCTGAATTAATTTTTTTGCCCGCTCTATTTTAGGAAACAAGTCAGGTTTCCAACACTGTTCTCAGGAAGCGTACGGCAAGAAAGAAAATATAACAAGAATTGTCAGAATTTGTGAAATGAGCACAATCTGAAATGCATATTATGCGCAGTGCAGTGGAAACTAATTACGTCAAAATCGAATACATTGGACATTGCATTTTCTTATGATTCAGCCACTCGCGCCGCTGGTATGTGCAGGATTCTCCGTGTGACCCTCTTGCCTTCCAAGACAAATGTGTTTCGACAATCTAGCGGCTCCCCACCAGCCACTGACATTCACTGCAGACTGCCTGGCAAAGGAGATGACGGCCGGGGAAGGGAGCTCAGACAACCTTGAAGACCGGCCTGATCATTGCTCCCTATCATAAAAACCCCAGGGCTGTTCAGAGAGGGAGAGAGAGAGAGAGAGAGAGAGAGAGAGAGAGAGAGAGAGAGAGAGAGAGAGAGAGAGGGAGCACTTGTATGGGTTTAGGGGATTTGATGTTTGCTCTGCTGTAATTGTCACTCCTGAGGCCAGTCTACCCTTTCCAGTGCGATGTATCTCTCCTTTGGCTCCACCCTGCACCTGAGTGGAAATGTACAGCGACCCACAGTGTCAAGAGCGTGCCGTGTGAAAATAAACAGCCACTGAGTTTTGGGCCCCTCCGCTGCCGGAGAAATGATGAGGGAAAGGTCATCCGATGGTAAGCTGGGATGGTAATTGCAAAGCCCCATGGGTACTGTAGTTCAGCTCGCCCTGTTGCTTGCACGAAATGTTTGCACGAGAAGTCTCCCCCCCCATCGCGGAGATCTGGCCGGAGGGCTGGAGAGGTGACATTTCTGGGTCAAATGAGCTATAAAATGCGTCTGCCCACGCTTTGCTGTTTTAATATGCACACACGCAGCATATGCATTCCACATATGTCCTCTGATTCTTTCATCAATGGTGGCTTCTTTCTTTTTCTACCCCTTGAATGTCACAATTTCCGACCTGAGCATGTGAAACTAATTACAACCTATTGCTGTTTTTAGACCTACGGATAATAATCGAGCCTCTCTGTAACTGATGTGTTTTCTGCGCATGGGGAGAACCTGCTGCAGTACTTTTATCCAATCTATTCGGTTCGGTCGGGTCACCTCACACGCCCACAGCACTTCACCCGGCAGCTTTGGTTCTATCACCCACTCCTCACCCACTTCTGCAGGACGCTTTGAGCCCTAAAGAGATGACTAGTCCTGGGGCTTTCGTTCTATCTCATCCTACCTCGACACCCTGGACTGACTTACCTGTTATTTGGGACATGGCTCTATCACTAAGCACTTACCTCTACTGCATTTTGTCCACTTCTTTCATCTATCTCCTGGTTTCCTGGATGGAGGAAAAAATGGAGGGAAAAGAGACAGAAAGTGGCAGCAAAATGTCTGAAATTTTATATTTCCCTGCTTATTAAAACGTTTTCTAAGAGCAAGACGTACACAAAATGGGTAAAGTGGCTTTCAGAGGTAAGAAGTGCTCACACACACCTGATGGGGAGCCCAGTTTGCCGCGCAGCTCCAGCTGTGTGCCGTTGTTCTTCACCGAGTGCGTCTTCGCTCCCTGCTGCTTTTCCAGCTCCCCTGCAGAGAACCAGGAGATAAGGAGTAGCCATAAAGTGCACACCGCGTCAGAGTGCAGAATAGACAGATGAACCGGCGGTGGACCTACATGGGTGTGAATAACAACATTAATCGTCATAAGTCTACTTTCTTTCAGATGCTGAACACAAGCCTCTCGTTGCCTTCCCCTCCCACTCCCTCCTCTAATCTCAAAACACAACTTGCCATCTCACTAATTACACTTCACACTTGATGGTAATTGCATGTCATTTCCAATCACGATGACTAAATGTTGTTTTGTCTCCAACACTGCGCTGCATTCTAATCCTGAGCCGCGACACTGGCGGATGCAACCCTTAAAGCTGGGGGAGGCAGGTTATTTTTGACATTACTCTGCCAAAATGCAAGTAATCTTTCCTCTTATTGGTATTCAGTGGGCATTTCTCTGGGAAAAAGCCCCCGAGCTCCTCCTACAAGAGTAGGCCCCCACTTTATACAGAGTTTTTATTTACAGTAATGTTAGCATTAACAGTCCAACCTTCTGCTAACCGTTGGTGTCACACAGAAGGCTAAACTCTTAAAGATCTACATTTAACAAATATATAACTAAAGAGTGAGAACTTTATTACAGTTTATTACAGTTTTAATGCAAAATATTTTGGTAGTCAAAGACAGTTTTGTAAAGGAAGCCGTTCTTTCAAAGACCTTCCAACAGCGATAATTTGCAACGTTTTTCCAATTTAATACACACTTCCATGGACTTAAACAGAGTAATGATGAAAGTTAAAGTTTTGTCTACAGGCTAGAGAACAGAAATACAGGAAAATATCTATTAAATGCTAGTCTTTTTTTTCTTTTTGAGTGTAGGACTAAATTTAAATAAATTCTGCAAAGACATTCTGTCATTAATTATATTGCAATGCAGGGAAATATGCACCTAGATATGAATTAAAACTGTATATTCTCCATCCTGTCTCAAAGAGGGAAAAGCCAAAGTGTGCCAGCCTCAAGCATCTCAGACTGACAGAACCCTTTGAGGAGAAAAGATGACGTAGTGTTTTTCTGTGCAAATGCCAGCAATCATTCCCCCCCCCTTGTTTTTGCAGAAAGTTGTTGTTTGCATGCCTTTTTAGCAAATATGTCTGAACAAGAGTTACCTTTTGTTTCTCCTGAGATAAATAACTTCTTGTCTGTCAACTAATGCCTGCCCCCCCCCCCCCGCCCCTCCCTCCCGGCGAAAGCTCAGGTCCCATCCCAGCGGGGGAGCTCCCTTTGAAGGCCACTGGGAGGAGCCAGGCTCTGTTCCTCTGTGTGGGTCCCAGTATGCGCATGTGTTATTGTCTGGAGAAATTCAAAAGGACGCAGACCCAAACAACTCGGACGCCTCGGCAGCTTTGAGGAGCACTGGCCTCCTTTTCACCTACAAATTCGCTGGGCGCCCGCAGTCTGTTTCCGCTGCATTGCACCAAAGGGAACACAATTCAAAAGTATTTCTGAACCTACACAAGTTGACATAGAAGCCGAAACGAAAGGATGACATCTGACTCCTGTGTGCTATCTGAGGACTTATTGATTCCCGCACAACGTATCTTAGAATCCATTATAGTCTCCCGGTTTCTTTCCGAGATGTGAGACTATTGATTTGGTCCACAGCGCGACGCTGGCTGCATTGCCGGAGTAGGATTCACACACACACACACACACACACACACACACACGATGGACGTTCTGCGTTACATGTACACAACTTATTGTTGGACTCCAGTCTACTGAATGTGTCTCTAATCTCATCTTTGATTTTAATGAGGTAAAAGTCCTACAAAGACTTACACTCGATACGTATCTGCTCCATCTCCGACACCTCTGAAATTGATTCCTTCAGGTCTTCTACGAACTTGAGCAGCTCTTCGGCACTTTGGGCACAGAAGGTAAGTACCTGCTTCTTGTCTGAGCCAAAAGGTGAGAGGATGGTGATGCCGTGAGGATAATCTGGGGAAGCGCAGCGGACATTCAGTTTAGTCCAAATAGGAGTAAAAAAAGACATGGCAAGAACAGTTTGCAAGAGTTTTACACTACGGGCATTAAAATACCTTTTGGATGTAGATTTAATGTCGTTCTCCTTTTGGAGATATTGTAGTAAAAGACTTTGCATGCAATGTGCACTATTGAGGGTCGGGATGCTTACATTTGTAAAAGTAAGTGCAAAAGGGTTGATTTATGAGAGGATGATACCACTTGGCCATCCTTAATATGAAGAAATAAAGCAACATTAAACGTTTTAAAAGTTGAATATCAAACCTATTTCAAATACAGCGAAATCTCCTAAACCTCCCGTGTTCAATTCAACTTGGAGGTGCTTTTCTCTGATAACAGTGCAAAGTACCGGGTGTATATATGTCGTGTTCTCATGGCAGCTGCCTGCAGTGAAGATATTGTGGCTTACATTCGTTTTCAAACAGGTGAAACTGCATGCCGAGAAGGCCCATCGCTTTGCAGAACGTGTAGGCTGCAGAGCTCTTCTTCTTCGGGCAAAGCTTCAAGATCTGCGGACAAGAAGAAACCAGAGTCTCATCAACAATTTAAACGGCGGAGATGCTCAGTGTTCTGACGTTTTTCATCGTTCACAAACATATTCAAAGAGGAGTTCCTGTTAATCTACAATATACTGTTGTGCAGCGCCACTGTTGTGCATCATTTCCCAGAGAAGCCGCGTTCAACCAATACGTCACGTTGGCTCATTAAACAAAGCCATGCAATATATTGCTCCGCTAACCTTGAAGAGGTGACTGCTTTCCCATCTTACTTTGCCTTCTTAGCTCCTTTTCCTGCAGCTATACCAAGTACTTGTATGCTAAAGCGGAAAATGGAGGGGAAATTTCAATGATTCTTTTCCTTTAGCTGCGTTTTGCTGGACCAATATCATATTTGACATAATTATGAGGGTCGTCAAACACTTTGGATGGATAACCCCCGTGTGCCTCCTCATGGGAACGTTCATTACGCCTCATATTGAACCTTTCATAATTCTCCAATCTACACAACTTTGGACCAATTGATTTACTCGTCTTTGCTGGCACACACAACTTTATTACTGGCCATAAGCTGCTCTGTAGGGGACAGATATTCGGCTATGAATGCATCGCAAAACGGCTTTCACTACTATCTGTTATCAAAAGAAACGGCCCGGAGGGGACCGACTTATAAAAAAGCGTTGAGGTCGGTGGCGGTACGTTGCAACTGTAAGTAAGCTGTAAGTGTGAAATAAGCAGCTTAAAAGATTGACTGTTTGCAGCAGAAATACCCACTTTTGGGGTAGTTAACAGCCTTTAGAAGAACTATTTTAATTATTACTCTTAATGTTTTTTTATAGCATACTAACCACAATGAGATCATTGAAGAGGAAGACTTCTCTCTGGTGAGCCGCCTGTTTTTGGGCCTTGTTGACATCAGTCACCTCAAACAGGCGGCTGCAGCACACCAGTCTTCTATGAGGGACAGAGAGAACCTGCAGAGGAGGACACGGGCATCGAGGTGAATGGAGAGTTTGAAAAAGAGTTGAAAAAGCAGATACATAACCTTTCCCCTCGGGGGGGAAACAAGTATTTAAGGGAAACCGGGAGACTCTTGATAAAAATCACTCTTAAAAGACAACACGGGAAAAACATTAAACACAGTTTGCTGAGACAAATTAGTGACATGTAGACAATAGATTAGAAGACAATTAGGAGGTTGTATCAATGCAAGTTTTACGTGTTTTATATATTCCTCTCCTTTTACTTTTCTGTGCCTGAGATACTCTTATTAGTTTTACTTCCACTGGCGCGTCTCCACTTTCAATGTGATTTGATGTGAACAAGCAAAAAGTCTCATTTTAGCATTCGAGCAAAACTAAATTGATGAAGGCCGGTTTGATTACACTTGCTCTGGGTACTTCTAGTAGATAAATAGACGTTACCTTCATCTAATACATAAAGCAACCCTAGAGAGAGTGTAGAGAAAATCATGCTTGAAAAGGTTTACTCAAGCATTTTTTGTCGAATTGAGTTTTTTCTATTACATCTACTGTATCTACATTTCGCTACTTAGGTATCCACGGCTAAAGACCAAAAACAACTGGATAGCATTATGAAGCTGTTGTTTTGTATTTTTTACAAAAACAGCAGTTCTGTTTTTCTCCGTCTTGTCCTCCGGACTCGAAAGTGCTTTTCGATGTTTAAGCGATTACACACAGAAAATGGCGCAGAGCGATTAAATCATCACACTATTTCCTCTTCAGAATTTTCCCCCTCTTTGTGATGAAATAGATCCATCAGTGGCTTCGGATCTTTTTTGACTCCATGCAATTCCAATTTTGTTCCCTCTGCTCCCGGGGGACTATTTGCAAAGCGCAGAGTACATATTCAGCCTCTTTTTCTCTCATCACTGAAGGGTAGACGCCCGCCCGGCTGGTCATATCCAGCCCACTTTCTACTTTCACTAATGTCAGAAACATGTCAATCTCCTATTATTTGGAGAATATATTATAATGTAAACCACTGCCTTTTTGCACGCAATTCAAATCTACATTTTGGGGACTTTTGAAAAATTGAGTCTTTTTATTTCATAAAGCTGCTACGGCAGGAATAATCCCTTCAGGTCACAATAATATATCATTGTTTTGGGCATGACAACACTGATTTGTTCTTCTCATTCCTTCAATGAAAGACACTGAAAGACAAAAGTCACACACGAAAAAGGAAATTGGATCCGATCGAGCACCTGTTACTCACACCTTCCTCGCCGTTCCTCAATCGCTCTCACCTGCCCGTCCTGCTGCACCTGCTCCCTTCGGTATCCACAGCTTCACACAATGACACGAGAACTGCTGCTCCACCCCCCCGACCCCCTCTCCTGTCTAAATGTTTCTATTAGCATATCCCGACCCTGTTTGTCTTGTGAGATCGGGCTGGAATAAAGCCTTTGTCGTTCTACCCCGTGTGTCCGTCCACTCCATCCGCCCGGCGCCAGACTCCCGATAGACAAAGTTACCGACTTGCTGGTGAGCATTGTGCAGCCCCCCTCCCCCCTCTAACGCCGGGTCAAGGGTTTAACATGGTTTCAGTCAAAGCGATGCTGTTTGCACTTAAGGGGCCGAGGTGCATTATGTCCTGCGGCTCCTCACAAGTGTAGAACCAAACTGTGACTGCGTGTCCTTACTGTTTTCATGCCGACGATGGACTGCTCCACCTTGGAGACGTAGGTGACGTGATCTTCGTTGGACCGTAACTCCCTCAGCTGTATCCTTTCATAGATCCCCACCACCATGTCCCTCGGGATGTCCGCTCCATCGTCCACACCTGGAACAGGAATCGGCTGATCACACGCAAAGCCTACAAATAATTACCGTTAATTCTAACCAGACAGTTAAATTCACAATGGTAGAGGAGCCATTATTTGTCCATCCTGGCTTAACACGCAGGTAGAGCTGCCACGTCATTAGGCTGGAAGGTCGCCCCGGAGACGCTCCCCATCACAGCACAGCGGCGGTCGTGCAGCGCTTTCAATTGAAGAGTTTTCAATTGGGGCCAGGAAGCGTTTGGAGAAGATGAAGTCGCCAAAAGTGACGGCGGTGACAGGGAGGCACTCTGGGACGCCGCTGAGACGTCGCTGCATGTTATGGAGTCGGAAGGAGATGTCCGGGGGGATGTGTGTGTAAAGTGTCACATGAATAAGTGATATTCTTTTTTTGCTGAATGCCTCTTTCCACACACTCTGCACGACCTCACTGCTTAACGTCGCCGTGCATGGTGATTGCAGACCAAAATATCTAAAATATTGAATAAAATTATATGCCATTTTGACATTGATGGCTCAACTTGTTTCGAAAACAAAGCAGCCTGGAACTCGTTTATTTTCCCCCTGGCCACAGTAACTTGGATTTTGAAAAAGAGCACCATCAGCATGTAAAAAATGTAATGTGCCCAATAATTTGATTTATGGCTAAATAACTGATAAACTGAAAAAAGGGGAACATTTTTCAATGAGCTGACACGAAGGATTGATTTATGGTGGAAGCTTCTCTTATGCTACGTTGGCCCATTTCGGGATAGCTTTGACACAGGCATTCTGTTTTAATGGAGATGTCAGATGTTCCGTGGCTCTTCATTACTATCGCTTTCTGGTGCGTAATTGCATTTCACCTCAATTAATATGTCGATGTTTTTTTTTTGTCAGCGTGTACGTGACACGTGATGCACAAATGGAAAGAGGATAAAGAATCAGGGAGTATGTATACGAGGAAAGACGGATAAATAAACAGAATGGTATTCTGACCGAGACAAGGAGGAGAACGTTGGAGCAGCAGCAGAAATATAGTAAACCCAGCAGAAGACAAATAGAGAGGCCAAAAGAGAGCGGCGTGTCTTAATTTACATAAGATGCCAAAATTGATTCCTCAACCTAATTTAATTGCGGCGAACAGTCTGGGTGAATCTATTAAAGTTGTTCTGCATCGACCTCAGCGCCCCCTGATTGATTGCGCAGCGGGGGAGCGGAACTACGCTCCCGTCTCGTCCTCAACGGCCGGCAAATGAGCATCTCACTGCGTACTGGAGACAAGAACCGCAGGGGGGGGGGGCGGTTTGTTGGTGTTTGCTATTAGTTTAGGCAGGAATAAAAATAAAAAAATAAAAAATACTACCTTATTTTATTATAGCCGAATTTATTCAATAACACACCTAGACACATTCCAAAAGCAAATGAGCCGACTGTCGCCTAATTAATGCCACTTCAACTGACATAACGAGCCTTAAAAGAGAGGCTTAAATGCCGGGACACCCACCTCGCAGGTTGCGTATGAAGTCCTCCAGCATCATCTTGCGGTCGGGCTTGATGTTTGGGCTGTACATGTCGGTGTTGAGCAGAATGATGGCGAAGGCCAGGATGAAGATGGTGTCTGGGTTGTGGAACTGCTGCACCACATCGGGGTTGCACATGCAGTAGCGCTGACTGTTGGGGTGCAGGAGGCCCGAGAGAGAAGAGGGAAAGCATAAGAGGGAATAAAGTAATGCAAATGGAGGGAAGGAAGCAGGTAGGAACACGCGGTGGGTCGTGGCAGAGGACACAGGAAGGAACGGGAAGGGATGGTAAAGAAAAGGGGAGGCCAGTCAGAGGGGATGAGACAGAAAGAGAGAAAAATGAACACGATATTCTAAAGCCACTAAAGCCCTCCTTTAACACATTTTAAATGGCTTGCATTTTTGACAAGCTGAAAAATAAGAGTTATGGCTGTAATTTGGCCGGTGCCTTCATCCGAAGCAGTTTGCTGCCTTTTTGCAGTGAACAATGAACCTTTCAGTGGTCGCTCTGCTCAAACGGTGTCTCTCGCTATAATCACATTTGTCCCACTGGATTGGATGGTTATACGGCGCACGCACAAGACGAGGTAGACCCAAACTTCCCCCAAGCCCTATTTAAACATGCTCCAACATTTATGGGCCTGATTGCTGGATTCATGCAGGATGTTTGAAATCTGAAGATTTTTCCTTTGGTAAAAAGCCCCAACCATGAAACCAAGACTCAGATCAGCAGGCACCTACTTATGTTTGTGTGTGTGTGTGTGTGTGGTTGTGTGGGTGTGTCTCGGTACAAAATTCCCAGAGGGGAGTGATAGTTTGTTTCTCTGTGAAATGCATGGACACCTCCTGGTTAGAGAATGAATAATACAATAGAACAGCGTCTACTGCAGTGAGTAATCAGACACAACATCATACAGAGGAGAAGGTGTGTGTGTGTGTGTGTGTGTGTGTGTGCGTGTGTAAGTTTGGTTGTATGTGGACTACTGTGATCTTTACTCTAATCAGTAATCATTTCAATAGAGACTGTAGCACCTTTTTTGCATGATTGGAATCTTGTGTCTCTGTGGGGGTTGAATAGAAACACATACAAGTGGTGTGAATACAGTGGTCTACATCACGTGTTGCAATAAGAGCGTAAGTTCCTACTTTTCACCACCCAAGAGATCACTGAACCCTATCGTCCAGCTGCCGAGCCCCTAAAATCCAGACAGGAGAAGCTCTGAGTTGATCAAAATATATAAAACGCGGCACTGAATCGCCCCGCGATTGGCTGGCGACCAATCCAAGGTGTACCCCGTCTCTCGCCCGTTGGCTGGAATGGCCTGCAGCCCCCCGTGACCCTGTGTGCAGGATAAGCGATTTGAAGATGGATGGATGGAACTGAATCGCCTTGTTTTTTTGTAATCCAATATAATGCAATTAAAAAGCTTTTAAGCTTTTGTCTTGGACAGGTTTGAATGAATTTAAAATGAATTCATCACATAATCACATACTATGATATTATTCGGTGAATTATGCTGTAACACAGTTACAAGAGCCACATAACACTAGATAGACATCTATAAATGAAGGAAATCAAATGTTTATTAATCGTATAAACCCCCAATTGTAGCTGTAGAGCTCTGGCGTGTGTTCAGGTGGCACAGTATTTGTCTTAGCCTGGTAATAATACGGCTCCACACAGATGCTTATTCACATCTCGGTGTCTGAACGCCGTGACTCCGCAGCAACCAGCAATTACGATCTGCTCTGTAAATCCTTATAGCGCCGTGCAAAGAGAAGCCTAAAGCTGTGCTCTTCTCTAAGTGGGTTCCTACTTCCGACTACACCAAAAAAAACCCATCAGGGAGTGGATTTGGCGTTCTTCAAATTTGATTTGATTACTGATGCGTTTTTTTCTTAGAGACCGCTAAAAGGTGTAATCGATCAGTCACTTATTTACCCCTGCGAGAGCGGCTTTTGATGAAAGAATCTACATGTTGCATGATCTTTTATCTACAATAACTATGATTGAAGATGATGGCGCTTGTGGCCGCAGGGTGGGTTGAATACACTGTGATGAAAAATAGAAAACATGAACTGAATACATATCTGCAGCATTGGGAGGCGGCTCACATTTTCTCATTCATTAGCACACTGACGCAGCAGATACTGAGGCTGCTGGGCTGCTTTTCACTTTTCCTCCTCTCTCTCTCTCTCTTCAAATCCCCCCCCACTTACTTTGGAGATTTCACTCTTGGTGTGTGTGTGTGTGTGTGTGTGTGTGTGTGTGTGTGTATATGGGGGCATATCAAAGCCCAGGAGCAGGAGAGGCAGGCGCAGAGAGGAAGTGGTGGTTACGCAACGCTGGTTATTTATAAACCGTGCTCCCTCCCCCCCCCCCCCCCGCCTCCCCCTACCCCCCAACCCCCTTCCTTCCTTTTTTCCAGTTCGTGTCCCCTTTGCCCATCTTCTTGCCCCCCACCTCTCTGTTGCTCTTACTCCCTCGGAAACATGCAGGCTGAGCACGATGTCCAAACACCACCGGGGCCGTTTGTCTCCTCATTGTGCACCTCGACCACAGCGACAGGTGGTTATTACATTAACGCACAATTCACACAGCAGCTGCAGCTGCACTGCACATTGTCTCCCCTTTTTGGATGGCGGCTGCATTGTCGACGTTTTATTGTCGCAGAAATTAAGAGAAAGCGTGCGTTTGTTGAGAGGAGGCGGCGGGACACGACTGCGTATTTACTCTCACATGTTCAGTCTGTTATTTGTCCGTTACTTCTTAAGGGATTAGGTGTAACTGTCCGTTTTTTTTTTAATGTGTGTTTCTGTGGATTCTTCTGATTAAAGCGAGTCCTACTCTTGTTTCTATGTTCTCTCTTTGTGTATTTGTGCGGCCGAGAACGGCCCTGTAAAAAGGTTAAAAAAAATACAAACGAAGCCACGTCTCACAAATTCAAACCGGTCACTCCTCAGCACGTCTTTAGAAGTTGATCTAGGGATGTTTCATCATCGATCAACCTGTCAATTGCATCTTAAATCCCCTGCGGGACCAAGTTTCGCCCCATGTTTGAGGGGCCATATTTCATTTCCTTTTGTACATCCGCTCAAATATCAACTCGCCCTCATTTACAATATAGTACAAAGTAAAGGACACCAGTAGGACATATTATTGATACTGTGCATATTTAACTCGTTTTCAAAGAAACTATTGTCGCCCAGCAGTTAAATACTTTTGTCAAATGTCTTGTATGTGCAATATTCTTCACATATATGATTCATAGATACATACATGGTTCATATCCGCCCAACTGATCCCCCAAATGAGTTGGTTGAAAACGCTATCTGGCTTTTTTTTAACGGGGGTGAGATTGGAGACCGGTTACAGTTGAATAGAGGAAAAACAGATTTGGGGAAGTGGGGGCTTATGTGCAGAACAACCCATTTCAGCATCACCACTTCAATAATTACCTAAAGGCTTCGATGAGACGTTCCACCTTCTGCGCTTCTCCCTGCACACGAATGTGGGCCTGAAACTTCCTGAGCGCTTCGTCCAGCTCCATGCCAGAGAAGTCCATCTCATCCACCACACAGCTGTTGAGCACAGTGAGAAATAGATGTAATATGGGGGGAGAAGACACGGGGGGGGGGTTTATAGGGTGTATATATAGCGACGTATCAGCATGATAGCAGTGGCCAACCCTTCCTATACCTAAAGATAAAAGTCCACTCATCTGATTCCCAGTCACAGCCCCGTTCTGCTTAATGCAGGTGTTAGCCACGCATGGACACCAGGGATTAGACTGCACCCGGCTATCTTCAGCTGCCAAAACACACACACACACACACACACACACACACACACATGCACACATGCACGCTTACAATCCCTCGGAGCAGAAAATCCTCCCTTTTGCCCGACAACCCCGGGCTTAATGACTTTCATTAAAAAAGAAAAATATCCTGTCCATGAGTTCAGGTGGGACAACACAACGTAGGCAATTTAGAGGTGGAATGAGGTTTTGAAGTGAAAGGTGACTTTAGGAGTTGGAAGGTTTTAAAGTTTTCATCCCTCTTGATGTGAGGTGTTCTACCACTAAGTGCAAAGAGGAATGATGATCAAACGATGAAATTAAAGTATTTTTATCAGCTAGTTATTATCAGCACATTTGATGGTTCAGAGAAAGACGAGGCTGCTGATCTGAAGAATCTTTAACAAAAATACATGATACAATTCACTTCTTTTTGCACTGGAAAAAATACTGGGACACACACACACACACATGAAGATGGATTACTGTGAACACTGGAAGTTAATGAGGTGGCTACTTGACTGAGACACATGCTGCTCCAGCAGAAAAGAGTCGGATAGCTGAGTCTACAGTACTTCCCGACGCACCATGAGATCACCGAGTACAGTATTTGTATTACAAGACCCACAGCGGTGCTGTGTGTGTGTGTTTTCACAGTCCAGTTTCTTTTTCTCGCGCTCAAAGAACCGAAAACCAGCGAGAGGCCGCTTTGACTTCAGGCAACATCTCTCTCCTCCATTCATCCATCAGCCTTCAACCACCCGAACAACCCTGTGCCCCCAAATCTGAATCCAGCCCTCCTTCATCATCACGGCCGTGTCTCCGTATCCAATAAAACTTTTCTCAACACACATTGCCGTTGCCGTTTGATAGTAGCTATTGGCGACAATTCACCGGATGCTGCTACTTCTAACGAGTACACTAATACAACTCGCCCTTCGGTAATAATCTGCATTGTTAGATACCAGCATCAGCACAATAAGGTACAGCTTATAGTACACAGCGACTCTGTTTTCATCTACTCTCTTCCTCTTGCCTTGCTCGTCGGCCTTCTTCATGACTCGCTTCCTCGCACCACCACCTCTCTCTCTCTCTCTCTCTCTCTCTCTTTCCTCCCCGCCTGTCACTCTCAGTTTATGCAACGTCAGACGAGATGTTGTGTAGCCTGAGTGCATCTGCCCTCTCCTCCCCCCTCTAATGACAACACACACACACACACACACACACACACACACACACACACGCACACGGTGTGTACACACACACACAGAGCACGCTTTTCCTGCTAAACAAGTAGGCTACATTATGGGTAAATGGCTCCTTGGGGGGGGAGAGGGGGAGGAGGGGGGGCACGTTGATTGGAACGCAAATCCATAACCACAATTTGGCTTAATTGACTCGAGACGTTTCAGCCGTTGCGCTTTAATGCCGGGAGAAATGCGAGGAGAAGAGGTGCATTCAGGATAACGGGAAACGGTGGGACGGAGACACAGGCACGCACCCCCCCCCCCCCTCTACACACACACACCAACAGAAGCCACATGCTTTTCACACGCTCTCTCTCTCACACACACACACACACACACTCATTCAGGCTCAATAAATCAACATGAGAGATTCTCCTCCGCAGTAGCCCGCAATCCCTCAGCCGCTCTCCTGTGACTACACTTTATGGAAAGTGCTCTCACAGACACTTTGCACCGCTATCATGTTCCTCTTCATCACTCCCACCGTACGACTGCTCTGTGGTGAAATGAATATACTTCCATATCTCCCAATGGTGGAGATGGAGGTATATCTGTTTGAGGCATTAAGAGCATAGTCCTGTTAATCCCATGGATTTGGAGCACAAATGGACGGCGTCCATTTAAAAGAATGTGGATATTATATGAGGGCAGCCTAAGGGGGGTCGGGGCGGGGGGGGGCGACATCTCGGAGTGCTGTGCCGTGTACGTCCTCCCTTGGAAAGACTAAAAGTGTGTTATAGGTTTGATAACTTGGACAAAAGAGATGACAAAAGAACGATCAGCGGTACCTCCTCCGGGGGGTTGAAATGCAAATTTCAAAGTAATTGCTGAATGAGAGAATGTGATAGAATTAAAAAAAGAAGATAATTATGAGGAGATAAAGTGAGGAAGTTCTTGAAAGATGGAAGGAGAACTTGAAAGAAAAGAATGCCCATCAGGTAAATGACCTGGAAGGACACGGAGAGGGTGAAGTCAGTCACGTGTGTCTTCACAATGATGTGATGAGTAACACAATGAGGAGGCATCTCTAATCCACTTCGGTCAAGATGTACTTTCCGTCCTCTTATCTTTGGTCTGCCGCAAAGAACAGACTGTACCGCACGATGACTCAATGTGAAATAAACACATTCACAAAGCAGGAGGAATCACCACTCAGCCTGCGTAAACATTCATTTACGGTCCTCCTGCATGGGCTTTTGTCACAGGAGGGAAATGTTATGATAACATCATGTATACTTTTAGATAACGGCAACGTTGCTCTGTGGTTCTCGCTCTCTGTCTGACGGAATAATGTTGACACGACAGCGACTATGTTTCAATTTGATTTTATCGACTCAAAAAACGAAATAAGAGCACGAAAGCTTTTTATTTTATCATCGTCTCATCAGCGTTTTATCAATTCCGTCTCCCAAGTCAACCTAAACGTACAATCGGAAGCGATATCAGGGGGATATTTGTGGATTCGTGACACTTCGATTTCACCTTGTCATGGGGAGCAGCACAATCTTCTAAAAACGTGCTCCAAAAAAAAGAGGAACGTGTGCCATACTCACTCCAGCACATCTCTGTTGAAGGGCTTTTTGCTGTTGCCGAGGAACTCTCCGATCATCTGGCGGCTCAGGCCCTTCCGCTGCAGCAGAAAGTGGGCGACGCCGATGGGCGTGTCTGGGATGAAGCCCCGAGAGATCAGGAACTGAAGGCCCTTGTCAGGGTTTCTGAAGCAAACAAACCAGAACGAAAAAAACAAGAAACATTGGTGTTAGTTTGTGTGACTGTGACGGATCATTTTGGTTCACCGCAACCGCCCTGAGCAGCGGCAGTAAGAGTCAAGGTTCAGAGAACGCTGGTGGCTTATTATGCATATACCTGCACGAAAGTAAGTGAGGACTGCTTTGAGTGATTAAAACACACTTGGGCGCCGTCTCATCTGTATTCATTCCTTCTCTGAATAACAACATTCATTAACAACTGCTTAACAGCTTGACACTCTGCTAAAGCCAGCGGACACTGACGGAATTACAAGTGGTGATCCGGGACGCCGCCTTAAATCGTCCAGGACCTGCTTTAGTCAAGTCAAGTGTGTACTTTTCATTGATTCGATGAAAAACAATTGTCACTGTGATAAATGAACTGTGTTGGTTCACCCCGAGCTGATTTAAGAAAAAAGCAATGCCGTACCCATTTTAGGTTCCATTATTATCACAAGCAATAAAACAAACTGTTTTGCTGCTTCAGCCGGCCCGAGCTTGTGATGGCTATTGCTGGCTCATATGCAAATACTAAAAGAACATTTTTGTGGAACTGACATCAATAAGTCTGGTGCAACTGTTGAACTCCATTTAAGCATTTGGAAACGGTCCCCTGTGGCCATATTAGCTTTAAAGCCTGGCTAAGTTACTTTTAAGTAGTAAAAAGTAACTTTTTGAGCAACGTTTTTTTTCTTCCAAAAATGATATTTATAAAGGAGGGTTAGAAGAACCTGAAGAAGAGCTGTTAATCTACATGCAACCCGTGGGCCTACAAGGTTGTTTATGCAGAAACCGTTGGCGAGGTCATTTGCGTGCCAATATAAGCCGCACACAGATCTTCCGTGTCCATGTGAGAGGAGGCGGTGCCATCAAAGACACGTCAAAGCGTCTCATTGGTTTCCTGTGAATCGGCGCTTTGGGACGTCGTCTCCGCTCTCATTCTCCCATCGCTCGTCCTGCTGATGATTCCCAGCGGACTGCGTGGCAGAAGTTACGTATGAACAAGGGAGTTACATCGTAACTGCTCATAACCCTATTAGACACAGAGGAGAATTGCTCTAGGGAGGCTACCACATCAATGCCACAACTCTCCCCGCTCCTCCCCCCCCCTGTCTCTATTCGGTGTTTAAACCGCAGCCTTTACATAACAGCTGTGTGTGTGTGTGTATGTGTGTGTGTGTGTGTGTGTGTGTGTGTGTGCCACAGCTAATGGGTTTATAAGGCGGGGGGGGGGAGGGGGGGAGGGGAGAAGAGAGGGGATAAAGGGCAGGATAAAAGGAAGGGAGAGAGAGGAAAACCAGACAGAGCAAATGTGCGGGAGGAGGAATGTGAGGACAGAAAGGCGGGGGGGAGGGGGGGGGTGAGGCTGGACTGCCCCGGAGCATCTGTTGCGACAGCCTCAGCGCGCTCTCTGCTTGCTGGCTCGCCCTGACAGCCGAAAGTGATGTCTCGCCAAACGAATCTGGCAGATATTACTCGTGGGATGTTTGTCCCACAACAGATGGATCGCACATGGTGATTATTATTTCCGATGTGGGGGGTGAATGTAGGGAAAGCAAAGGGGAGGGAACGCTGCGAGACAGATGGATTGTTATGATTGACTGTTCCTCCTCGGGGGGGGGGGGGGTCCTACACAGAAATGCCTGCTGTCGACGTCGCGGTGCCACATCGGTAAACACCAAACGCTAAAGTGACCAATCTCAATGAAACTACTCTATTTCTTCCTGAGAGACGCTCGTCTGCTATATTCGACGCCCACATCTATTTCAGATGTGCACAGGGGTTGTACCTCAGCCTTGTTTTATTGTCCTTTACAAGTGCTGAACAGCACTACGGGGTTTTCGCCAGATGCCACACATTTCTCTTCTCGCGACCGTTGATGGATTGACGGCTGGTTTGCTACTCTGTGCATTTCCCCGGAGCCTGAGTCTGAAACAAACATTGATTGACCGGTTGACCTTTCTACGATCTTCCAGATCTGTGGGCCTTAAGAGCGAGAGCGTTCCCTTTAAGTCTGCCTCCCGGCCGAATCCGGAAGAAATAAAATGAAACAAAACCTAATGGTTGTAAATAAGGCCTTTTTTAAGTGTTTGCACTGGGACGTCTCTGGGAAAGCACTTTCCTTTGCCAATGGCATCACGTGAGTACAGTTTTTCCATCGTTTGGCAGCTGCTAGAACTTCAGCTTCAAAGCCCCAACGTTGCAAACATTGCAATGTTGCAGCCGGTTCAACATACATATTGATGAAATGGTCATTTCCCTCTTTTTCAAATGATCCGGGCTACTCGACGAGCTTACCGTGCACCACCTGCAGAACGACTGCAGAAGAGAAATTAGAAACGTATTCTCTGTTCACCATCTGGCTTTTAGAGTTTGTAATTATGTGCTGGGTCATTTAGCACCGAGGGCAGAATGTTAATGCAGGCGAGGTTTGTGTATACGCACAAGCAAACAAGAGATTTCCACTGAGCTCTCTCCTCCTGGCGTCAGGGTAACCCTCTCTGATCTGATAATCTTAATTACCTTCCATCACATACACATTCAGACCCGCCTTTCTCTCTATCTCTCCGACTCTCTTCGCACGTATCTCCCACGCCTCCTTTTATTTAATTCATGAAGCTACGCCGCTGCTCCATTTTCATGCATGATGGGGAGTCGACGTGATTCCAGCCTGAGCTGCTCCGATATCAATGGTTTCACTACAGTATTTCTGTCCCAGCAGAGTGCATGCATATCCATCTGTGCAAAACGAGCAATTTTCTCAGGAATATAATATTAATGCCACGCCTCCTCCCATCCTTCACTGTCTTTTGAAGGTTTTCTATCAGGTCCCCTGTGTGTCGACGGTTATCCTTGACGCACCTTTTAAGGGAGTCATTGGTAAGCCAAACACTGAAGGTGGAAACCCACTCAACCCTCCCCCCCCCCCCCCCTACCTCATTTCCAGTATCTTTTTATCGTTGTGCAGGCCACTGCACACACACTCACACACACTCACACAAAACTGTAATTTACTTTCTACCCCGTCCTTTCCTTCGCCACCCCTGCAAAGCAAACACACGGCAAATGCGTGCATGTATGTCAGCTATTTTGGCCGCATGATGAAGCAACGGCAGTCAGAAGCAAACAGCGCTGTTTAAGATGCAAAGGATACAGCAGCGCAGGTATTAGAGGGAGGATATGAAGTAGTGGAACTAATAAGCCTCCAGCGCGTTTGCCTTCTCTCTCTCTCTCACTGCGGTTCTCTCTCTCTCTATGTGGCTCTTCCTCTCTCATCCCGTCTCCCTCTTTCCTTACAAACAAGTCCAATAAAAGTCAGCTTATCTTTCCATGTGTTTGATGTTGGTCATTGCAAACGTGTGCCGTGCTGAATTCCTCATAACGGATATGTTTCAAATACAATCTGAACAAACAGATGATTGTAGCCAAACTTCCTGCGCCCTTCAAAGTGACACTATCAAGGTGGACGTGTCTTAAAAAGTAATTGCATTGCAGGTAGTAAATATAGAGCCAAATTGATCTTCCTTTTTATTCTGTCTGGCAGAGAATTCCTATGTTGACTCGCTAAGTAGACTGACATTGGAATATCTTGTAGTTAAAGCAGAAAAACCCTCACGACCCTTTTCTCGACCCATTTTACTTTACATTTGAGGATATTCTGATACAGCGATAAAATTTATAAAAGAGAAGATTATCAATTCAAGGGTTCAACACTGAAATCAAAGCTTGGATTATACTATTCTCTTACTTCCAATGTAATTAGGTAATGTCATTTTTTGGTTTTCTTTCGATCAATTTGATCATTTCTCATTACTGACCTAAACTTGAACCACGGCTGTTTCATTTGCCAAATCATAACTATATTCATTGAGTAGTTTTACCGTATTTTGACAGTGCTGCTGATATGCTGACATGGGGAATGAATCTCTCATGCACTTTCTGATGTTTCCTTAACAGATGAGTTGATATCTGCTGTCATCTCGGAGAAATAATAACATAATAAAATAACTTCCATGGGGGTTCATATAACCCATCTCCCTCGTTCATGTTTTTTATTTATTTCCCCTGGTAATTACTTCCTCTCCAGTAACTGCACAGCTCGTTCTTGCTCCTCTTGTTTTCCGGTTCACGCTTGAACAATGAGTCAACGTTAATCGGCTTCATTGTGCACCTTTTTTTTGTGCTCCATTGCTTGGCAGCGAGCAAAAAGACAATGTTGGTTCGGGAGCTCCAATCTTCAAAATGTCTCTGAAATGGCTTAATTGAGGCCAAACCTCAACAAAGTATTGGAGTGGTTGTACAGCCGGAGGAACACGGTGTGTCTTCTGTTGGAACGTGAGGAGCCCTTCTTCAGAAATAGTTGAGGTGGACAAATAGAAGCTGGGTTTGAAATGCTAACATCGCTCATTCCTTCCACTTCCCCAGATGCTGTTTTCACAGAGTGCTAAAGGAACTTTTAATTGCATCCACGACTCGTAGCAGAATGACTAATGAGAATTTTGTGCTTTGTGGATCTTTGCCATTATCTTTTTAGATCCACCCCTCATGTATTCCGACTAATTGTTACCCGGGCCGCACCATCCATTCGGGTTCAACGTGTAATACAGCACATGCGAGTGAGATCAGCTAATTTATTGAAAAAGTGTATGTGGGGTGTTGGGGTCCTAGGGGAAGGCTCTAGGTGAAATGCTAACTGAACATATGGTAAATGTCCGTGTTTAAAGGTGTCGGCTGCTCAGAGCTTTGTTATGTTGTTCCAAACATTCCTAAAAAAGGATTATCTATCCTAGATTTTGTTCTGCCATTTATGGCGTGAAGTAAATATACGTTATGTAATATTTAAAGATGATTTAGAGCGAAATATGACTATGTAAGTCTTTCTTAAATCACGGTATATCTAGCTTGTAGTAGTTATCCTCCCAGTTCAAAATGTTCTGCACTGAAATTGAGTTTGACACACATCTCAGTCAGTGTTTCTCTCAATAAATCAACAGATTCTCTCAGTGCCGGCCCATAGCCCTGTTGTAACCATGGCAACAGTCTTTCCTCCTATCTCTCGCAGCCATGTAAGCACCTCGCACCTGACTGGCGCGCGTCCTGGGAAGTTCTTATCCGCTTTCGTCTTCGTCACTCTTGACTAGGCAGCAGGGGGACAACTGAATTCACAATGGCTGAAAAGCTGCAAACATAAACAAGCTTTCCAAGTCAGAAATCTTTTTCTTCTGCTGACAATTTGTGAAGCCACAGAGGAATTTGCAGTGGGAGCTGGAAAGGCCTAACAGTGGCATGCTAGTGTTACCTTTGTCCGTGACATGGTACATGAAGCTATGGATGTATAAAGAGAACTAGATACAGTATTAAAGTGCCACATGAATATGTTGTTTCCATATCTGTGGGCCAATAGAGTGAGCTCACTAGCTATTAGCCTTTAACCACCCAATTTCAAGACAAGAAATTGTTTTTAACCAATGGAACCATTATTAACTATCTATTTTTATACCTATCTGGAATCTAAAATCTAAAAAATCACGCATGTCTTTGAGTGGTGAATCTGCCTCATTGTGGTCTTTATTTTGTGCTGTGCTGTACAAAAAGCGTAGCTACAAAATATATAGGGCGTAGACAGCTTATTCAGCTGTCATACCCTGTCTGGGTGCGTCTGTTTCTCTCATTTCCCTCCTGTCCTCTTACAAATCAATCGCCACGCGGCTCTGTGTCTCAATAACTCATCTCAGTGTTGATGCTTCCTTCTGAGAAGAAAGAAGAAATTCAGATCAGATTCAGCTCGGGACTTAGGGCTCTATTCTATTTGTTCTATCAGCACAAGGGGGACCTGTGAGAAGAAAAAAATGCTTTTCTTTGCTCTTTTCAGTCCATAGGGCCACATCAAACGTCAGATATACTGAGGGGAGGGGTGGAGGTAAACTGACTGTTTCATTAATCTCACTGCACAGCATTCTCTTCCGATATACCCTGTCTTTTTTTTCCAGCCCTGAATAAACACATTTTCATTTAAATTTGAAACCTCGCAAAGAGGAACACTCACGTTAACCAGACCCCCGATTTCTGGGCTGGCTTCAGAAATCACCCAAGCACACACACAGACAAAACGTCAGTGGCCACTCACACGTTGAAGAGATTGAGGCCGATGCGGTAGAGGCGTTTCCGCATGACGTCAGTGGACAGCGTGGGGGATTTACAGCTGGCGGGGTTCTCGCATTGATAGCGTGGCAGGCTGAGGATCATGGCCTGCAGAGCCTCCTTGGACGAGGCCTCCGATGTGGAGCGGGCTTCCGTGGACGTGCTGCTGCTGCTCATCTGCTCCGAGCTGTTGTCCGCCGTCTCTGAGCTGCACCTGTTGACCTCCAGGGGCGCCGCCGGGGGCGAGCTCCCCAGCAGCGTTGGCGCGACCTGAGGAAGCTCGGCGGGCGGTGGCACCACCACCACCACGTCCGGTGGGCTTTGAGGAGCAGCCATCTTATCCAGAGGGGTCAGGGGAGGCTGGTCGTCCTCCCCGAGCTCCTCTTCACTCGGTGGCGGAGCAGGGAACTCGACATCCTGCTCCCCTTCTTCAAATTCAGATTCCGGGGGGGGCGGGGGTTCTTGCGGCGGGGGTGGTGGGTCTATGGGTTCGGCTGGGAGCTCTGCGGGGGCAGGAGGGGGTTCTTGCGAGAGGCCGGCAGGGGTGAAGACTGGAAAGGAGTTTGCCTTTGTGGAAGTAGATGTGACAGTCGGGGGGGCTCCGTCCTGCTGGACGCAGCTGCCGAGGGTGACGGTGGACGATTCCATGACTGAGGAGGAAACACAGAACTTCTGGCTGTCGAACTGCACCGTCACATCCCGGAACGCCATCATCAGCTTGCTTGCACTCCTCGACAGGTCACTTGGGTCGAGTGGGCCTTGAATAAGCGTTGGCTCTCCCCCAGCGCATCCCTCTCCTCCGCCTCCGCCTCCTCCCGCTGCCGCTGCCGCCGCTGCGGCACTGAAGGGGTCGGCGCCAAACTGGTAGGTGCCGCCTTCCTGCAGTGAGCACATGGTCTTCAGGCTCCAGTTGCTGAGTGCATCGTCTATGGACTTTGCCAGTGACTGGACCTGTTCAGTGAATGAGTCTTCCAGGTCGGTCAGGGTGCCACCAACTGTGGCAGGCAGAGATGGCGAGCGCACCAATGGGATGCCTGTCAAGTTGTAGCCTTCTGCCAGGGCCCGTTCAGCAGAGAAACCCTCCGGGTTCTGCACGCGGGCCTTGCGCAGGGAGATGCGTCGAGGCAGACGACTCTCCAGCAGCGAATTGCGGATCTTCTCGAAGTTCTTGCTGAGCTGGTACTGGCGGAAGGCGGTCTGGATCTTGCAGGCGGCACGGCGGGATATGAGGTGGCCGCCGTATTTGTGCTCTAACATTTCGATCTGAAGAAGAGGAGAAAGAAGGACTTAGTTGGAAAATCGAGAATCTGGGTTTTTGTTTTTGTTCTGAAGCAAAATAAGGGCATTCTGAAATTATTGAGAAACCCTTAATTATCTCAATAATACATGACAATTATGGCTCCGTATTAGAAATTGCAGAAAAAAACACAGGACACACATAGATTGGCAAGTCAAAACATTGCCAAGGACTCTCATAATCCCTTTCATCACGGTTATTTGTGGTAATATAAAAGCCAGTTTTTTGTGGAAAAGAAGAAGAATGGGACATATAAATTGAATGACAGGTAGAGTGAGGAATGGAATAACTGTGTTGGGAAAATAAACAAATGACAATCCCAGGAGATGAACAGGGTTGTAAAAAACAATTTTAGGGAAAATTAACTTAAAAATAAAGGTCGTCAAATTAAAATGATAATATCCTCGCATTGCCTCAGTAATTGTTTTCTGCAAGCACCCCGTGTGTACTGAGCCTACATACAGTTTGGTAAAGGCTGACTCATGGCATTTGGTCAAACTGTTAATTTCCTCTGCAAATAAAACTCATAATCTGTGAGAATTCCACGGAGACGTCCTCCACGCAACACACAATTGTCTTGAAATGAACAAGCCATTAATCCTTCCTGTGAAAAATTGCTCAACTGCTGTGGGAAATAGACAGAGATGTAATATAGCCATTCTTATCTGGCCGCTGCTCAAACAATATATGAGACCTCTTTGAGTTTCCCAGAACAATCAGTGTGTGGGTATCTTTGGAAGTGCCCAGAAAGTGCTCTTATCTTCTCCAGTCACTCTCAAATGCGCATTCAGCCTAAATCAATGAATGTAGTTCTTTCTGTTCTCGCTGTATCAAGGGCACACAAGTGTGTCTTTTACTTCTCAAAAAATAGAACTCCTCGCCATTCCAGTTTTCTCCAGACTTTCTTGTCTCGGGGTGATGTCTACGTGAGGATTAACCTTGGACCCCAAAAAAATATCTCTTCTGCAACTGCGGCGGCGGCGAGAGATCAAAACGTGTCTTCCAGCAGCTAATCTCCTTTTGCTTTAGTGGTGGACAAGGTCACCCAACCGCAACCTGATGGGCTGTAATGCCTCGAGGGGTTTGCAATTTGTGATAAGTGGTTGGTTCTAGATGCCGCCTGTGCCTGTTGTCACTACGGGAACGGAATAACACACAAAGCTCTTTAGAAAAGCGGAATGACACTAAAAAAATCCTATCTACTCCATTTACATTTCACTGCAGAGCCTCTGCAAGCGGAGTGAGACGGACTGAGAATATTAAGGTGGTTTCTGACGCTTCACCGTATCTGCCAACGGCGACTGACTTAAAGACCGGTCGATCTCAGCCCGAATATTTATCGCTTTTTAATCCGCATTGTTCTGTGACTGTGCTGGTGCACCTTCGACATGACAAGTCACAGAGGTGATGCGATCTCATTACCGTGAAAAAGGTGTCATCGAAAAAATTCTGCAAAGAGTTCCACTGCAGGGGTGCCCTTGGTAGGCGAAAAGGGGCCTTTGGTTTGCATGCGTTTGATTTAATGTGGCAGGCGAGCTTGTTTGTTTTGCCTTCTGCGTAAGCATGTTAGGGGACGATGAATAAAGCATTTGGGTCGCGTTGCTTTCTCGCTTTCAGAGTGTGTAACTTATACACACTTTGCCACTAAGATGACAGCCACCATGACGAGCAGGGACATGATAGACGTAGGGGAAGAGAGTAAACAAAGGAGACAATTTGATACCATTCTAATATTGGGTTGACAAAGTGCTTTTATTTTGGAGGGTTTTTTATCATCCAAATGTTTCACCAAATTCCATTATTGTAACTATTTACTAAATATTCATTCTATTTCAGCTTGTTTTTTTGGTGTCTACCAACTCCGGGGGGAAATATCTGACACTTTAGCTGATACAAGTTTTACCGCTACTCTGCCGTAGTATTATATTGCTGAATCTTAGACATTTTATGCTGAAAATAATGGAAGCTGAAAACACTCAAGTTGCGAGCCAACATCTAATCAATGAGCTGTTCTCATGCTGGTATGCGTCGATAATAAGGCTGAAGGTGGGCGACCCTTAGTGGGGTCAACTGCTTACACTTCTTATTTACTAAAACTTTGTTGGCGAATGTTTTGCAAAGTTCAACTCCACTCAATGCAAAAGGGGCAAATGTTGGCCCCATAAAGCTGAGCGTAATTGCAGATTAGGGTGATCATCCTCTGCAGGTTAATGTTCCCTCACATTGTCCATTGATTTCAAATGGTCACAGATGCAGTTTTACATACAGCGCTTGAAAAAATGCACTTTCACATCCGTAGCTTCCACTTAACTGTGCAACTTACTGCGTGCAAAAATGGGAAAGACCACAAAACACCAAATAAAAGGAATGATCGAAGCGCTAATGAAACAAGAAAACAAGAGCACCGATGGGAAGGTAAGTAGATGTTGAAAGAGGTGATGAGATGGATGGCCGCGCCGAGACAGGCACTGCCGAACCTCCCCCCCTCCCCTCCCCTTCCCCATTAGCTGACTGTCTATCTGTGATCACTTCACTAAGCGCTGATGGAGAGAGATTATTCTGGAGAGGCAGTGCTTTGAGTGCACGGTGGTGGCACAGCTCCGTACCGCCGAGGTCTAAATTAATCTTGACGGGCAGATCAGCACCACGCTGACCTCATGTTCCCCTCTGAACAGAGGGGGTGCGGGGGGGGGGCGCTAAGTGGTACGACACTGTTGTTTGCAATTCCACGGTTTCTTTGTATTGGCAAGTAGAAAGGATGGATAAAGGCGATATCAGGCATATCAAGGACATGCAAAGGAGCAGATCAGAAAGAAAACAGGCTACACATCTGCAAAAAGGCTTAAAAATAAGTGTGTTTATATATATTTCAGGAGCAACGGCTGTTTGTTTTTTCAGATATCATCATGGTGGATTTAGTGGCTTGAGGTATTGGACTTTTTCAATGTATGAAATATTAATACCCAGAGGCTTTCAGAAAAGGAATGTGTTTTAGTCTGCTTTAAATGAAAATGTATCTCAAAACAAAAGGTCAAACAAAAGTTCAGTCCACAGCATGTTTTTTTAATGATTCCAAGAAAGAGAGGTAGTCATGTGCTGCGATTCTTTTCCCTCCCTCTTCTGTTTAAAAATGATGAGATTATGTAGAATATTGATTACTTATCGTTTATAATACCAGCTTGAGATGAAACTGTTTGGTTGTTTGTCTCTGAGGCAGCATGCGGCAGAAACATGAACAACATGGCCGTCCTGTTGAATCCGCGCATTGCGTTTCCCTTTTTTAGCCCTTATCTTTTAGCCTGACGTTTACATTTGCAAGAAAAGGCTGGTGTGCGTAAGTAAAACAGCCGATTATCAGATCTCGCATCCTGCAGGAATAAGGAATGCACGGTTATTAGCCCCCATGCACACTGTCTTACAGCACAGAAACAACTGCATGATTAATGAGATGATTATATAAGCGCAGAACTAGGACACAACTAATGCTGACTATATTACAAGATGAGGATGACATGAAAAGACTTTATGTTATCAGAGGACGGTGATCAGTTAAGCTGAGGCATCTTTGACCAAAGTCATTGAGTGAAAAAGGTCGGCGGTTACTGAAAGGCTAATTCTGACGCAGAAAACATGGCCGTCTCATTAGTTGGGTCGAAGCCACATGAGACGGTACTGCGGCAAACTATTGAACAAGTCATCGCAATCAACGCCTTTATGCGTCAGCAATTTTCGGACAAGTACGTTTTTTTTTACATTTCTTGACTTGGTATCGCTGGTGCATTTAAGTGGCTGTATGAGTGCCATCAAATTTAACTTTTCACTGTTCATTCACTTTGAGGGGTTGAATGGCTTTTTGATTCATTTTCTTAAGCAGAAATTAGCGGCAATTACAGACCAGTTGATTCAAGTCTGGGTCTAATCATTCATCACTTCAAAGGGCTTTTGCAGTCAGTTTCTTTAAAGTGTCTCTGTGTAGGACGGACAAATTTACGACAAAGTTGTTAATCAGACTAACGAAGAGAAAAGTTTAATGTTCCTCATTGTTTAGCTGGAAAGTTTGGAAAGACTCAGTAACTCAAATGAGAGTGAAGATGGTCAGAGAAACACAAACGAGCATTTAAAAAGGAATTCAGGTCATTGTATTGTGGGATATTTCTTATGAAGATTTTATTTGGTTTGAGGTCAAAGATTACATTCAGTCCAATTCTCTCTAATTAACCCTGCAGCATATATATATATATATATATATATATATATAAATATAAATCAAATCGTTGAAATCCAATGAGGTTAACATTTTAAAACATCTTAAAAACAAAAAAGAAGTTGAACCAGAGACTCCTCCTCTGCAACCAAGGTGCCTCCCCACGGATCCAATTACTCTGACATTGATCTGCTGAGACATCGACCCTCTGCACCCAAAAAGTAGACGGACAGTAGATCAATCTGGCTGGTCGCGTATCTCCAGCATTGTTGACAGGGAGATGGTTAATTGTTGGATGAGTGTTGAGGGTGAGAGGGAGACGTGGGCAACATGATGAGGTTAAAAAAACCTTTAGAGTAGAAAAAAAGCGTAAAAATGGAGCTGACACAGAATGGAAGAATGAATTTGTTTCATTGGACGGTGAATTTGGACAAACATCTGACGCTATCGGTGCCACTTGGTTTGCCATTTATTTTCAGTCTGCTGCCCTGAGGCTGAGAAACACTCCGCATCAGGTCGACTGTGTTTACCCATCTTCCTGTGTTGGTTGACAGTCAATTGGGACACGCCAGAAATGAAGAAAGTCAAAGTCAATACCAGTGACTTCAGCCACCTCTGTGCCTCACAAAGAAAACAGTTAATCCATCGACGTTGTACAGACTGACATCAAAAACATGAATGGTGTGTAATTGGTGTATTTAGGCCCGCAACTAAGACACATCTGCAACGTTGGTTAAAAGATTTTCCGAAGCTCAGGTCGATTTCTTGAAACAGCCTAACCAACAGTCCCTAATCCAAAGACAAGCAATTTATATGTCGAACAACAGAGGAAAGCTGCCAATCCATACAATTGATGAGATGAAATCGTGGGGTACACACAATGCAGATGAAACAAATGAGGCTGAAATATACCGACTTGTCTCACAGGAAGCTCCAAAATCACTGGAGCGTTTGTTTCCCACAATGCAGCCGAACAGAATCTACTGAGCCCCTCGCTGCAATCTAAATGCCTATTTGTTTCAAATAGCACACCTTCCTTTCCAATGCAAACCGTCTATTAAAAAAGGTTCCAGACCAGGGCACACGTGATGGCGTGTCATTGTGATGCGTTTTCTCTCAGAACCACAATAGACGCAATAAACCACAATAAACTACGTCTTTCTCGGGCTTGTGACGAGAAAAACTTCATGTGCAAAATAAAATTTTAACCCCGAATGATTATGAAACGATGAGGAGCCCTGACCGAGCCCCACACTCTGCTGCCTTACCTAGTTGAAGATCCATGGACTTTGGAGGATGTTGGTTGGGTGGATGATAATGAAAACGAACGGCAGAATGTGTGACGGTTCTTGGAATGGGCGATGATGGTGTAATGATTTCCAAGAACCCTGATGAACAGCACGATAAGAACACCAACGTGAGAGCATGGAGATGCATGTTTAAATCCAGTCACAGTTTCATATACGTCTATAAGGACAGATAACAGTCACATGCTCTTGTTCTTCATGGAAACTGGGGCCTTTAATCATCCAGAGGATCTCGCAAAGCAGTAGAGAAAAGACAAACGAAAAGACTCCATGCAGATACAAGCGCAATTTGTTTGCACATTGTCTTTATTTTACCCTGATGTGTGTATGCGGACGTATGGATTGTTTGCAAAGAAATGCAGTATTAAACTACAACACAGCAGTGTGAGTTCTACTTTCACAACCACACGTCCACAATCCGGAATTGGTGGGAGACAAAACAATTTGAGGATGACGTGACAATGGTGGTTCATGACAGTGAAGAAAAGGAAGCTTGTTGTCGGTTCCTGCGGTTGGGAAGGGCCAAAAGGGCCAAAAGACCCAAAAGGGCCAAAAGAATCAAAACAATCGAAATCCCATCAAACACCAACTTCTCTCTCAAAGCACAAGTTTCCTCTTCACAAACACGTCAGACCACAGAGACGTACAACACACACGCACAAGCCACGTTACTGTACCTGCTGCCCTCTCGCTCCACTCACCCAAACAACACACCAACGCCCCCCCCCCCCCCCGTCCCCGACACAACCCTACCTGCTTATTTTGAGGTCAAGCGAGAGCTCATAGTCGGAGGTGGTGGAGTGTGAGCCGGCCCGTTGCGCTGCACCCTCAAGGGCGACGCTGTGTGGTGCAGGCTGGCTCTCCTCCCCGCCCCACCTCCCTTTGCTCCCGCCCCCTTCCTCCTCCTCCTCCTCCTCCTTCTCCACCTCCTCCTTTTCTTCCTGTGCTGCTTCGCCCGCGCGGCGCTCGGCCTGCGCCTCCTCTCCCTCTTGCTTTCTCTTTGCCTCCACAACTTCTTCCAGCGTTCCCTCCTCGTGCTCCGCCGCCGTCTGCTCCCCTCGGCGAGGCGAAGGCGCTTCAGAGGCGACCTGCGCCGCCTCCTCGCCCTCAGCCTCCACTTTGGGCTGAGGCTCGGGCTGAGGCTGAGGCTCGGGGCGAGGTTCGGGATGAGGCTCGAGCTGAGGCTGGGGCTCTGGTGCAAACTGGGGTTCGGGTTGGGCTTCGGCTTCGGGCTCTGGCTGCCGATGGCTTTCGGGCCGGGGCTGAGGCGGAGTCTGTGCTCGGGGCTCGCACTGTTGAATCTGTGGCTGAATCTCTTGCTGCTGTTGCTCGGCCTGAGGTTCCGGTTGTGACTCAACCTCACTCTGCGGCTCCCCCTCTCCTCCCTTCCCTTCCTCCCCAATAGACGAGTCTGGAGAAAGGTCATCGCTGCAGAAAGGAGGAGAAAACGCAGAGTGAGGTTGCTGCTGCATCCGGGGTGAGCTCTGACCTCTTCTCCAGGCTGCCTGGGTTAGTGGTAAGAAGTTGACCCTTTCTTTTTGCATGATCTCTCTCACTCTGCTACCAATTCTGTGCCGGGCCGGGTGGTCCGTCTACCTGCTCTGTTCCGTCTAGACACTGACAGGCTATGAAACCGGGAGGTAGAAATGTACAGCACGGAACCACACGGTACAAAGGTGAAAACTGGATCTGGGACGATTATTTAGTTCAGCGGAAAGTCTTCAGAAGAGAAGATGTGAAAAAAAAAAAAAAAGCTGACAGCTAAAAGTGACACACACACCCAACACACACACACAGACACAGTGGACGGTCATGCAGCTATTGAAAGTGTCTCTGTGCTTACAGGACTGTACTGCCTGTGCAGCTGTGTTAATTTGCCTTTAAATGCCTTTGCCTTTATGAAAGAATATATTAAAGAACACGTTGGCCCCCCTTTGTGTTTCAGAGATACTCCGAGTTTTATTGATCTCATGTACATGGTTTAATACATGCATTAAAAAAAAGGTTTGACCCAGCAGGACGGCCCTGCATGTGTGTCTAGCAAAGACACTCACAAGACACACTGATATCAGGCCTGTTTAACAGCAGCCATTGTGACATTTCTGCACGCGTCAGTATTATAATTACAAAAGCGTAAATCACTGGATGAAAAGCTTTTGACCTGCTGCGGTGCATCATTGGCACGACTCTCCCCAGAGACATTTTGAAGGTTTTTGTCCAAGTGTGTTAAAATTATTTGATTTGACAGGTGAGAAAAAGAAAACCTTCACGTATCGCGTTAGTGTTTTTTGGCTAAAGAGTGTCGGGTTTGTGCGTGGCCTTAAATCTGAAAAATGCCCCCGAACCGACTTTGTGCAGCAGAATCCCGTCTGCTTCTGCTTCCTGCACTGCAGGAAGCGCATAAGCTGGAGGAGAAAGTACCTTCAGCGCGGATACAGCTTGGTCTACAACTTCCAAAATAGAGCTTGTACGAGTGATGAATAATGAATAGAGAAATAAAGTCTGCTCCGCTCCATCACTCAGCTCGCAGGTGAGCTTTTCACTGCTGCAAAAAATAGATCCGTGCAAAAAAATGCAGGACTTTTAGGTGGAGAGCTGTTCTTGTGCCCGCCGGCCGTCTTATCACAACGCTTACGCTCATTGTCGCGCATTAAAATGCTCCTATTTGCATTTTTGCGGGAGCGCTTGTTCTGGTGGGAGATAATCTGACAACCAACAGGTAAAGTGCGGGCTGCTTTTTAAAAAAAAAAGTTCCACGCACTCTGGATTTGGTGTTGAAGGGGATTATTTGTGAGGGTAAAAATAAATATCCGTATGAAACGACTGATAACGTAATGTTTGCATGTGTGAGCATTTACGTGAAGCGTAGACACTTCACTTTCCTCCAACGTCCGTCACTCTCACTCCCTCCCTGCGCATCAACTTCTCTCATCCTTTTTCCTTTCATCCATTTTGTCAAGCTTCCTGTCATCCTCTCTCTCACACACACACACACACTGCCGGTCTGTCCTCCTCCAGGTAAAGGAGATTGAGCAGTTCCAGGTGTTAACGTCGCTGACGGGGCACAGACGAGCCCCGGATGCTGCCTCTCTCTCCTCTCATCTTCCCATAAGTCCCCATTGAAGAGGAAAGCTGTCCGTCCCTCGAGTGCAACCGCAGTGCTCGCTCATGGCTGCCTCTCTCTCTCTGACCCCCCCCTGCTCCCCCCTCCCCCGGAACTCCTCCCTACAATAACGCCACTTTCGACCCCCGTCCTGTCGAACTCAGTCAGGCCACCAGAGGACTTCCTCCTTCTTCTGTGGAACCTGCTGAAACTACTGTGTTTTTATTCTAGAGAGGACATTCTCCTTTAAATACATATTGGTTGTTCGGTTTGGTGGTTTCCAAGCAAGAATATTATATATATATATATATATATATATATATATATATATATATATATATATATATATTACATAAATATGAGAGAACATATTGCAACACTAACTTTATTTCAAATTTTCTGCCAGTATCCAGCAACCATTGGAGGTACAATCTCTTCCTCAGAATGTGTTGAGCGAGACTGGGTGGTTCCAATGGGAAAAAGGGGGCAAATAATGATGATTTTGACCCCCAGTGCCGACTTCATGCCACAGAGAGCGTAAGGGCGACGACGATCAGGAGGACCTCCGTCTTTTCATTGCGCAGCAGGTCCGGACGATTTTGTTCCACAGCGTGAACTCAGACACTGTGGACGCTGTTTTGACTTTCGGTAACCTTGATGGTGCAGCCGGTGTCGTGTGACTAGTGGGCTTCAAACGGTCTTTATTCTGGGCTGGAGAGAGCTTTAATGTTTGGAAAACAGAAGACACGAGATCCCTACAGAAACTGCTTGCTACTATGCTTTTTTGTTGAAGAAAGCCATTTTTTATATTCTCATTCTCCTCATAGATAATTAATCAGTTCGTCCGGTAGAATAGAGGAAGTGGAGATCTGAAGATTCTGCATAAATAAGCATATTTCTTTCTTATGAGGGATAAGGGGGTAATGTGCTGAATATATCTATATCTATAATAAGTCTATTTGAAATTCATCAAAGTTTCCGCGAGCAGTAAAAAGATGACGTAGTTCCACATGTTCGACAGAGAGTAAGGATTTTCTGCCTGAGAGGGAAGCCAAAGACACACAAACACACAACTGACCACGTTCTGACAGCAGTTTTGTTTTGCAAAAGATTTGCATTCAGACTGCAAATAATCTTCTGGGATTTCTTTTAACGTAAAACTGTTGGCTTTAATTAAGCATCACAAAGACTAATCATGTAGAGCAATTTATTTTCACTAAGCAACCGTAAAGAGGGCGTAACCTAATATTCTCCTCGCCTTTGTTGAGTTCACCCTGTTAACCTCCATTTGAACACACGTATTAACCATTGTTCAGCATGGGGCACTTTGTTGACTCTCATTTAACTTTTTAAATATAAAACGCTGTGTGTGTCGGGGCTGCAATGGGAAAACCGAGGGAAACCGTGTTGTCTGCCATCCACTAATTCCCTTCATGTTACGGATCGCAGTTCTTTCGATTAATGATCTCGCGAAGACACGGCGACTGTGCGGTTGTCATTCGCTCCTCCGCGTAACCACCGGCAGGCTTGATCATTTACCTCGCAGCGACAGCCGCTCGAGCACCGGCATCGTTCTCCTCTTTCATGTGTTTGATGCAGCTGCTTCTTCCATTTGGAACCCGAGTTCTTCGCTCACACCAAAGACACAGTGTGTGGTTCACCGTGAGTTTATGTAATGGATTCAAATTGCTTATTGAAACCAAACGTTGATCAGTCTACTCTCATCCTTCATCAAGGTTTTCCAGTTACTGCATTAGAGGAAAAAAGCTTTTGTTGTGTGGAATGGCTTACAAATATAGCCATGGCATGTTTTAATCATTATATAAGTCTCATGGTCACCGGCTTTTCTTTTCCTTTGGACTTAAAGCATGCGAAGACAAACGTCATTTTTGGAAAAAAATGAAATAAAATGACCAGATCAGATGACCAATGGAAATACGTAATGAACTGTTGTCTTTTTACAAATAAATGGCAGAATGGAGTGATGAAGTGCTATTTTAATAATTAAATGGGTCTAAAATATGTACGACTTGACTGTGCTCCTACACCAAGCATGGCCAACTCTGCCCTGTGAAATTCACCTTGAGTCGACGTGCAGTGATGCATCCTGGGTGGCGTTCTCTATTTGTGCTTTCTGCTCGCCTGGTGCGATCAATCCTGCAGAGATGAATTGGTTATGGAGATGCCAATCAATTGTGCACTCACTTGAGCAGGCTGACACGGCTCATAAATAGCACTGTTAAGCAGGGAAGAGGCAAAGTGATGGGAAGAAACCTGGCGTAAAGAGAGAGGCTGTGCTCTGATTTTATATGTAATCCATACATTCTGGGCCCGATAGGACGGGACTGAGATCAATGTCGACCGGTTTATGTTTGTGAAAAGCACCGAATCAGCCCTCAGCTCTTCCAGACGTTCTTTTATGGCGGGCCAGTTATAAGTATCACCGGGTGAGCGGGTTAAGGGGAGGCTACAAAAGAGCACACGGCACACTCAGCTTCTGGCCTCCCGCGGTAAAATGTTGGAGGCTTTTATTTATCGTGTTGAATTTTAAAACTTTATGAGTATAGCGGCCCGAAAGGATTTGAAAACAAATTCTTACACACGGGCCATTATGACCAGAGGCCATTCACACGCAATGTAAATGTAACATCCTTCCAGCAACAACAGAGCACAGGGAATAAAAACAGGTTGGGCTTGTTAAATATGCAAGACGGGATTTTCAAATTGAATCCCTTCAAAAGCTGACGCCCCGGGCTGTGGATAAAATGCAGGAAGTGATAGAAAGACGGAGCGAGACGTCAGCGGTGGAAATTGCACGGTAGATTTACGGTTGACGTACTACAAGCGCACAGATACACACACACACACACACACACACACACACACACACACACACACACACGGGCCCGTACTCAGGGTCAGGACTGCAAGGATGGAAAATGACAGGGATTCATTATATCACAGAATGTCATTCAGGAATCATCCCGATCTCTACTATTATACTAAATGACTTTAACATGAATAGCTGTTTTTTTTTCCATTCTTTGCTCTTCACCTTCTGCTCAGGTAGAACGTACAATGATTAATTATTCAGAGCATAAAGGCCGCTATAGGTCCTCACTGTCCAAAGGAACCAGTTTTTTATCCACAGCTTGCTGCAAATATCAACCACAATGCTATTTTTAAACATCATTGCAAAAGCAGGTTTTTTTTTATTTATTTCAGAAAGGCATAAAGAAAGGGAAGTGTTCAAGAACAACATTGCCTGGAGAAAGAATTGCGCCGCTGCTTCGCCTCGTTGCGAGCGGAACAAACAATTGAGCCGTCCGCCCCCCAACCCGCCGATTTCACAAGCTAATTGCCTATTTGTGGCCCATTGGGAGGAAATAGCTGTTTTTTTTTCTTCTTCTCCTTATTTGGCTCACTCTCTTTTTCACATATCTGGAAATATCCCGAGGCAGTTTACCGATGCATGAGTGTCTTGTTTGAATTTGCCCTTTTCAAGCAACACAGTTCAATACTTGCAGGAGCCCACGACAGAGGCTCTTTGATGCTAAATCAAAGGAGCTCGGAAATACCGCAGATGGCTCAGAAGTCTCAACTCAAGTGTCTCTTTAGAATGCAACATATATTAAACGCATCAACTGTGCACCGTATTGACCTGAACGCTCCACAGTAACTTACGTCGTTATTGACTCACAAGGAGGAGAAACCAACGGTGTCATAAAAAATGCGAAGGGTACTTCTCGATGGGTCTGAAGTTGCACAACATCCGGAGTGTCAGATGATCCAGCTGGTGCAGTATTTTAGTCATTGTGGTTGCGACGAAAGTGCAGGTTGTCAACACGGTTAGATGTTGAACGTCTTCTCAGCAACGGGAGACTTGAAAGTGAAGCCAAAGATTTGAAAAAGCCGTAACTGTAAATTGTAGATCTCTTAGATAAGAGCTGTAGAGAATGGACACGCGTTGCCAACACGTTGTAGTGTAGTAGTGTTACACATAATGAAAAATAAATGCAATAAGAGAAGGAGCGACAAGATGAAACTGTTCATATTACATCAATTCAGAATGCGGAGGCCTGTAAAAGTCTTGATGGGAGTTTGTAAATCATATATAGTGTCGGTTTCATGTCCCGCGTCCCGTTGTCACACCGGCCGTTTCTGCCACAATCAAATCCCTCCCCAAGACCAAATATTGAACCCTAAACTAGAAAGAGCTGACCTCGGTATTTTATACTTTCTCACTGAAGTGCTTATTGAATAAGAGGAGAGAAGCCACCGCGATCCAGCGTCTCCCTGCAGCTACGTTACGTGTGTGTGGGCGAGAATGCACAGATGGATATTACACTTTGGAATGTAATGACATTTCTCCCGGAATTAGCGAGTTTATTCTGATTAAGGTGTTTACGTAAGCCATTAATCCTTCAGTAATATTACCGGATTTAAAGGCTCAGTCTGAAATCTATTTTAGGTTTGAAAGCTGGATGTAAAAGTTTAGTGTAAGTGGGTGTCGCTTGATTTCATGAAAGAAATAATGCAGTTCTTGATTGATAATAGACTGATTCTCCAAACGGCAGAAAGAGCTGACAGACCAGCTGAGGGGAACCAGAGGCAGCTGTGGACGTGACTCTAGACGTTCGTTACATCCGCAAGGAGAAGGGAAACGAGCGGTCAAATTTATGTTGCACTGTGAATATTTGTATTTTTATTTGTGAATGGGATGCTGACGGAGGGAGCCGTCACGGCAAGAGAAAGAAAGATCCCCAAAAGGAAGAGAAAGGCTCACAGTGATGATTCCATATTTAAAAAATGATGGATGAAAGGCCGACTGAGATGCAGGAATGGAGGATTAACTGTGAGATTTGAAGAGACAACCGGTGAATAATGCTTGATGTTGTATTTGTCACCATGCTAATGTCCTGACAAAGCTCAAGGTGATCCTGTTACCTTTCTTTCTGCAATACTAGATACTTCTAATATTTACTTTACTAATCGTCATCTGCTAGGGAAAACAAAATAATTAAAATACCCTGTAAAAATACCCGTAACTACGGGACAATTGTTGGATGTTTTCTTTGCGTTTGACACAGTGAGTAAATCCTCAGTAGTCATTTGACACTCAAATGTATATTGATATTGATCAGTTGGGTCAGTCAACATCTACGCTGCACGGTAATTTCTTGGATATGTTCTGTCAATATAGGAAGTATATTTAACACCGTCATCTGATACTTTTACCCTTTAAATACAGAAAGATCCGTTGCATCCATGTTGGAAAAGACAACAAGGGTCCAAGACACCGATGACAACCTTAAATACGCATTGAAACATACACAACATCAGCACAGCATAGCTGAATAATGAATAATTAATACAGCCAAACACAGCAGGGCTTTACAGACAAACGCAAACACACACACACACACACACGTACACAAATGAATACAATTTGTTCATCGTGCTAAACCACAGACAAGACCATACTTACAAACAGTAAAAGAGCGTTGGACTGGAAGATCATACATCATCATTAATCATGAGAAGCAAAAGTGAAATTAGAGCTATTTATTAAACGGATTAAACTGAGTAGCCGGGCAGTGATTGAACGGGACATGGAGGTTGTTCATAATTAAATACTGCATTATCTACTGCTCAGAGAACCAGATGCAAACCCCGCTAATGTCATTACGGCCGCTAACTCTCTCATTTCACCGTCCTGGAACAACATCACGCCACTTCCAGCGTGAAGCGCGCGAGTTGTTTTGAACCGCAAACAGGCAGTGCTGTCAAATATTCTGTCGCCAGATTGTGCTTCCTACAGGGCGTCGTTGTCACCAGCTACAAAAGCAAAAACATAAGAGGAGGTTGTTTGTTGAGGCGGAACAGGCCCGGCCTGTGATCGGGCTCCCTGTTATCTGTCACTGTTGTCACGCACACACGGGCCCTCGCTCATATACTGCAAATCAGTCTCCCTTCATCGGTGAAATTGCTTTCAAGTGAAGGGCAACAAAAATAACGTTTCGCCGTGCTCATTTCATGGCAGGAGAAGAGAGAGAAATCAAGTTAAGCCAGGAGCTCTGACCGGCGTCGCGTTTCCATCGACTCTCCACTTGAAAGTGGCGAGACGCCGTCCCGTCGTCGCTGAGCCGATCGCGAGTGGCACGAAATTCAATTACATCTCGGCGAGATGCGGAAGGTTTTTCTTCCAGAGTGAGAGCCTGTCCTCCACGCCGCCGCGGACCTTCACCGTTCAATCTTTTCACTGGCTGCTGGAGGCGACGAGGGTCGCCGGAGAGCGACCCGGCCGCCGGGGCGGTCGGGGGTCGGCAGCGTCGGAGCTATCACCAAATGGGCTTCGCGGACTACGGTGGAGGCCAACTAATGGTGCGTTTTATGGGGCCCTGATGGGGTGAAAGAGCAGAACCAAATAAAGGGCGTCATGGTCGGACTTCACCACCACAGTCCTTTATTTCAATGGCAATAAAAGGCCAAAGCGAAGTTCTCCGCGAAGCAGTATTTTGCAGGATTGTGCTTCTTCTGATGTCTTTTTTTTTTCGTTCAGAGTTGTTCTTCATCTTGAAGGCTTGTGCCCGGTTCTGTTCAACAAGAAAGCATTTATTTTTTTTCGGACTGGCAGCGTGGGGTCTGTTTAAAGTAACTCATTTTGACCACCCATCACCTCTTCAACACAAGCCTTGAACTGACAGGGAAGGACACAGCCTGACATGCACACTGCAGAGATGACTCACACACACACACACACACACACACACACACACACACACACAGCTGAAGTCATGGTTGTCCGAAAAGTTTCCTTTCATCATCCGGTCATCTGAAAATGGGCTTTTTTGAAGGCAAAAAATACATCAGACTCCCGGATGTCTTTTTATCAGATGGAGACAGGCAGGTCCATCATTAACTGTCCTCTCAGTAAGCCTCCTTCACGCCCCCTCACTCGCCTCCCTGTGGCCCCCGTCCCTCGAGTAAAGTGAGCGAGGGCGACGGTGGCGGTGGCGGCAGGTCGCCTTGTCAGCGTTTTGGCTTTTCCGTGTCCTCCTCCACATCCTCCTCTCCGCTCGTTACGCGGCTGATGTACCGTCGCGAGTCTGTCGGCGAGCTGTCAAGGACAAGGACTCCGCACCGGCGATGTACGC